GCAAAGTGAAAAGAGTTATTTTATATAAGGAACCTATATAATACTTTTTTATTAGTGCCAGTAATATGATTAAGATTTCAGTTTTGTTTGTTTGTTTGCTTGTTTACACTTTATCTCTTAATTAGAATACATGTAACACATGAAAAACAATCATGATTATTTTGAGTTTTCACATACTACAGACATTCGATAAGGATAGAAATACGGCTTCTCTCAATCTCCTACGAACTAAAACTTTAGTTGTTCTGGAAAGAGAAAAATGTATATGGGTTGATACTAATATATGATACTAGTATATTTAAAGAATACCTATAGTTAGCAGTTACCTATAGTTAGCAAAGAAGAATCAGACGATGTAGATCCAGATACATGTATATCACTGATCTGGATTTCGCCAATGGTACAGCTTTCTGAAAGCTGTATCATTATTACATAAAGAGTTACAACAGGCAAAGAACTTGCTTTGAACAGCGAGTTGAAGAAGCCTCAGCCAATGTTGGCCTCGCAATGAATCAATGCCAAGAAAATCCTATAGCATTTAGTCAGAAACAACAGATAGAAATTACTGCCATGGACAGCTCACAGTAACTGTTAGAGGTTTTTCTGTAGGCTCAATGATGAGTAGCACAGACGCTGACATTAAAGCTATAAAAGGAAAGGCATGGAGAGCATACAACAAAATGGACAAGACCTGGAAGTATAGCCTGAACAGAACCCTGAATTTTAAAAGATCAACTGTGGAAGCTTAAACAAATGAACTTGATGTTGCTACTCAAGGACGCTGGAAGGATCTCATCGAAAATGATCAGCTACCACTACTAATTTATACATGTTAGCCTACCAAAGATCATAACCAAAATAAGGTTAAGGGCTGCAGTTGGCAGGTCATTGCGCCAGAGACGCAGAAGAAGCTGCAGCCAGCTGTATGTTGTGGGTATCCCACAGAGGAAGCAGAGTAAGGGGGCGTCTGACAGCATCTTCATTGACACGCTGAAGAGGGACAGAGGACTTGATGTGGAGAAACTGTAAGACAGAAAATAGTGGCAGACTGTTGTAGCTCGAGTTGGATTTATCTCGAAATAATTGTATTGAAATTGAATTATTTTTTCCATAATTTGCTGTCATGATAGAGTGGTATCGTGCTCACAATATCACCCCCCCCCCCTCCCCAAAAAAAAAAAAAAAGAAAACTGAGCACTGGGTGTCCCCAAACTGTAAAAGGCTTCTCTCATACGTGGGATTTGTTAATACTGTAAAAACAGATGTGAAAAACATGAAAGAGTTGTATATTACACATGTAATAACGTTTATCATTTATGTATGAAATTTTGAATATATATATCACATGTTTAACAGTTTGAACAACGCTCCTATTTCACATTTAATTTTTTAATGTATTGTTATGTTCAGATGAATCTCAATAAATATGCAGATGAAGCTTACACAATAAAACAATTAAATACTTCCCACCTTCCGGAGCAAACATGTGTACTAGTAACCGGATGTCTCAAATGAATTGATGAGAACTGAAGTTATGGAGGTGGACTAATCAACCAGGTTCGTTTGCTGGCGGTGGAACAATTGAGAAAACACCTGCATGATTAGAGTTTAGGAGGACAAGGTTCAAATCAGGGGAGGACTAATCAGCCAGGTTCGTTCTCTGGCGGCGGCGCAGTTGAGAGAACACCTACATGTTTAGAGTTTAGGGGGACAGGGGTCTAGTCCTCCGCATTGTCACTTGGTCTACAAAATTTAATTTAAATAGTGTGTGTTTTTTCTATTAAAAAATGTAAAAACAAAAAAATATTTTAATTTGCTTGCGAGAGGGACGTTGTCAAATTCTAAATTCAGTACATTATAATATTAATATGCATGGTAATTGATTGAATTTGGATCAATCGGGTGTTCATATTTTGGATACATGTACATCTTTTATAGAGATCATCTGTAATTCTTTAAATACTAGCAGTAGTCAAGAGGGTCGAAAGATGTGACGTCTGTAGTAAAAAAAAAAAAAATGAATTTTGGTCTCTGTACAATATCATGAGAAGTGTTTGAATTGAGATAATCACACCACAGATTTTCACTATGAATTATTTTTTTTCTGAGGATCTAGAGGGGGAGGGTGCCCCCCCCCCCCCGGAATTTGCAGTTACTAAAATGTATATAGTAAACCAACTAAAAGTGACCTTGGACCCCCTCCAAAACGCGGATGTGTGTTAAGTTGGTAAGTTGGTCAACTTGGTATGAAAAGTCATAGATATGAAGCTTTAGAAGTCAACGACCCCCCCCCCCCGTTTCACGTTTGGGAAAAAAAGGAGTTTGGGTTTTTTTTTCGGTCAAGAAATTCCTGGGGTTGGATTTTTTTTGTCTTGGGAAAAACTCTAAGGCTATTCTTTATTTTCGCACAAAAACTGAAGCCATGATTACGAAACTTAAAAAAAGATGATTTCATAACTACTTTGCGTAGCTATGTCTAGAAATTAAAATTCTATAAAAATCATACAATATCTTGCACGATTGTGTTTGTTACAAATAAGTTCTTCCTCTGTGTGTGTATGGGGAAGGGGGGAGGGGGGACTGGGAGTGTGTATGCTCAATTTTCCAACTTAAACAAAACTGAGGCAAAACTGGTCAAAGAATCTATTTAAGACAGGCTCCGGGGCCATAAAACTTAGACGTGCTCACTTATGATTCTCGGTCTCACTTTTTCATGGTAGAACAGTGAGACTGAGAGAAAAGTGAGCACGTCTCATTTGTATGTTCCCGGGGCCTGGACCAACTTGTACTAGGTAATTTTTTTTGATCGGAGACACATCATCACTACAACAAATTACTTCAACAAGATTACACAGAAAATCTTTTTTATATTAAATGTCATTGACAATAATGTTAAAGTCTTCATATTGTGTTGAAGACAAAACATACGACCTCCCGCTTACGCGAATAATCACATGCTCTCTGATCGGTTATCACCTCATGAAAAGCGTTAATGATTCTGCTTCAAACTACCCGTGAATTTTCTATCGCTTACAAATCAAAGATCACAAAAATAATATATCCTCAAGGGAAGTTCACATAACTTTAAAAAAAAAGTCATAAACCACCGATCTTTCAACCATTTTATTAGGGGTGCTGGTAAATTGTTTCGAGTCAGATTATTTATTTGTCAGGGACTGAAAAAAAATTTAATACAGGATAAATCGGTCCTTCACATGTTAGTGAAGGACAGGTTATATATTTCAAGATGATTGGGTGACATATTATTATTTATTTTTTTATTCTCTGAAAAAGTTCGACAAGCACAAAAAAGAAAGAAAAGAAAAAAAAGAGGCCCACGAGCCTTAACAATCACCTCAGTATTATGAGTTGTTCAGGCTATTACCACATTGGACCCATCTGGAACTAGCCTAGACTTATATCACATACACGTACATTATACAGTTTGATGAGAACTGTATAAACGTTATCATATTAATGTAGTTTGCCCCTTTTAAATTCAAGGGGAAAGGAAATAAGGTGCAATGTATACTGGCAATAAATTTTAAAATATGACCAAGCTAGATTTTTACGCTAAACATTCCTACGTAAAACTTTGATCTGCAATTGTAGCCCCACCTTAAGACACCCTCTCCCCCACCCCACCCCCGGGCTATGGTTTAACAAATTAGAATCTGCAGTATCTGATTGCATATTAATGTGACTAATAATGACTCTATAAACTCCTACCTAAACGTTTTATCCCCAATATTATGGCTACAACCTACCCATGCAGGAGACCATGATTGGAACAAACTTGATGCTGGCATATTAATATGACTAATAATGGTCCTGTTGTTTTTGAAAAGATTATTTTTCCTATATATTCCCATACAGGGGGCAATAATTTGTACAAACTTGGATCTGCACTACCCAAGAAAGCTTCCATATATGACTAACAATGGCCCTGCTGTTCTTGAGAAGAAATTTTAAAAAGATTTTTCCCAAATATACTTTCATAAAATTTTGATCCCAACTCATGGCCCTAGTCTATTCCAGGGACCATGTTTGGAACAAACTTGAATCTGAACTACCTAAGGATGGTTGCATATAAATTTGACTAATCTGGCCCTGCTATTCTTGGGTAGATCTTTAAAAGATTTTTTTTAGTATATATTCCAGTGTAGAACTTTGATCCCTTATTGTGGCCTCATCTCTATCCCCAGGGGCCATGATTTGAAAAAAAAATTAAATCTGCACTACCTGAGGTTACTTCAGTATTAAAATGACCAATCATGGCCCTGCTGTTCTTGAGAAGATTGTTAAAGATTTTTTCCTACATACATTGTGGCCCCACAGTACCCCTGATTTGAACAAACTTGAATCTACACTATGTCAGGAAGCTTTCATACAAGTTCAACTACCTGACCCAAAGAGACTTTGTGGCAAAATTGATTGAAATTGTACTAGTGGCTCTTGAGAAGTTGAAAATGTGTAAAAGTTTACTCATGACACACAATCGCAGCCAAAAATAGATATCAAAAGGTTACCTGAGTGATTATCTATTTTCAATATTTTCCTGGGCAAATTATTTATTTCAAAAATCTGCCAGCCCCCCCCCCCCCCCCCCACTTAAATCAAATGGTCGCCTGCTTAACCAATCAGAAAGTTTTCTGTAAGTGCAAGTTGTATCAGACTTCTGAGTGTGACACTGGGCAAATTTTAACAACAAAATTTACAGAAGGCGGTCAACATTCTTTGCTTTTGTTTTATATTATATTGATCTATGAAGTCTTCACTTTAAGTTAAAAGAAGAAAAAAATGAATTTAAGAAGCATACAGAAATAGTGAATATTCCATAAAAAATTATGAAATATAGAGGAAATTCAGGTTAGCTAGTATCTAAAATTTATTTTCATTAAATTATTTATCTCAATTTGAAAATGTTACCTGATATGTGGTATATCTTTTTTTGCAAAAAGATGAGGATATACTACTTTTAAATAGAAGTGAGTATAACATGATTAGCAACATAATTTTTAATCCTTAATAATTGTCCAGAAACAAACATAATGACCTTGACCTGACCTTGCTAGTGAAATGATACAATCACTTGTGATATTGTCTTCTTCATTGTGAGAAAATTTCATGAATTTTTAAACACAATTTATATGAAATGAATCCCTCCTAAGTTGGGCCTTGATATTTCATAATAAATACAGAGGAAATATAACAATAACAAATGTATATTCTATAATTTACATATACAACATGCACCTAGGTTGTTGCAAATAGATACATAAGTCCTTTGAGAAACTGAATGATCTCACTTCCTCCAAGTTTTGATTCTCCGTACACTCTGTCAACAAAAGTGATTGGAACCTACAATCAAAACAATTTTCCTTTCATAAATTTAATCTGATTTGCATCAAAAATGGGAAGAACACAATATCAGTAGATCCAAGAGCACTAAAATCTCTCAAAAATAATACATGTACTTTCCTGTAAATAACTTGAATGATAAAAAACAAGAAGGGTTGATATCAAACTATTTTTATAAATTTATTCATCTATATCATTATATATTTCATTTGATTAAATTTAAGAAACTGTGGTTTGAATAAATCTAAAACCGACCTCCCCAATGGTGTATCCAAATTGTCTGGCCCGGATTATCATTTCCATCTGGAACACATAGCCTTTAGAAATACAGGAACTCACTAACTTTTGTAAAACATCTTTTTTGTACAATCTGAAAAAAGTAAGATCCAAATCTAGATTCCTCACATTTTGACATTCACATATTTTTACCCAAAATAATAAAACAATGTTTAATGTATATATACATTACTGCAAAAAAGCTGTCACTTCTCCACATACTGTATAAGTGAAAGGCTCTCAATGTCTGATCAGAATTTTATACTTGTTGTAGACCGACACGACTTATGCAGTTAATGACTGTTTCAATCAATCCATATTCATGGCTTCAAAATGATTATATAATTTTTATTATTTGTCCCATGATTAAGAAACATGAAATAAATACATTTTTGGATCTCATGAATATCTTTGATAGGGGGAAAAAAACTGCAACCTCCCTAGCAAGCTTGCATACACATGCATTACAGATGTGAATGAAATTCTTCATCATCAAACAAATTTATTTAAATAATCTATTAATGTTTGAAGATATACACATACCTAAAACTTCCCGTTAGATCCGAGGCCCCTGGTCTTAGCAACACTTGTGTCAAGTAGTTTGCACCACGACTGTAACAATAAGGATTGTATGGTTATAAATATGTTTACTTTGATAATTATTAACATTCATCATTCCTCTGTTTACCCATATAAAATTTTGCTTTAATGAAAGTAATTTTCTTAAAAAATATAAATCATAATTGAAATGCAAACAATTTCAGCTTCTATACAGTAAAACATGCTTATAACTAAGTGCCAAGGACGGTTAATTGATATTGCTTCATTATAAATGTAATTCATTATACCTGTTAACTCATAATATACATGTACTTTAGAATGAAAATCACTTCTATGTAAGAGTTATAAGCATGTTCACTATAAGCATGATTTACCATATCTTACAGTGCAAAATTTGAATGGAATCACCTGTTTTCTTGACAATTTTTTAAAGTCACTCGGTCAGATTTTTTTATGGTAAAAAAACTTTATCATGGGTATTTTTTGTAAAATAATTCTCGATAAAAAGTCTCAACTTTTGTCTAATTATCTCCTTAAATTCGGTTTCTTTTAAAAGATGTTAATATATAAAATTTTAAAAAGTATTCTTTTGTTAGGTCAGACACAAAATAAAGAAAATAGGAAACTTGCACATAATAAACAAATCACATGATGGAAGTTGAACAAAAACATGGTCATCAAAAATCGCTAACTGACTCCGAGTGTAATAAGAAGAGATCCAAACTGGGAAATAAAAGACAAGAGTTTTTATATACAAAAGGACACAAACAGTGCACTGACTCGAGATGAACTCTTATCAAGAACATAGTACAACATGTCTGACTGTAACTTCATTTGTTTCTCACCTGGACATTTCTATTTATTTTGCTTTTAGAGGTCACATCATTTAAAGAGTCAGCATGTATTTGTTTTGTCAACATGGTTTTGACTGAGGTTTTTTACTTATAAATAACCCATAAAAAAAAACAGTCAAATATGTATTTTTATACATATTCTATGTACTTCTTTTGATAAGAAAAATATGCATCTGAATCTGACCAAGCGACTTAAAGGAATAATAGTCATTAATCCAAATGAGAGTTACCTCTCTTATCAGAGGGACAATGAACCTTAATATTAACATTTACTGATGTTGACAGTGACAACCCTTTAGATCTGATTGTGTGTATAAATTTACTCTATGTGACATCACATGTATTTTGTTAAATATGTGCTGTTCAAGTAGAGCTGGCATGAAAAATATTTCTAATGAAAATATAAGAAATCAGTCTAGGTTTTTGGGGTTTATGGAATCATATACCATTTACATTGGAACACATTGCAGTTCTTGCATAAATAGCTTCATCAATTATACAAGTTACCAAATACTCCAATATTTATAATTATACCTGTTTAAACAGCAAAATTTTTTTTATTTTATTAAATTTAAGTGAACTAAAAATAGGTAAATATCTTCTTAAGTAAAAAGGATATACATGTATATCTTGAAGTTTTATTCCAATGTAACTTTTTTGTTTAATGAATTCCTGTGCTATAATTTTGTCTGTACCTGACAAGTTTCCTCTTGAAGTCCCAGCCAGCCACACCCCCTGACCCAATGTAACGTGTTCCTGAGACCAGGTCATAGTCTCCTTCCTTCTGTTTCCTATTGAAATGATAATCATTTAGGTATTACATGAACTCTATGTTAAACAAAAAAATATGAGATTACCTTTATAAAAAAAATCATATTAAAAGCTGAACAAAATCAAATTTGTGTGTTTTCATTAAATAACAAACAAAAGTACCAGTACAAACTTACTTGATAAATTCTGGGATGAATTTTGGCTGCAAATAGAATGATTCAGAAATCAAATAAATGACAATAAATATCTTTCTTGCATTTTCCCTAACTTTATTTTTCTATGATAATGCCTATGAATTTATAATAAATTTATCATGGCTGCATGTAGTAAAAAATTAATTTCATTAAAACTCACATGATGTGAAAGATCTGCGTCCATTATTATAATAAAATTCCCTGTAGCATGTTTCATTCCATGAATATATGCTGTTCCTACAAAGTAAGAAAGACAAATTTATACAAGAATTCAACAGCAAACTTATTAAAAATTTCTGAAAGATATTGTTCTGCTAGTAAACTTCACAAGAATACAATGATAGCTCATAGAAAACATACCTAGACCAAGCTTTTTCTCCCTGGGGCGCAAGACCTGTTTGAAAGAAAAAATTACTAGATAAATGTACAACCTTTCATCTCAGAATTAAGTGTGTGTGTGTGTGTGGGGGGGGGGGGGGGGGGGGGTTGTTGTAGATTTTTTTCCCTTGGATTTCCCCCAATCTCTTACTTTTCTGCTTACTATGTAACATAAAACAACTTAAATATCAAGCAATGTTGTCATTGGAGAAGAGTGGGGGAAGGGACTCTAAGAAAAAGATCTACTTTGTCTTGTCATTATTTAGACTGCAACAAATATATTTTCTCTTTATGACAAAGTAAAAATATTGTTTTGCATATACAATATTGCTATTTAACTATAATAACTAAAACTTTCTCTAAGACGAATAAAATATTTTGACTTTTCTACAAATTTTATGGATTATTTACAAGTTGTTTAGATATATCATACAACTAAAAAATGGATGACATACAATTTTATCACTTCCATAAATCTTCTGAAGTTGTTTTGCAACCTCTAATGTTTTGTCTGGACTTCCATCATCAATGACAATTATCTCATAATTATAATCACTGTAAATTGGAAAGTATGAAATATATAGTACTCATTAGAAAAATGAAAAACGATCAAAATCTCACATCGAATTATTGTGATGTAGATGAGATTTGATACATAAAATAAAGTATCTATTTTTTCGATACTGTCCAGAATACATGTAAATCACTAACTTGTAAGTCCATAAATTTAATTTCTAAAAGATTGTTACACACGTTTTTTTTCTGTTGATGTCTGTTATTACTTTACACATCGGGTTCGACAAACAATAGTGCAACGTGTTAGTTTTAATGTGAATAACGACAAAAGTTTATATAAACATACATCGATAGATATTTAAGTACTGAATAAGAAGTGATACCTTTCGCTGAAGTATTTAACGAGAAGCCAAATGATGACAGGAAGGTTTTCTCTCTCATTGTAAGTTGGCAGAAGGACCGAGTACTTGTCTTCGTCAGCCATCTTGAAAATGAAGGTGAAGGCCGAGAGGGAGAATACTGTATTTACTATTCTAAATAGCTAATTTAGCCCTTATCGTTAAACTTCGAATCTTTATTTCATTTTTGTTAATTTTTTAATGTTATATCCGAATTAAAATTTACCTACTTCTGAGATTGCATAACATTTGATAATTCTACATAAATGACTTCTCCCAACCTTTAAACCGGAAGTAGGATTCTGTAGTTTCACTTTCGTGTGTGCTTGGAGAGGATGGATTAATCAAAGTTCTAATGGTTGGCAGACATACTCCTTATTACGATGGCATTTATCGAACACGATATAGCTGACCAAGAAAGGTATTCTTTTCAAGTCACCTGAGAATAAAGGAAATAATTGCTTGTTAATATCAATTATGGAAAACTAGTTTAGATTTAGAACAATCATGTCATGTGACCAAAGGTGAAGCATATTTTTCGTGTTTTATTTATATTTTTGTTTTACAGATTCAACTTACTGCTATTAGAGCCAGGGGAAATTTATTTTGAAGATTACAGTGTGACGTATTTTCCTAACGGCACACTGAAAAAAGACAAGGGAAAAAAGTGAGCAGAATCAGTCACTACTGTTGCTTGTAAAGATCAATGAGTGTCTAAATCACATGTTACTTTATTTATTCAAGATTAGTACAATTTTATATTTACATATTTCAATACTTAATTTATCATCCAGGGATCTCTATTGCCTATACTTTGGGGTGCTGAATGACCCCATTCTCAGTGCAAAATTGGTACTATTATACCCAACTGAATGATGTTGTCTCCAGCTTTTGTGAAAGCACAGGGGCATTAAATCTCATTCATCTGTCTGTCAGTCCATCAGTAAGTCTGTCACAGAAACTTTAACCTTGGACAACCATCATAATGAGAAAAAACATGGCTTTCATATTTCACATATGCATTACCTGTGACAAAACCTTCAGAATCTATACTTATAAATTTTGAAAATAAACTCCGAAACGGGTGCACCAGAGTTCTTACTAACTCCTCTATGAAAACACTAGATACAAGATGATGTCCGTAAACTATATTCAGATTTCACTCACATAGTAAATATCATACATTAAATTAAAAGTCTACTTTCATTTTCTATAAACAGCCATGAAATAGCAAAAAAGTGAGTACGGTGGCGGTTCCAGTTGGCGGATCTAAGTTAGTGGCAATTTTTAATGAAACTGACAACAAGCAATCATTTATTTATTTGAATTCATAAAACGTCATCACTGAATTATTCAATCAAAACTTGATTTAAATGATATAAAAGAAATAAGTTGTGATAACCGATTTAAAAGGGAAATATACAAATTATTTTCATCATTCATCAGTCTTAATATTGACAGAAACTTCTAGAAAATCATATAGCATCGAGCTTGATGTTAAAAAGAAAAAACGAGGCAATTACAGCTGTGTGAACATTAAAAAAACCTTTTGTGTGAATGGTCATTGAAATAATGGGAAATCATTGATAACACTATAAATCGCGAATATATTAATATATAGAAAGACTATTAGTAGGTTTTCCTAATAAATTTATCTGTAAAATTTGTATATTCCTCACTGAGAGCATAGTGGCAACGAACCCAAAGTACAATTTGTACTTCATAATAAATTTGCTTATATGAAAAGAGATGGGAGTGTGATGTACATCTACTTCTGCTCCAAAGCTAAATGCAGGATTTTGAACAAAGTATTTCTTCCTGCTATAAGCCTGTAGGCTGTCAGTAGAATCTACAATATATATTATTGGAATTTTTCTGTCAGTAGTGGTATAAATTTAATTCTTGCGTGGGATTTCGTCTAGTATACTGTAATTTTTGACCACATGATCTTGAAGTTGACTTACTTTTCAAAAATTTTTATCATTGGTAATATCTTTTGAGGGAGAGAAGATAGGGCCTTCATATTTCACATGTACATTTCCCAGCTGTGACATCACCTTTCAAGAAGTACTACTGTTTTTGACCTCATGTCCTTGACCTTGAAGTTTGACCTGCTTTCCAATAGTTTTAACATTCGTGTTAACTTCTATTTGAGAGAAAATACATCTTTCATATTTCACATATAAATTGCCTATTATGATAAATGATAAAGTTGAGTGAAAAACACCAAAATATGTTCAAAGAAATAGTACATTATCAGTTAAAATAAATTGATGTCAAAAGATCTTTAATGCAGGAACTTTTTCTGTAGTTTTTTTTTTTTCTTTCAAAACACTTTATTGACTTTACCAAGATAACAATTTATGTTCAAAATCACATTAATTTTTGGCCCATAGTAAGTAAAATATTCCCAAAATTGTCAAAACAGCAAATAAGTTTACAAAATACTGTTTTTATTAGATTTTTGCTGAGAAGCAAAATCTGCATGCATTTGAAACTCATGGAGTAAATACAATTTTGCTAAGAAAAACATATCTGGAGTTCTGTGTTGATTTTTCCAATCTTCCTACAAACTTTGCTAATTTCCCAAATTTGACAGCCCCTATACAAAGAATATGAGAGCCATGTGTATTGTGTATAGGCAGATTTGATAGTTATATTATTTATTAAGCATCTTCATTAATGGGATACTGAGGTAAAAGCGACCTGATGAATCAGTATTTATTGGATTAATAAGGTGTAGCAGGATTAGATAATATCTTGTGTATGTTTTTTAAAAATGCTTATAACCACTCTTAATTGTTGTATATAATAAAAAAACAGAACAGATCATCAAAAGAAAAATGCTCAGCAAATAAACTTTGTTCTTGACAACAAGTATTTTATTAATGTCAAAATGGAATGTACAATTTTGAAGCTTTGTAACAGGAATGTGTCTTTCTATATGACATGATAAAAAAAAGGTACAAATGTTAGATTACAAATCTCCAAACTGTTATCAGGGTTGTCCCCAAGACCCAGGGGCCAGGGAATTTCCCCGCCTATATGACGTAATCCCCCAGTTATTCAGGTATTCCCCCTCACCCCCTCTTATGCGTGAAACCCCAGAACCCCTTCTACTTTTTTAATGCCCCCTGCTATTTCAATTCTTAGGGACAACCCTGTGTTATGTTTTGACCTGTCTATATTTAATTTTGGAGGGAAAACTAGTTTCAGTTGTAATATGCAAATTTTGAAAAAGTAATTAACATGTCTTATATAATTTAAAAGATATATATTTTTATGTAATAAATAATATAAAGCATTCTGCTATGAATACCTATACTAATATACAGTAAAACTTGGTTATAAAGAACTCGCTTACAAGGAAATCTTAGTTATAAGGACTTTTTATGCATTCCAAAGAGGATTTTTCAATATGTTTCTGACACAGATATAAAGAATCTTATAAGGAAGCAAAATATGAGGTCCCAGTGACTTCCTTATAACCGAGTTTTACTGTAGAGATAATTCAGCTATATACATATAGATACTTCATCTTAAAAACATCATCATATGTGTGAAAAGATTCTTCGAGTATTACAGTCTTGATTCTTAAAACAGAACAAAAATTTTTTGTAGGTCACAGAAGGGACATCTTAAAATTTGTTCCAAGTCTGTTGTTTTTGTCCCTAAAGTTATCCAGTTTCCAATACTTAAGGTCAGTGAAAATTGTTAAAAAATGCAAGGTATAGTATAGAACAATATGACAATCTGTCAAAGGAAAATGGGTGATAATATTGAATTGTAACATTGAGAAAATATGGAAAATTTGAAATTACATACAATCCTCTGGTTCCAAGAAATAATTAATGTAGAAGTACAATGCAATACAGAAAATATATGTAAGTATCTGTTTCCTGAGTAAAGGCGTAACTTTCAAGGGGAAAGTTTTAGCAAGAATCATTTCCTGCTTAATTGAAATATAAAAAATCCACTTTTATCATTATTTAATTTTGTATTGTTGTATCCAAATTTGACATGCCATAAGAAATCATCCTCTATAAATACCCATGTTTGATAGATATTAAAGATTATGTCAGACTTGTAATAAAATAAAAATTTAATTATAAGGTCCAACATCTATATATGTATGCCAAATGTATGCTCATGCACATTTGCAAGCACTACACTGTATTTATTTATTCATTCATTTAATCATTTATTATAATCTGTATATTTTATTTATTTACTTGATATTTTATTTATTTATTATTATTATTGTTGTTGTTGTCACTGTTGTTGTTATTATTATCATCATTCAAAATCATTATTGATATCATTACAGCTTCCATTGAAAAATGTCACATCAATTGAAGAATGGTCTGGAGACTTATTTTCCAGGTAAAACTAAATATTAATAAAAACTACACTGATATAATTCACATTTATTACATTTGACTGTATTAAAAAAAATTATTTGTTTGATTTATATAGGCTTGAAAAAGATAAAATTATAAAGATAACGTCTAACCGAGCCGTGAAAATGAAGGAAAACAACATTATTGGACCATATTCATTTTTCAAGGTATGCAGATCTTTTCAAAGTGTTAGTGTCCAATAAAATATTGCAGATAAAAAAAATTATTTGTAAATATCTTTATTTAATTATGAAATGAGTGTTGTTTTCTAATTAATTGACACTCTTTATTATTGATGTGACTTTGAGATATATAAAGGAGAGATGACTAGCATGGATTCAGTGGTCATACATGTATTGTATGACTAGGGGGAACAGTGTAGGTAGATTTTTTTTTAAGAATAGCTTTCAGAATTAGCTTGATTTATGTTTGTTTTAGGAAGCATCAGATTACACTTTCCAGCTGGACTATGCCTCTGTTGATGATTGTCTGCCACAAATCTGTCAGCTTCACCGCGCCTCCACACTGCCTCCAGGGGAACAAACTGCAATGGTAACGATAAACAGAAAATGTTTAGGAACAGTTTTTAGCTCATCTGAGCAGAAGGTTCAAAATTTGTCTGTTATCTGTCGTAAACTTTTCACAATGTCATCGTCTTCTTCAGAACCACTGGCCCAATTTCAACCAAAATTGCCACAAAGAATCCTTAGGTGAAGGGGATTTAAGTTTGTTCAAATGAAGGGCAAATATGCCATACATTGTAGTTCAAGAAGAGAAAATTAAGAATTATGAAAAATTGAATGGCATCTCTCAAATATCTTCTCAAGAACCACATGGCCCAAAAAGTTTGAACTTTTAAACATGTGAAAGCTTCATTTAATAGTGTAGATTCAAGTTTGTTGAAATCATGTCCCATGGGGATAGGGTGGGGCCACAAAAGACAATCAAAGTTTTACCTGGGAATACATAAGAAAAAAAAAACTTTAAAAAATTTCTTCTCAAAACAAGTGGGCCACAAAATTTGAAATTTATTGAAAGCTTCTTTAAATAGTGTAGATTCAAGTTTTTTGAAATCATGACCCCCTATGTGTAGTGTGGGGCCACAATGGGCAATGTGGAAGCATTCTCAGGTAGTGTAGATTCAAGTTTGTTCAAATCATGAGCCCCAGGGGTAGGATGGGACCACAATTGGCAATCAAAATTTAAACATTGGAAGAAATAGAATAAAGATCTGCTGATAAAAAACAGCAAGTTCGTAGATTCTTATGTTTAGTGTTGTGGCCCTTGGGCCTCTTGTTTAAGGAAGCTAAAGCTGCTGTTGTAAGATATAATTTATATTTTTGAAGCATTTGGGCACAGAAAGATGTTTTCCATAAGTACACATTTCATGCTTTTGTAGATAAATGCCATAGTCTTATCAAGGCAATCCAGATGCAAATTCAATACAAGCTGGTAAGATTTTAGAATTATCCCAAATTCTCTGAATATATGAATTCCATTTCACTTGTTTTTTCACAAGGAAAAGTTCTTTTGATTTCAAATATTCTTTAAGTAATTTTTCTTGACTTTGATATTTAAAAAATGAACATGTTAATTTACATTCCTTCCATCAATAAAAATGTAGGAGTTAGTGAACAAAAAAAGGAATTTGTCTCAAAGTTTTTAACTAACCATTTTCATTGCTTTTATAGGCTGGAAGATCTGTATGAGAAGATTCAGTTTCAAACTCAGGGTGACAGAATTCTTCCTTTGGTCACAAACCCTGGACGAATCATGCTGACTTGTAAAAGATTGTACTTCCAACCCTTCAACAATATAGAAAAGGTTTTTTCTTGATTTTTTCTTGATTAAGGAGGTTCAATCTTGAGCTTTTGTGAACATTTTTGTCTGGACTTTTATTTTTAAAATTCTACATTATATTTTAGTTCTTACAATAAATTTGCATTCTACAATGCCAATTAAACTATAATCAATTAAAAACCCATGATTAAATTACATTACATGTAAGAGAGGAGCTATATTTTGTGGCTTGGGGTTTATTGGAAGAAAATGATCAATCTATCTCTTTGAAGTATTTACAATACTGTTAAGTTTGGATTTCAATTTTTCCATGCAGACTGCACACTGTGTTATCTTGTGCAGTGAAATGTTTTATGCTAGTCCCAAAATTATAAATCAAATTAACTGTTATGAATTCTGTCATCATATTGTGACAAATATAGCAAATATATTGTGAAAGTTCAGAAAAATAGACCCAATTTTAGCTTTAAATTTATACTTTTTTTTGGTACATTGTAATAACTAAAGAAAATTACATCATAGACCCCCACTTTTAAATAAATTTTCTTTTTTGCATATACAAGATTACTTTGACCATTCTACTTAAATTAAGTAAAAGTTAAGACTTTAAAATAATTCTAATACTTTTAAATTTTTAATGCCAGAAAAATGACATTTTGTGAATGCAAAAAGGTCAAATAATTGATTATGCAAAGTATTAAATTTTATTTCTTTTTTCTTTGTCACAATTTTTTGTGTGTCTATTGAAGATAGAATGAGACTGAATATGGTCCCATGATATATTTGGATAAAAGATATTGGAGGAAAAACTTTAAAAAAGTGATTTGCACTATTTCAGTGCAAAAAGGTCATATTAAATGCACTGTAAAACTAAAAAATGTGTATTTACCCCCATATTTTGTATTGATTTTTAATTAAGTTTTATGTGTAGATACTTAAAATATACTTGACAACAAATTCTTAAGACTTTTGATAGCAGGATCCAACCACAATTCACATTGAGAATGTATCTGTACAATCAGAAGTATCATGTCCTAGAGGTCTAAAGTCTGTATTAGGAATTTCACCTAATTTTTTAGGTTCCTGTGATTAAGATAAGATTAAAAGACATATCCAGGGTCATTAAAAGAAGATTTCTACTACGTCATGTCGTAAGTACATATGTTAACTGAAAAAAAAATGATGTTCATACAGAAAGTCTGCAAATTTTATCTGAATTCTGCCTACCATACTGCAAAGTCTCACTTAAAGTACAGATACTTTATATGCTTATTTATTAAAATTAATTGAGATAGATATTGTACAAAGAACTCCTGGTTGTAATGACTGTTTAAAAAATGACTCAGTGGCTTACCATAATATTTAGCTCACCTGAGCCATAGGTTCAAGTAAGCTTTTCTGATCAAAGGGTGTCAGGCATTCATCTGTTGTGTGTGTCATCTGCCATATTATCTGCTATTTGTAAACTTTCACATTTCAACTCTTTCTCCAGAACCAATGGACCAATTTCAAGTGAACTTGCCACAAAGCATCCCTTGGTGAAGAGAATTCGAGTTTTTTTTTCAACTGAAAGCCATGCCTTTACTTAAGGGGAGAAAATTAAGAATTGATGAAAATTTGGTGACATCTTTTAAAAAATCTCTTCTGAAGAACAGCAGGGCTGGAAAACATTAAACTTATTTGAAAGCATCTGGACATAGTGTTGATTAAAATTTGTGCAAATCATGGCCCCCAGGGTTAAGATGAAGCCACACTAGGGGATCAAAGTTTTACATAGAATAAATACAGGGTAGTTAAACAGTTTTTTTTTTAAATCTTCTCAAGAACACTAGGACCATGAATAATGATACATGTATTAATATACTGGAAAAATGTTTAAAAATCTTCTTCTCAAGAACAACAGGGCCTTGTTTAATGATACTTAAAATATGCAACTATTCTCAGGTGGTGAAGATTCAAGTTTGTTTCACATGATGACCCCCGGGAGGTAGGATATGAGGCCACAATAGGGATCAAATTTTTACATAGGAGTATATAGCAAAAATCATTAAAAATGTTTTGAAGAACAGCAGGGCCATGATTAGTGATACTATCTGGTAATATGCAAGGATTCTCAGGGAGTGCAATTTAAAGTTTGTTCAATTCATGGCCCCTGGGGATAGGATGGAGCCACAGTAAGGGAATCAAAGTTTTACATGGGAATATAAAGGGGAAAACATATTTAGCCATCTCTTATTCACATGAATTTCCTAGCAATCTCAAGAATATAGAGGGAAAAACTTTTAAAAAGCAGGATCAATGTGACTCAGTTGAGCATTGTGGTGCAGGGGCCTCTTGTTCAATGCATGCAATATACAGTAAACCCTGTAATTTGGATAATGTTGATAATTTGTACATTCTGTATTCTAGGGAATAGAGATATTTTGTAAAGAAGGAACTGCCTGCTCACATATTTATCTGAGCCTGCAATCAGCAAATGACAGAAATGAACTTTATGATACAATACTTAAACAGGAAGGCAAGTTTACATGTTTATCATGGTTTTCAATACATATGTATAAGAAACTGTTGTATTATGAATATGTTTGCAATTTTATGGAACAATGTAAATACTAACTATGATACACAAAAACTGGAATTTTTGAATTTATGTAAATCTTTAAAAGATTTCGATTTTATTAATACTTATGTGGTAGAATTGTTTATTTTCTTCAGTTGATGATTTTAACATTATGTTTATAGAGCTGCAACTAGAGGAAACATCTCAAGATGACATGATGATAAAATGGCAGAGTAAAAACCTGTCTAATTATGACTACCTGATGTATCTGAACAGGTATGGAACACTTGTTTTTTACTGTGTACATTTGTCATAATTTGATGCCAGTACAGTACTCAGTTTGTAATCTTTTTTTATTGTGCCTTCCAGCCAATCGGACAGAAGTTTCTGTGATCTAACGCAGTACCCTGTCATGCCCTGGGTCATCACAGATTTTACTTCTCCAACCCTGGGTAAATCTTATTACTTATGATTATGAAAAGAATGTATAGAAAAAAAAACATAACTCTACAAATAATTACAAAGGACGACAATGAAACCATACATTTCACTGTGCATTACTTGATTGCTTGTTTCATTGATAAAATTTAAGAGGTAAGACTGTTTGAATATCATTTGGTTTTGAATGTAGAAAAAAAAATTTAAAGAATCTCTTTTGATATACTGGTGGTGTTTTTTCTAGATTTAGAAGATGAGAAAATTTACAGAGACCTGAGGAAGCCCATAGGAGCACTTAATGAGGAGAGGATCCAAAAAATGAGGGTATGGCTATTTATTATACCCCCGTTCCGAAGGAGAGGGGGGTATACTGTTTTACCATTGTGTGTCTGTCTGTCTGTGTGTCCGTGTGTCTGTCCGTAACAAATTTTGGTTGCAGTTTTCTCAGCAATTACACATCGCTGATGCTTGAAATTTTAACACACTCTTTGTTTAGGCATGTCATATGGTGGGATTAATTTTTATGAGAATCCAATGTCAACTTCCTGTTTATCCGTGCATCTGTCCGTACCATACATAACAAATTTTGGTCACAGTTTTCTCAGCAATTACTCATTGCTGATGCTTGAAATTTTAACACGCTCTTTGTTTAGGCATGCCATATGGTGGGATCCAATTTTTGTGAGAATCTGATGTCAACTTCCTGTTTATCCGTGCACCTGTCTGTACCATACATAACAAATTTTGGTCACAGTTTTCTCAGCAATTACTCATTGCTGATGCTTGAAATTTCAACACGCTCTTTGTTTAGGCATGCCATATGGTGGGATCCATTTTTGTGAGAATCTAATGTCAACTTCCTGTTTATCCGTGCATCTGTCCGTACCATACATAACAAATTTTGGTCACAGTTTTCTCAGCAATTACTCATTGCTGATGCTTGAAATTTCAACACGCTCTTTGTTTAGGCATGCCATATGGTGGGATCCATTTTTGTGAGAATCTAATGTCAACTTCCTGTTTATCCGTGCATCTGTCCGTACCATACATAACAAATTTTGGTCACAGTTTTCTCAGCAACTTTTCATCGTAGATGCTAGAAATTTTAACACACACTTTGTTTAGGCATGCCATATGGTGGGATTTATTTTTGTATGAATCTGATGTCAACTTCCTGTTTATCCATGGGTCTGTCCGTACCATACATTACAAATTTTGGTTGCAGATTTCTCAGCAACTACTTATTGCAGATGTTTGAAAGTTTAGCAGACTCATTGTTTTAGGCATGCCATATGGTGGGATTCATTTTTGTATGAATCTGATGTCAACTTCTTGTTTTTCCCTGTGTCTGTCCAAAAATGAACTTGTGTATTCATATCATTAGTGAGCATTGGCTCACAGACTTCTTGTTTTATATGATGTAATGTTCCCTATCAATCAGTGTTATTAGGTATATTTAACCATGACTGATTGTTTTAGGAGAGATATCGAGAAATGCCAGATCCTAAATTCCTGTATGGATCTCACTACTCAACCCCTGGTTATGTTCTGTTCTATTTGGCAAGAATAGGTAATTATACATATTGCAGATAAAATGAATAATTGTAAAAATATTGAAATTCAGTCAAAGTAATTGTATTTCAATTTTCAAGGTTTTTTCCCATATATATATTCATGTATATGAAATTTTATTTATGTAAAGGCTTAAGTATAAAATTACATTTGTAAAGGATGAAATTTCTTTATTTTTAGCTCCAGAGTATGTGCTGTGCTTGCAGAATGGAAAATTTGACAAGCCTGACAGAATGTTTAATAGGTAAGTAGAAGCAGAATCGTGTGATTGATATTTTGACTCACTCTGTTTTGTTTAGTTTTCATTCAGGATGATGACATGATATGAATTATTTCAGTCTTGATGACACCTGGGGTAATTGTCTAGAAGGGGCCGCTGACTTCAAGGAATTGATTCCAGAGTTTTTTGATGGGAATGGAGAATTTCTTCTCAATAAAGGGGTAAAAAAATGTGCATAAATTTTTACATTAATTTTATGTTTATGTGTAGATGAAACATAAAACATTTGAGACTACATGTGTCAGTTTAAATACCTGTAGTCATTAAATATCCTTAAGTTCATCAATGCGCAGCAATGTTAAGGCTTCCCGAAGCTTTAAATGCGTTCAAAGCATAACACTGCATCGCAAGGTCAGTTTTGATTTTTATTTGTAAGTTATGTACTTACATGTAAGTACGGCCAATTTATATAAAGAGTTCTCTTAGCTATATAAAAACATATTTGTTATGATATCATATGACTTCTTTGATCATGTTATGGTCATTTATGAATTTGAAGTGTTTCACATTTATCGCTTTGGCGCAGCTGATTAACACAATTATTATTAACTTTTTGTCACATAATTAAATAAACTCGTCGCATCCTTGTGAACCTAAAATGTGCTTGGGAAAAGTTATGCTATTACTCTGGTACAAAATATTTCACAATAAATTCAACCTACCCACAAATTTGAGGGTATTTTCCACTCAATATTGTCATCTGTATTAAAACAAAGCCATCACAACATTTTCCCAAGCAAGATTCATTTAGAGGAGAAAATCCTCTTACAGATTTCCACATATTATAAATTCTACCTCTATCCACGGGTATAAAAAAGGGTAAATGTCAAATGTATATTTTTCGTGCATATTTTGAACACGCTGACTTTTAAATAAGAGTAATAAAGCAAAGCTATCTAAAATATTTGGATATATGATTTAAAAAAAAGATTAAAACATGTTTATTTTACACTAGCTTTCTGACACTTTATATGCAGATTGAAATAAGGTGTAAAGTTATGACACTCTCCCCATCATAACAGTTCAAGTTTGCAGTGACTTGACGTCATACATTTGTAGTTCAGAGACTTGAAGGCACAGAGTACACTGCGATATTCTCTGGGAAGCCTTAATGTACCTGCATGGTACATGTATATGTTTATAAGAAATTCTGCAAAAGCATTATTTTATTCTTATTTTGAGTACGAAATTTTTAGTATAGGAATCCATATTTGTGTACAAGTACAGTACATGTTTATTTTTAGCTTAATAAGAAGGTCTTTTGTTATTTCTAGGTCAGTAACTTTGGTATAAGACAAGATGGTCGACCAGTTGGTGATGTAGAACTTCCACCTTGGGCAAAAGGTCTGATTTATCACATGACTAAAGCCTTTTTTATAGGGATGTAAACTTAAATTGGTTATGTGTAACAGTTAAGAAAAACGGCTAGAAAAGGGGGGGGGGATACATTATAGATCTGTAAAAGGATTGATTTGTAAAATTATGTGAATGCAAAATTCTTGTGAATTCAATCATTAATTTCATACAAAGTTTATATGACTTTGAATATGCAGTCAAATCTCATTATCTCGAACTCAAATGAATTGAGATAGAACTTTGAGATGCCCAAGGATTTGAGATATTGAAAGTAAGATGACTAAAGAAAATAGTGATTGGGACTTTCAGATCACTTCAATATATGCATGGTATTCTATATAATCAGTGTTAAAGATACTCAAGTTCAGCTGTTCTTGTATCTATCTTTCTAACTTTAGACTACCATGATTTTATTGACAAAATGAGAGCAGCCCTAGAGAGTGACTATGCCTCAGAACATATACATCACTGGATAGATCTTATATTTGGATACAAACAGAGAGGAAAAGAGGCAGAAAAAGCTGATAATGGTATGATGGAACAATACAGTCAATAAATTTTAATGAAACTGTTTACTACAACTTACAGTGTAATTTTTGGTAGATTTGCATCAAGAGAAGTCATTTTGAAATAAACTTTTTCCAAAATTAGATATACCATACATGCTTTTTATTTTTGTTTCAGTTTTCTATTACATGACATATGAAGGAGCAGTGGATTTGGACAAGTATGTCATTTAATATGATATAGATTACCAAGTTTTTTCTCTCTCTCTAAAATTTGCAAGAAAAATAAAACTGTAAATTTTGTCTCTATGTATTAACAAGGGAAAGAACTGCTAATTGCAGGGGACCTACAGATGTCTATTTGAATATTCTAAATATAATTTTTTTTTATTTAGAAGAAAAATCATTAGCATATAAGCAAAAATTTATATGAATTTTATATGAGTGAATAAGCAGAAGATGAACCTTATAAGAACTACAAACTAAAATTCCAAATTATATTATGAAAGCATCCTCTTGCAGTGTACTTCAAGTGTCAGTTCAGTAGTGTCCTAAAAAGGATGGGATGAGGCCACAATAAATGGCTGAATTCATACATTGAGGTGTCTTATGAATACTGCTGCATGACACTCAGGTGATTGTTAAGACCCATAATCCTTAAAATTGTTTAATTAGAATTGAGGACCCAAATGAAAGAGCCAGAATAGAGATCCAGATTATGGAGTTTGGTCAGACTCCCCATCAGCTGTTTGAAAAACCACACCCTCCCCGATTCACGAGAGATGGAATTAGACATCACAGTTCCACCACAGCATCGTGTAGTTCACAGGAGAATGAACTTCAAGGTAAAGTCTTGGTGTAAGACAGTAGTATTTTTCAAGGTGTTAGTCTTTTGATGCTGATTTCAATTTAACTTGTTTAATACAAGTGAAGGAAATTTGAGAAATTTTGAGAGAAGGATAAGATACGTGTATAATAATTTAAGAATTTCTGTGCTGATAAACAATTACAATGAATATATCTTTAAAAGTTGTGGTTGTGTGTGTGGTGAAGGGGGAGGGGTACTTTTATTTGGTAGGAAAGCACCAGTATTATTTTTTAATGAATGATGATTGAATTTCTTGTCTGTGGCTGATTTTTTTTTTTATATTTATCAGTGAAGGAGGCTGAATCTATTCAATCTTCCGAGTCTGGTGTAGTCAGTTCTGTACAGAGTTGTCTTTCTTTAGAGGATATATCAGCACTTCAAATTACTCATCAATACTCACTTCATAAAAGGTAATTCACTTTTTTTTAAATATGCATTTCAAATAATGTAAAGTATATTTAGTAATGTTATAAGAAAATTTGATTTTAAAATATCTTTTTTTTTTTTAAGTTGTATCACTGCTATGCAGCTGACCGAGGATGGATGTAATATATTTTCAGTTTCACAAGGTACCATAAGCTGTTAAATTATGACTATGATTCTGTGAGAAATGTGAATTTATAATTTAACTACAGATGTATTTGTAAATGTGATAAAAAGATTAAATGTTATTTTTGTGTATGAAAATTTTGCATTTTTCCCCTTTAGATACAACACTGAAAATGTATTCACTGGAGGACCAGAGGCAGCTTAGCTTTAATGTGTCAAATATGGTATGAGTAATCTGTGTGGATTTCTGTATGTCAATGCATAGTTTTGATGCATTCAAGATCATCTTAGCTCTGTAGCTTTATGTAGAGCTTAAAAGGGCTGCTATGTAGAGATAACAAGCGTTAATTCACACAGTGTGCTCGATAGACTTATAATATATCTCGCATAGCAGCTAAGTAGTAGCTACAATCTTGAATGCAGGCCCATGTAATTATCATCTGTGCACATATGTACTGCTAAAAAAAAAAGAAAAAGAAAATAGCAGCATAAATTTCACATGTAGCTTAAGCAGGACTGACTCTATAAGCCTTTTAATAATTGAATGTTCTTATTGAAATGCCTAGATCTATATAGTGTTAGGAAAGATGAATTTTCATTTTTTTTTCAGGCATTATCTTCATGTATAGTAATGCCAGATAACAGAACAATTGTTGTTGGATCTTGGGATAACTTTGTGTAAGATAAAATTTTGAGTAAATTATCATTTTAAATTAAAATTATTTATCAAGGAAGGAGATCATTCATCTTTCAATTTCATCAAACTTATCCTTAAAAACATGAGTTTCAAATATGCAATAACATATTATATGATCTAAGAATCTCTATATATTTTGCTTGAATCATTGTGTTCTAGTTATGCATGGTAAACAAGAAATTTGATTTCGCAAAAATTTATGAATTTTCATTGTTTTATATATCAGTATTTCAATACCTGCATCTTATAGTTAAATACCTTAGAATGTTATACTCTTGTGTTTAGATACTTCTACAGTGTAGAGTTTGGACGTACTCTGGACACTCTAAAAGCACATGATGATGCAGGTTAACACTGATCTATTTATAGATATACTATTTATACATTCCAGGTTAAAAAAATATAAACAAAATTATCACTTCCTAATCTGTATACATATTTTATAATGTGATCACACTTGTACACCGTTATTATTTTATCTTCTTTGAAGTTATGTAATTAAACATGTAACATTTCCTCTTAGATTTTTGTTTTCTGATTAAATGTCTTTATATCTTCTGTTTTGAAAGCAAATGCAGCAAAATGTTTAAACATTCTTTGTTATGTTTTCCAGTTTCTTCTGTTGTTTGGAAGAATAACTTTCTTATCACAGCATCTTGGGACTCAACTGCAAAGGTGATTATAATATTAAGGATGAAAATTGAAGTAGTTGATTTGAAATACTTGAGAGGAGGAGAAAGAAAGAGAGGGAATGAAAAATCCAATAATAAGTATGGGTAAAATCATTTAAATCTCACACTAATGACTGAGGAGTCATTGTTTAGTGTGAAGATAATATCCACAATGCTAAACAGCATGTAAATTAAAGCACATATTTTGGTGGGATGAAATTTTCTTGGTTTGAGGAATAAATAAGGGTTTGTTGGGAATTGATTTCATGGATGAAGAACTGTTGAGTAGTAATATATGTAAAAAATTTCATTTCATGGTGGACATAAATTCGTGGGTTTCTTCATACTGCAAAAGCAATGAAAATTAAACTCCCATGAAAATAAGTGATTTCCCAGTATATTAGAATAGAATAGTAAGTGTTAGACATTTCAGCAGATTGACAGGATGCTTTAGTGGGAAAAAGTGGACCTTTTAGAGGAAAAGAACAAAGTTCACTTAGTGTCATGTTTGGCCCTGTGGATTTCTGAAAAATCAAAACTGCTCAGTTTTAGTTGAAAATACATTAAATTCTCTTGGACCCTTGGTGACTGCATATTTATTTAAAATGATACAATTTTCTTCCTAACTGATTTTTCTTCTTCTAAAATGTCCTATAATTCTTCCGCTAAAATGTCCATTCACACCTTTTGCAATTCTGCTAAAATGTCCGCCACCCAGAATACTAGCAAGTTCCACTGAGACAGGCTTGAATACATTTCCAGCTTAGAGCCCCCTCCACCAGTTGTAGTGAAACCAACAGGATGGAAAAAGGGAAATGAAAGCAAATTATATATATGTATATGTACATGTTTCTGTTTTTGATTTCCACAGGTATGGCAGTTTGATCCCCCAAGTGAACCACACAATTTTAATGCAGCTGTTTTTGTAGTAAGTAGCCTTGTTTTTGTTTATACCTTAAATTTTTTTTTCACAAATCTTCAGTTCTCCACTTTTCTATGACATCAATTTATTTCATGATTTTTTTTTTCTTTTCAGGGACAGCTGGATCATGATTCTGGAGTTTCTTGCCAAGACATAGATGAAACTGGTTCTCTTCTTGCGACAGGAACTGAAGAAGGACATGTTCTAATTTGGGACATCAAATCGCTGCATCCTATTGCAGAGATGGAAGGTAGAGTTCTTAGAAGTTGTTTGATTCCTCATCATTTTCTGCATGCCTAAAAACTAATTACTGTAGAACACTTTTTATTCGCAAGAACTTTATTTTTGTGTAATTATGCAAGACTGCGTGCTTGCGAAAATTTAATTCTCCCGTATGTTTGTAATACAGAAGATTATAAAGAATATAACTAGTGTTCATGGAAATTATGTCTCGCTTATGAAAATCAAATGGCCATCTCTTGAAATTAAAGTGTCGCATAAATTTGGTGATCTACAGTATGTTCCTTGGAGTAAAGTTTTGAAAATTCTATTTTACAACAAGTTATTTTGTTTTCGGCTGAGTATAATTTTTTTTATTTCTTTCTCTTTCTTAGAAGTTCATAGTGGCACAGTCAATTCACTTGCATTTACTTTTGGTAAGTTTTATGGAAAATAAGCCTTGAAGTCCTTCAATTACTTCTCTTGTCTGTCCAACTACAATTATCAAGTAGATGTTATAGAGTTTAAGAGACATGTTTATCTATCACAATTATTTTCGTGCTAGGAAGAGAATTTCCTAACTTTTCAAAGAATAGACATGGATACAGTAAAAGACTCTTATAGCGAACACGCTTATAATGAATTGACACTTTAAGTGAAGTGATTTTCATTCCCATTGGCTATAAAGTATATTGTGAACTTTATGGATATAACGAATTACGTTTATAACAAACCAAAATCATCCATCCCTGGCACTTCATTATAAGCATGGTTAATTGTATTCATACCATGGGAAGCATTGTACTTTTCCTATTTACAGATAGCAGAAGACTAATTTCCTGTGGAGCAGACTCGGTGTTGAAGATCCTAGATGTGGAGACACAGACAGAAGTCTTTGTCAAGAATTTAGGACATCAAATTCTGTAAGGAATACCATACCTGTATCATACTCTATTATATTTTCTTATGTCAGGTAATTATTCAGAGGTGAATTATATCTTTGATTTTATTTCTGGAAAGTGATTTCTTGCACAAAATCTTGTTTACATGAAGCTCAAATGCCAGTAGAAAACATGAAAGAGAGTCATACTTTATTCATAATTCATCAGTGTAAACCAAAAAGTACTATTTACAGTTGAAATTTGGTATCTCGAACACCGATATCTTGAATAACATGGATATTTAGAAGTGAATTGGAAGTCCCAACAACTTATTCTTTAATTATTTACCCTTGATATCTCAAGGCCTTGGATATCTCAAAGTTTTATCTCTAGCCCAATGAGTTCAAGATAAGGAGGTTTGACTTAACATGTATATATATAGTTTTGAATTACATTCTGGTACTGCAGGATACTGAACCCTTCTTCAATGTGCTACATATTTTTAGGTACAGGTAAGTGATTTGTATATGTAATTATTTTTTATCAATATCACATATCTTTTTTTCCATAGTTGTTTGGCCTGTTTTGAAAGTTTGATACTATGTGGAACAGAGAATGGAGAACTAGAAATTTGGGACATTGAGAAAGCCAGTGTATTGTCAGCAATTAAAGGCCATAATGGTAGGATGATGTTCACTTTAAAGCAATATGTACTCAAAATTACCAATAAATAACAATCTCTCTATAAAGACTGTTATTTCTGTAAGTTAACATTGAAAATGGAAGATCATGGGTCCTAGAACAATAGGCTCCATTGTACAAAAAATGAGGTCAGCTCCTAGGTGGCCTGTTATACTACAGACACTCCAAGCTGCATTTTATCAAGATGCTTTGAAAATGCTAAAACCCCACCACATAGAGGAATAATGTCCCAGTTAAGAAATGGTATAATCTGGCTTTTTGTTGAGATGAAGAGAAATGCATCTATAGCATACCAGTAGTTAAAAACAAAGTGATGTAATAAACATTTTATTTCACTAAAATATTCACAATGTTTGTCCTGTAGAACCAGTCACTTGTATTGAAGTTGGGAGAAAGTGTGTGTTAACGGGGGACAAAGGAGGAGGTATCTGTGTGTGGAAACCTGGCTGACTCAAAGAATGTTTAAAATGTTACAACATCATGTGCATAAAAAGTAGACCAATGTTTTTAACAACATTGAAAATGTAACAAATTTATTGTAATTTACAGTATATTTTTATAGTTGTATTATATTATGTGTTGCAACCAAAAGACATGCAAGAAGGATAAACAAAACCTTAAATTAGATCAATTGTCAATAAAGTATTGATTAGGTGTCAGTTGTTGAACTGTACAATCCACTGGGAATAAATATGAAGATGATGTAAAAAGAAACTATATATATATATCTCCAAGGAGAGAGGTAGCTACATGTACATGTATTTTAAGTTTTCATGTTTTGTTTATATTATTTATTGCAATGTGTTGGGGAAATGTTGCATATCTGTGCATGCATTTGTATGAACATTGATCAATTTTAATGAATATTCAAATTGTTATAGAAATATTTACTTTTTGTTATCTGTTTAAATGATACTTTTGATTCTTTTCCTTATTTAAGGAAGTCTAGTCTGAGATCTAAAATATTGTTGGCCATAAGATCTACAACTTTTGCTCTTCATCTGTTGTTCATAAAGTGTAGAGTCTTTTCAAACTGATAATTGTTTTCCATAATATGTATGTTATGTAGTTGTATGATTAGAAATATATGAGCATGCACATTCCATAAATGTTCTACTGTTTGAAAAAATTTAGTTACAACCAAGGCCAAACAATTTTTGATGAATAAATCATTTATTCCTCTATAGTTATGGAATCCTTATTTCAGATATTTCAATTCTTATTCCTCGTGTTTAGCTCACCTGATTTGAAGGCACAAGAGAGCTTTTCTCTTCAAGGAGTGTCCATCATCTGTAAACTTTTCACATTTTCGACTTCTTCTCAAGAACCACTGGGCAAATTTCATCAAACTTGCTATAAAGCATCCTTGGGTAAAAGGGATTTAAGTTTGTTCACAGGAACACGTGCTACACCCTCTTTCAAGGGGAGATAATTAAGAATTCAAGAAAATATGGTGCATCTTTTAAAGATCTTCTTTTCAAGAACCACTGTGCAAGAAAAGATGAAACTTAATTGAAAGCTTCATTACATACTCTAGATTCAAGTGTTCATATCATAACCCCCGGGGGTAGGGCAGGGCCACAAGAGGGGTCAAAGTTTTACGTAGGAAATATAGGAAAAGTCTTTTAAAATCTTCTTCTCAAGAACTGCAAAGCCATGATTAGTCATATTATTATAGAAGTATCCTCAGTTAGTGTAGATTCAAGTTTGTTCCAATCATGACCCGTTGGGGTAGGACAGGGCTACAAGAGGGGGTCAAAGTGTACCATAGGAAATATCTTTACTACAAATATGTCCATAGGACATGAATGCGCTGCCGAGGGTATATTAGTAATACAATATGAAAATTTGTATTAGTGTATGAAGTTTGATGAGAATATCTTGAAAAGTTTCTTTAAATTTGAAATTAAAATCTAAAAAATTGGATATAGATGAAAAATTCTCACCAAATTACGTTTAAGTGCATAAGCTTACATAAGAATATATCAAATGGTTTCTTTAAAACTAAGCAAAATGCAAATTTAAGAAAATTGAGGTCAAGGTCACAGGAAAATTCAAGGTCAAAACTTTTTGATGCAGTTGAATACATCTCACTAGTACTTTTCAGCATATTATGTTTGATAAAAATATCTTGGATGGTTTATTTAAAACTGAGCTAAACACTAATTTAAGAAAAGTAAGGTCAAAGGAAAGGTAAAAAAATGTTGATGCAATTGAAGAGCTTACATCAGTATGTATAAGAATATGAAGTTTGATAAAAATACCATGAATGGTTTCTATAAAACTGAGCTAAACACAAGTTTAAGAAAAGTAAGGTCAAGGTCAAAGAAAAGGTCAAGGTCGAAAAAAGTTGATGCAGTTGAATAGCGTACATCAGTATGTATCAGCATAAAAAGTTTGATAAAACTATCTTGAACGGTTTCTTGAAAAACTGAGCTGAACACTAATAAAAGAAAAGTAAAGGTCACTATTAAAAACAAAGGAAAGGTCAAGGTCCAAAAATGTTGATGCAGTTGAATAACTAACTTCAGTTTGATCAGCATATGAAGTTTGATAAAACTATCTTGAATGATTTCTTGAAAAACTGAGCTGAACACTAATAAAAGAAAAGTAAGGTCAAGGTCAAAGGAAAGGTCAAGGTCCAAAAATGTTGATGCAGTTGAATAACTAACTTCAGTATGTATCAGCATATGAAATTTGATTACACTTCTTGAATGCTTCCTTGAAAACTGACCTGAACACTAATAAAAGAAAAGTAAGGACAAGGTCAAAGGAAAGGTCAAGGCCAAAAAATGTTGATGCAGTTGAATAGCTTACTTCGGTATGTATCAGCATATGAAGTTTGATAAAAATATCTTGAATAGTTTCTTTGAAACTGAGCTAAACACTTATTTATGAAAAGTGAGGTCAAGGTCAAAGGAAAAGTCAAGGTCAGAAATTGTTGATGCAGTTGAATAGCGCTCATCAGTATGTATCAGCATATGATGTTTGATAAAAATATCTTGAATAGTTTCTTTGAAACTGAGCTATACGCAAAGTGCGACGGAAGGGCAGACGGAAGACGTACATGACAAACTCCCCGGCCATGAATATATAAATCTTCTCGAAGACAACCAAGCAATTATTAGTAATTTTAATACAGAAGTATCCTCAGGTAGTGTAGATTCAAGTTTGTTCAAGTCATGACCCATGGGGGTTTGGTGCAGACACAACAGGGGGCTAACGTTTTATATGGGAATATATGTAGGAATATCTTTAAAAATTTTCTTCTCAAGAACAGCTTAGCCATTATTAGTCATATTAATATGGAAGTACTCTCAGGTAGTCTAGATTCAAATTTATTCAAATCATGACCCCGGGGGTAGGGCAGGACCACAATAGTGGGTCAAAGTTTTACATAGGAATTTATAGGTGTAAAGGTTAAGGGGCATTTGCGTAAACTGAATTGAAGACTTCAAATGGTGGAATGACCAGACAACCCTTGGAATGGATTTGGCAAAGGCCGGGTGTACAAGACAAAGTTTCAGGAGAGTCAGGTATTCAGAAGCTACATGTAGGAGAAGAAGTTGGCAATTAAATCAGCAATAAAGAAGTTACGGGTAAGAGCAAAATAAAAGTTATAAACAACAGTTGAGTATCCTATGGAATTCAAGTTAAGTTATGGGTGTACTAAATCTGAAGAAGGTTGAGACACCCGGTTCTTATCTATCAATAGGAACATAGGGGAGAAACACTGTACACAAATGGGTCAAAACAGAAGGTCAAAGTTTTACATTAGAATATATAGGAATCATCTTGAAACTAGAAATATGTCCATAGGACATGAATGCCCCGCCGAGGGTATATTAGTAATGCATGAAAATTTGTATTAGTGTATGAAATTTGATGAGAATATCTTGAATAGTTTCTTTAAAATTGAAATTGAAATCTAAAAAGTTGGATATAGATGATAAATTCTAGCCAAATTATGTATAAGTGCATAAACTTACATAAATATATCTTAAATGGTTTCTTTAAAATTAAGCAAAATGCAAATCTAAGAAAAGTGAGGTCAAGGTCACAGGAAATTTAAGGTTAAATGTTTTTGATGCAGTTGAATACTTCTCATAAATACGTATCAGCATGTTTAAGTTTGATAAAAATATTTTGAATGGTTTATTTAAAACTGAGCTAAACACTAATTCAAAATAAATGAAGTTTAGGTCAAAGGAAAGGTCAAGGTCAAAAAATGTTCATGCAGTTTAAAAGGTTACATCAGTATGTATTAGCATATAAAGTTTGATAAAAATATTTTGAATGTTTTTTTTAAAAATGAGTTAAACGCAAATTGAGAAAAGTGAGGTCAAGGTCAAAGGAATGGTCAAGGTCAAAAAATGTTGATGCAGTTGAATAGCTCTCATCAGTATGTATTAACATATGAAGTTTGATAACACTGTATTGAATGGTATCTTATAAACTGAGCTAAACACTAATTTAAGAAAAGTGAGGACAAGGTCAAAGGAAAGGTCAAGATAAAAAAATATTGATGCAGTTGAAAAGCTCTCATCAGTATGTATCAGCATATGAAGTTTGTTAAAAATATCTTGAATGAATTTATTAAAACTGAGCTAAACACTAATTTAAGAAAAATGAGGTCAAGGTCAAAGGAATGGTCAAGTTCAAAAAATGTTGATGCAGTTGAATAGCTTACATCAGTATGTATCAAAATATGAAGTTTGATTACACTATCTTGAATGGTATCTTTAAAACTGAGCTAAACACTAAGTTAAGAAAAGTGAGGTCAAGATCAAATGAAAGGTCAAGGTCAAAAAATGTTGATGCAGTTGCATAGCTCTCATCAATATCTATCAGCATATGAAGTTTGATAAAAATATCTTGGATAGTTTCTTTGAAGCTGAGCTTTGAACCGAGCTAAACGCAAAGTGTGACGGAAAGACAGACGGAAGGACGGAAGACGGACATGACAAACGCTTTATGCCCCGGCCATATTATGGCGGGGCATAAAAATCTGCTGCTCAAGAACAGCAAAACCATGATTAGTCATATTATTATAGAAGAATTCTTAGGTAGTGTAGATTCAAATTTGTTCAAATTAAGGGTGGGTCCACCATGAGTGATCAGAGTTTTACATAAGAATATATAGGGAGAAAATCTTTTAAATTCTTCTGCTCAAGAACAGCAAGCCACAATTAGTAATATTGATATGGAAGCATCCTGAGGTAGTGTAAATTTAAGTTTGTGCCCCTCTCCCATAAACTTTTCAATACTGGTCTGATTTCTGCTTTTTTCCAAACCAATGTGCTCATGTGAGCGATGTGGCTCATGGATCTCTTGTTTTATTTAAACAAACAGTAAATGCGTTATTTTATACTTTATATAAGGCTCTAACCTTCAACTGCATGACTTCAATAAACAGAAGTATGAGAATTTGAAATCTTGTAGGAAAGAGTTTAATATTTAAAAAGTAGACGTACAAATTGTTATAACTCTAATACTCTTAAAATTCCTACATGCTTGTACACCGTAAATCTATTTTGGTATGTATATACCGTATAAGCAGAAATTTTAGCGCTAAAATTAAATATCGCTAACAATTTATTCCACGTAAGAGGTTACCCTTATTTTTCTATGCACCACAAAATCGCTAATATTACTTCTCGATAAATTAAATCACTGATTTTTAAGGACAAATCGCTAAATTCGCGTCTCGCTAAAAATTCCATTTATACGGTATTCTGCAACTACGTAAATAAATTCCTACATGCTTGTACACCATAAATCTATTTTGGTATGTATATATTCTGCAAATACGAAAATAAACATTAGTTATGACATCACAATATGTTTAGAAAATGATTGTGACGTCACAATGCAATGACGTTTGTTTGGTAGTCTCTAACTTCTAACGTTGTGGCAACACATTCGTAACCCTTCAATATAAATTAATATAAATAAATTACAATGAAGCGATCAAATGAGCAATCGGAGAAGCTTTACGCAACAAAGAAGGTAATTTTGATATGTTTAATGAGTAAGCATAGCGTTTTTAATTTCCATGTACCGTAATTAAAGAAGCAATGTATTTCTTGTAACTAAAGATTATTTACACGTGTAGTAATTATTATTATTCGCCTCGGTCAAATGGCTGATATTTTCTCTAAATTATTGTTACATTTTTTAGGCACGAGTAAGTGATGCGTATGGAAGATCAGTTGAGTTGGTGAGTTCTGCCTTGTACAGTGATAACAATTTTAAGTTGATTTATAACACTAAATAACAATCTCTCTGTTCCATAGATTATTGTTTAATAGTTTCTAATCTATTGCAGTATTTCGTAGGATGATTTTTTTTAATCTAGGAATTTTTGGCGTGTCCTATTAAATTCACCAAAAGCTTGCTATACAGTTATGTGACATAAGTTAGCACATGGGTAAATTTTGCCTATTTGGATTAGGATGGTAGAGGGCGAAAATAAAAAGTGTGGGACGGGAGTTTAAAGTACATGTATGCTTAATTACGAATACGTTATTTTTCAGATGGACATTGAACAAGACAGGATTTGGCTTGTAACAAAATTGACCAGACCACCACCTCTTACAGCCGTAAGAAAATGTTTGATAGGTTTGCTATGATAAAAGTTGTTTTTTTATGTCAGTGCAAATAGCGTTGCATAAAACATGAAGTAGACATATTTTACATGTATGTGGATAAATTTAAAAAATCATATCCAAGTTCACGTATTACGTGACTACTTTACTACATTACTATACAATAGTTCAAACATGCTCGCCATACACAGAGATTTATGTAAAAGGAAAATATTTTACTGGATTGAGTAAAAATCTGAACCAAAGGTTACTAAGACATGTTTGGATAGACTCAAATGTACTAACAAACTAAGTAATATAAGAAACAAGATGCTGTATGCACCAACATATCCTCCTCTTCAATTCTAGGTGAGAGGGAAGCGAATACGACGAAAAAGACTTCAACCAACACCACTCGGAATTAGTTCTTGGGTGTTAAAACGAGAATTTCCTTACAAAAAGGAGAGTAAATACTCAGTTAAAAAGGTAATATTTGCAAACAAAATATCTTTCCGAGTAAAATTTACTGAATCAAGTGGGAATCTTTTTATTTATGAAATAAATAATCATTAATGATAAAATTATATGTTTTGATCAAGAATAAATACTGAATTTTGTATATAATTCGTGTATACAATTCAACTACTATAAAATAGTACAATTGTTTTGACTATGCCATGGATGCATCAAATAGCGATTTTGTTGAATATTGTTACCATGATACAAAGTACTTTTAAATTCGAATATTTAACTTATAATTAAATATTCTCTTACAGACCAAGCATATTGATGAATTTGGAAGATGTTTAGAGCAGGTAAAATGAGTAAACCTGTTAAATCAAATTTTGAATAACTGATTTAAAGGACCATATTTAGAGCGTACTTTTACGTATAAGTTTAAATGAAAGTTTGACAAGATTCCAGAAACCGTTTCCTAGACTTTTTATTTATCTTATAGATGGATGTTGAAGTCGACCTTTGTTTTCGTCTCCGTTGCATCTCTGTGCTGTAGGAATTTGAGTCAAGCAGTAGAAATGTGAATCAAGCTGTAGAAAATGTGAATCAACTTTGTTTACTTCAAAATCAACCCGGAAGATCACGTATATGGCAGCATCAAGGACTGTTATAAATCTCTTGTTTGTTTTTTTTTTTTTTTTTTTTTTTTGTTTGTTTGTTTTTTTTTTTTTTTTTGTTTTTTGTTTTTGTTATTTATATACATCTAATATATTGAAATAATGATGACCTTAACTGCTCTGTTATTTTTTTTCTTATTCCAAAACTTTTCATTTTCCCATGATAAAAAACATGAACAATACAAAAAAGGGATGAAGCGTCACTCTTTTAAGGGTAATAGCCACGCTATGCAGTTGTACTCTGGGGTACATTGTTAGTGATAATCAACCCTATCACCAGAGACGCGTTCGACAGTTTCCATTAGTATGAATTATGGTCAATAATTGATTTTAGAATACTTAATTGTGCTTGAGAAACCCTTTTTCAAAAAGTTTCAAACTGGTCATCAAAAAAGTACACATTATCTGAAGCACGTGAGAGTCGCACAACTATATAAATCTGCATGTTTTTTCATCAATATTCGAGGGTATCAATTTTTGCGGTTGAGGTAAAATTCACAGTTTTGAGGATATGTAAAACCGTGGACAACGATCACACAAATAATTTTTTGTATCTGCGTATGCTTCAGTTGGAACTTTCACATTGGTATCATTAAATAGAATTAGTTAAAAGCTATTAGGTGAGTACTTTATATTTTCTTATTTAAATTTTAGTCATCTGTATTGAACAAAAAAAAAAAAAAAAATCGGAAGCTTCATGCGTTTATAAAGGTGGCAATAATTATCGATAATGGGCGAGGAAATCCGGTTTAATTATAAGACTCTGAGCCCGATTAATTAAATGTAAGCTTTTGAAATAGATATTGTTACAACAGTAAAGTGAATACACTGATTTCTTACACTGGAGAAAAGTGTGCAGGAAAGAGTTCAGATTTTATCTTGCTCTTTTTAGGCGCATACATGGAATTACGGAAGCCGGTTGGTGCCAGGTAGAAAAAATATTTTATCTGGCGGCCGCCAAATAATTATCTGGCGGCGGCCAAATAATTTTCTGGTCGCCGCCAGATAAAAAGATGTGGCGGCCGCCACATAAATAACTGGCGGCCGCCAGAAAGTTATCTGGCGGTCGCCAGAAATTATGTGGCGGCCGCCAGATAACTTTCTGGCGGCCGCCACATAAGTTATCTGGCGGCCGCCAAATATTTATCCGGCGGCCGCCAGATAATTTCTGGCGGCCGCCAGATAACTTTCTGGCGGCCGCCACATAAGTTATCTGGCGGCCGCCAAATATTTATCCGGCGGCCGCCAGATAATTTCTGGCGGCCGCCAGATATTTATTTGGCGGCCGCCAGAAAGTTATCTGGCGGCCGCCAAATAAAATATTTTTCTACCTGGCACCTACCGGCTTCCGTATGGAATGTCATCCACTGAATATCATTTTCTTTATTTCTTCTAAAAACCATTGCCGTTAATCAGTCCATAAACAACCACTAAGCAAGTCACCTGCATAGATTTCTTAAGCAAAGGCTGTTCCATCAATTATACATACAATGACATACACATCTATAATACAATATTTAACATATTCAATTTAATTTGAATGTTTTTTTTAAATAACAATATAAATATAAACAATAAAATGTCTTTCTTTCTTTGTTAGTACGGGAATTAATGTCGCAGCTATTGCAGAAAAAAAATACACATAACCCGCTTACGCGGGTTATGTATTTTTTCTGCAACAGCTGCGACATTAATTCCCGTACTAACAAAGAAAGAAAGACATTTTATTGTTTAAATTAGAATTTCTAGTTGTTTTTAAATGCAAATGGTGTTGAACACCCATTTTCAGGAATGGTACACACATCAGTTACTGGACTTGAGAGCGACACTTAAGCTTGGACCAAACAAACCCTTATTGTCAAAGACTTCGAAATGGCGGGACTCTCTTAATATATACATACCATTTTTTTTTTAATTAAAAAAAAATGTGCAAATAAAAGTTACGTAAGGCATTAACAATTATGATTATCATTTTTATGTTTTAGGCTTGTTAATAATGATGAAAAATCCATTAATGATAAAATGTTGCATTTGTTCTCTAATGATCAAAGAAGATGGGCAAACAAGGTGAGCGCTATGCCTACAGTGCAACAAAAATGAAGGTGAAAAATTAAATCTCAATTATAACAAAATTTTCTTTGATATTTCATCTAAAATTAAAGTATACTTTATGTAAAATCTCCACAATTTGCAATAATCTCACTAAGATTGAAATTTTTGCCTATGAAATGGCATACGCACACTAGAGAGGGCAAAAAGGATCATTTTCTCATACTAAAACACAATGTTTCGTTATGAATGGGTCTTCGCTCCATATTTTTAAAAGTTTATCCTCAAAGTTTGCCAAAAAATTTACATTTTTTGGTCAACAAAACTATGGAGCAATGACCCACTATACCTTAAAAATACACTGTTATGACACAACATTCTCATATTTCCGAGAAAAACTTGGTCTATTTAGTCAAGGGTCATATCACAAATATGATTTAAATGCCACAAATCTTCAAGAGCTGTGTAACGTATTGGTTTAGAGTGTTAGTCTCAAAGGAAAATGATACTTGGGATTTTTATTGCTAGGGTTCGAACCCCACGAATACCACATTATTTTTTTAATAACATACACATAACTTTTGCCGATAAAATTTTCCTCAGAAAAGTTTTTTTTTATCATAATTCATAAATTTCGATAATGAGAATTTTACTCTAAATACTTAATTCACAAATTGAATAAGATTTTTACATATCTGAAGCTATAGGCATTCTACACGCCTTCTTCACCCATCTCCTTGTTATGTTTGAACATACATGTATTTAATTGACAATCAATAGGTTTGGAAACAAATTCTAACAACTTGCTGGTTTCTCTCCTTAAAGGTGCTTGGACACAGATTTTAAGTTAACATTCTCTCAAATTTTCTGTATAATTTCATGACTTATATGTTGGTATAGCATTTCATACTAAAATATAATAAAAATCTTATTTCATCTCGAAGTTATTAAAACTTCTAATTTCTGGACGCGTTGGATTGACACATCCTTGCGCTTTCACATATTTTAATTTTATTCTTAATACTTAAGAAAAGTGGCAATTTTGTTGTGTATTAATGAAAAATATTAAAACTATAACTCAGAAAATTCAGAGTAGAAATGTTCGAAAGCAAAACCCACTCACAGTATTGTAAGTCCGTGCTCAGTGGTGTGTGCAGAGTTTAACAATTGAACACACCCGGTGAATCGTAAACATTAACAATAAAAGAGCTCGTGCCCTGTTTACAAAAACAGTTTACGTTTCACGGGTGTGTTCCATTTGTTAAACTCTGTGCACATCACAGAGCACGGACTGACAATACTGGTGAGTTGGTTTTGCTTTCGAACATTTCTACTCTGAATTTTCTGGATTATAGATGTAATATTTTTCATTAATACATAACAAAATCGCTTCTTTTCTTAAATATTAAGGATAAAGTCAAAATTTGTGTAAGTGCAAAGATGTGTTAATCAAACTCGTCCCGGAATTCGTAGTTCCAATAATTTCCAGATAAAATAAGTTTTTAATTGTATTTTCATGTGAAATGCTATTGCAATATATAAGTCGTGATATTATACAGAAAATTTGAGAAAATATTAAGTTCAAATCTGTGTCTAAGCACCTTTAAATAAAACGCATACATGTAATTGTCGTGCAAAATTTCAAAAAACATATTCAAATAACATAGTTGTAAGTTAGCTATGTAAACGGTGCGCGTAGCTGCCTATCCGCAAGTGCCTACACACCATTTTCAAAAACAAAAAAAGAAATATAGGTGAGAGAGAGAGTTATTCAGAGAAAGAAAATCTCAATATCATCGAGCAAGTATTTTTGTTTCAAATTATTTTTGTCATATTATTTCGAATAAAATTTTGCAGTATCATGTCTATACAATCAAATTTGGAATGTATTATTAAATCATTGCCAAATCCAAATAACTCATTCATTGGTTTGTAAGTGTTCTATAACAGATTGACAATTTTTAAGGATATTTGAAAAATTAAATTTTAATCATATCGCTAAATGGCTTGATCAAATAGTATATGATTTAAAATAATTGTTTGTCTACTAACATTTTATTATATTTAATTGTTGCTGAATATTATATTATAGTGCAGACCAATACATATTGATAAAATATTCAGCCTCAAGTACACGTAAAAATAAGTTTCCGTGGAAGTTAAACTTTCCGTTAAAACAATATTACTAAGTCTTTTATTTCTAAAGAAAAGCGAAAGAGCATGATATTTCTTGCAAGAAAGTGATTGAAATATTTGGTAAAACCCAGGAGCTTCCAGGGGGGGGGGGGCTTCGTCCTTCGCCTACTGGGGGCCTCAGGGCAGACTCTCTGCGTACACTTCACTCCCATTCTGTCTACGCGCCTGGAGGATTCAGTTATGAACTTGCAATTGTGAACAAACGGAAAAAAATGCCATTGTTAATCTCTAATGATAGGTTTTCGTTGCCCCAGAGTAGTAGGTGTACGTCTATAATGTCTATATAAAATCGAAAAAGATAGTCAAAAAGATTAATTCGAGCATTAAGATATATTTTTGCAAACACGCGCGGCTTCCGTTTGAGGTTTCGACTGACAGTAAACCAATAGACGGGATCGCCTGACCCCTTCTAAAAATTAAAAAGTGGAAAATTGGCACAATTCATCCACAAAATTGGTTGAAAAAAAGACTTTATTGCGCATTCACAGATGAATTTGAAATTCGTTAACGATATAATTTAGGTTCATCCCGTCTCCATCGTTTATTTAGTTGTTTGGGTGGGGGCTATGATTGGGGCAAATTCCGTCCTGTCGACTTTTGGGGGTGGGGGTCTAAATGGTATGTTGATGTACTTCACTTTAGATGCCTAACTGCGTTACTGATGGAGGAAGTACAGACAAAAAATGCAAACGTTGAGAGAGCGATGTAATTTTTAATAAAATTTATTCTTTTAGCTACAGTTGTGCTTTAATAAATTTTATTGTTTGTGCAAACATGACATAGTAATTGTCACTTGATCCTCTCCTTATTCCAGCGTATATTGAAATCTTTGCAGAATTCGAATAGGGAACCTGACTCTTGTCTCAGGAGGGAGAAGTCGGATCCCCCATTCGAATTTAGCCGTCTGTATTTGAATATAACATTTGTTAATGATTCAAGAATCTTATTTCTAACGTTTGTTTGTTACTGTATTTAGAAGTATACGAGTTTGCGAGGGTTGTTCACCACCTTCAGATGAGGTGCCACATTCATCAATGATATGATTTTTAAATATATGTAGTTCAATATACTCATTTATTTTAAATACAAAATAATTATTAGCAGCTTCATGAAATAACGATCACATTTAGAGTACTCATATTCAACAAATTAAAATATTAAAACATTTATTGACAGAGATCGAGAACAACATGCACGCCAAAGCTGCCTTGTGTGATGGATTTTTATAATAAACATTACGAAATATAACCATATACTTCAAAGTCATCTTATAAAGAAAAAAGCAGCATACATGTATAATGCAAAAGCGTCTTATCAACATAAAGAAACCACAACATATAATGTAAAAGCACCTGGCAATGTTTACCCTTCGATCTGAAAGATATTTGGGGTTTTCCTGTAGCAAACCATGTATGGACTTTGCCTTTTTTTAATTTGATATTGGAAGTACCCATCTCTTATCCGCAACTCCTCCTATACCACTGAAAAAAAATTAATGCGACCTTTGACAGAATCCTTATTATCTAGTGCCATTGTGCACCTTTTATTTTACGTAGATATTTTGGATTTTCCATAGAAAACATGGACTTTGCCATTACACTCGATAAAAGGGGTGTTTATTTTTTAACACACATCCTCCTGAACCCCTGAGTGAAATTCAATGGAACTTTCAAAAAATCTCTTTACATACTGCCAAGAAATGCACCTTGCCATTATAATCATATGGGAGCGAGTATAATTTTGAAAGCTCAGTACTTGAGCACCTTTAGTCGATGTAAGTAACCTGTTACAATTAAATGAGCTATTTAATACGCCTTTAATTGAGACATTTCAACTGCATTATTAGAAGTATGAAGATTTGAAATATTGTAGGATGAAATAAATATTTAAAGATACAACTTGTTTTAATGATTATGCACAATAAATCACATATTCTTGTAAATACGAAAATAAACATTTGCTATGACGTAACAATATGAATAGAAAATGATTGTGACGTCACAATGCGACGACGTTGATTCGGTATATATTCTGTTATACTTTGTGGCAACACATTCGTTACAGTTCAAGATATTTTTTAATTTTATAAAATTACAATGAAGCGATCAAGTGAGCAATCGGAGCATCTTTACGCAACAAAGAAGGTAATTTTGACGTATTTTTAAATGTAAGCTGGGCGTTTTTAATTTCTGTGTACCGTGATTAAAGCAGAATTTTTTTTCTTGTAGCTAAATTTTTTCGCCTCTGTCAAATGGCAAATATTTTCTTAAAATTATTGTTACATTTTTAGGCACGAGTAGTTGATGCGTACGGAAGATCAGTTGAGTCGGTGAGTACTGCCTTGTACAATGTATTATATAAAAATTGTAAATTAAATTTTAACATATCTCTCTGTTACATTCGTTATTGTTTAATACACTTACTAGTATCTATAGGCCTATTGCAATATTTCGTTTAATGAATGTTTTTTATGCTAGGAATTTTTCGCATGTCCTATAAATTCACCAATTTAAGCTTGCTTTAGCGCAAGGGTCAGTTTTGCCTATTTGGGTTAGGATGGTAAAGGGCGAAAATAAAAGTATGGGAAGGGAGGAGAATTTCACTGAGGTATGTTTAATCACGAATACGTTATTTTTCAGATGGACATTGAACAAGACAGGATTTTGCTTGTAGCAAAACTGACCAGACTACCACCTCTTACAGCGGTAAGATTTATGTAAAAGAATATCATTTTACTGAGTTGACTAAAGAATCTGTGCAAAAGAGGTTACGTATATGCAGAAACATAACAGCATTAACACATCTTTGTCTACTATTGCAGGTGAGAGGGAAGCTCAAACGACGAAATAGACCCCAGCCTCAACCAGCACCACTCGAGATTAGTTCGTGGGTGTTAAAACGAGAGTTTCCTTACGAAAAGGAGAGTAAATACTCAATAAAAAAGGTAATACCGGTATCTGAATATATCTTTTCAAATAAAATTTAAGCAATCATATGGTCAATATTACAATCCAACAACACCTGTACTTTAATGATGCATTAAAAAGTGATTTTGTTATTTATTGCAACTGTATATACTATTTAATTTGAAGATTTAATGTATAATTGAATATTCAATTTCAGACCAAGCACATTGATGAATTAGGAAGATGTTTAGAGCCGGTAAGATGCGTTAAACTGTCGAATTTTGAGTAGCAGAATTAAAGGACCACATTTAAAGTGTACCTTTACATATTATAGTTTATATGAAAGTTTGACAAGATTCCAGAAACCATTCCTTAGGCTATTTATTTATCTTACAGATGGAAGTTGACGCCCTTTGTTTTCGCCTCCGTTGCATCTCCCTGATGTAGAGATATGAATAAATCTGTAGAAATTTGAATCAAGCTGTAGAAATGTGAATCAACTTTTGTTTACTTCAAAATCAGCTCAGAAGACATGACAGCATCAGTGATTGTTACAATACAGGCGATCAATGTGGTCCATATTTTTTGTTTGTTATTTGTTTGTTTTTGATGTTATTTTTTATACATCTTATATAGTAAAATGATGATCTCAACTGTTCTGTTATTTTCGTTTTTCATATTCCAAAACTATAAATTTTCCCTCGATAAAAATATGAACAAGAGGTACGGTACTGTGAGCACTGAGCTCACAAAATGATACCCCCGCCTCCTATATGACTATAATGGCAAAGTCCTTTTTTGCTATGGGAGACTCGAAATAAGTGTCAGATCTAAAAGTAAAATAGGAGGAGCACAATGGCACTATGTAATAAAGATTCTGTAAAAGTTTCATTGAATTTTATTCAGTGGTATAGAGGAAGTTGCGCATAAGAGATGGGTACCCCTCAATATTATAGAAAGAATGGCAGTTTCTATGTTTGTCATTAACTTTTGAATGTTTTCATCTTCCCTGGAATCGCAGATTGTTTTTACAAAACCAATTCCAACCCATTTTGGTATATAACATATACACTGTATGGGCAAAAAGGAACAAAAATTGTAAAATTGAATTTGGCCTCTGCCTTCCTGTGGCCTGAGGGGTGGAATCAGAATCATCAAATTTATTACAGGCTTCAAAAATCTTTACACCCATACATCAAGCCTTATTTAGTTGTGGACTCAAGACCATAAACTGAGAACAGACTTAAAGCTTTTTTTTTTTTTCACATACATTCTTATTTTTTAAATTGCAGGTTAGTATAATACTAGTTATCAGATATAAACACATGTTGAAATTTTGCTTGATTATCAAAATTATTTCACAACTTCTACTGGTTTAAAATATTTACTTGAGTCTGTTCTCAGTTTATAGTCTTGTTTGGTGATTATGGCCTAAATTCTCTACCAAATTCGTAAAAAGTATGGTCCCTTGGCCAATGATTTAGGCCCTAGGATGAGGATAATTTTAAGATAAATTAGATCTTTGAAAATCTTCCTTAATTTTGTTCACATATCTATGTAGCGGACAAATTGTTTGCTTTTTTATAATGAGCCGCTAACCCGGCCCTCTTCAAAAAATATAAATTCATGTTCCCGGAACAGGTTTCAGGACCTAGGGTGGGGATAAGTTGGACATATATGTATATTGGAATTTATTACATAGTTTTACGTACCTTGTCTTATTTACTCCTTAACTTATATAGGAGACAAAAACTGTATGAATATGTTAATCTTACAGAGTCTTCATCAACTGTAAATTTTTTGTCACGTAAGTCCAGTTCCAGGTGAAAGGTCCAAATTGGTCAAAACCTGAAAAACTCATAATACATAGGTGACCCTCAAGGTCCATGGGTCTCTTGTTTAGAAGAGATTCGAGCCCACCCACCCTCCGCCAACGAGAAAGGTACTCTGCTTTTCTTTTCCAAATCGTCCTTATTTTGTCACCCAGGTTCGTCATTGAAATATACTTTTATCACCGGTACTTAACTTTTTATCCTATAACATTATCTCCCCTTTAGGAAAAGAGAGAGTGGGGCCCCTTTTTGTGGAAGTATTTTTGAAGTAGTTTTAATAATATATTTGATATAAAACTTCGATACATTTAATAGCAAAATACATCCATGTTTTATATATACGCTATAAAAATTTGTGATAGATTAGTGAAAGCAGGGACCTATAGTATATAGGTCCCTGGTGAAAGATAGCAATTTTAAAGGCTCCGTGCTAATACACTTACTATAAAAAGTCAAAAATTAGGGTCATCTGTTTGCATGAATAAAAAAGTACAACGATCGTATACAGTCCAGATCTTTTCAGAGGTACAGTTATCTGATAAAATCAATATACTAATAATCTATACGTTATGTACACAGTACACAAGACCTTTAAACTATCCCATAATTGTTCGCTTTTCCCCCTCCTTTACTAGCGAAAAAGAATGTATTCAATATAACGCCATTAAAGGGAATACTAGTACATTATATAAACAAAGAGTCCTGCAGCTACGTTCTAAGAATAAGATTTTATAATAATGATCATTTTTCACAAACTTGCATTTTAAATACATGTAATTATTGATGAAGAGTACCTTATATTCAACACCATGAACAAAATAACCATAATTCTCTGTTACTTTTATTTAACAATAGTTTTATTATTCATACATGTACATTCAGATTTATTTTAACTTCTATACTATGAGTACATTAACAAATTAGATCAAGACATCTCTTTCATTAAGCTATTATCTCTAATAAAAGAAATGTTATGTCCCATAAACAAAAATATATCCATGTATATATTTATAACCTTTTTAACATGGGTTAGGCGTACTTTTACGAGTAAGATGAAAGACTTTGATTACAAATAATTCTAACATCGGTATACATATGAATATGTTCAACTTTACATGTAATACTTCTTTCATTGATAATTCATCAGCAAATATATGCATCTTTAGAAAAAGAAAGAAAGAAAAATAAAACCCTTTTTGTTAAAAAAAATCCAGAAAAGATATATCTGTACATATTTCTCTTTAAATGAAGATATTTTCCATACACTTTCAGAAAAGATGCATTGTTTCGAGAAATACTGCAAAAAATCTTAATGGGGAAAAAAGTAATTCTTCATAAGCGAGATAATCACACCTACATTAAAAATAATATACATGCAATGTATTACTTCATCATCGAGGAAATCAATGCCCATAAAAAGAATAATTTAATACATGTAATGAATTTCTTCCTAACCGAGGTAATCACATGTGCATAAAAAATATATATGTAATGTATTTTTCGTATTTAAAAAAAGAGGGGGGGGGGGTTACACATATACAAATAAAACAAAAAGTGGAACAAAGTCTGAATAATGGTTGAAGAAAATTAATGTACATGAAGTTAATAAATATACGAGTATTTACACAGGGTATTTAGAGTGGAATATTTTAATACAACTCTAAAACGAGACAAAATCAAAGCAACACGCGTCATATAAATGCAACATCCCTGATACATATTTAAAGAAAACGAGTATAATCATTTTGGGTTATTAACAAGACCACCTTTTACTCAATCATGAACAATATCATAGTACAGTGTATTAATGCAAGATCCATAAAGATAAATACATGTAATACAAAAACAGTTTTCTCTGCATTGTTAAGGCGTGAGGGTCCTCATTTATTATAAAACAAATGTCGTCAGCCCACAAGTCAACAGTTTTCCATCGTCACCGTTTAACCAAGCTCGAGTCTCATATTTACCCTTTTAACAAAAAAAAAAACACAAAATAGTAATTTTTTTTTACATTTGGAAAATTTGGAATGGATGCTTTTATAACAGTAGCATGTTTTGCCATTTTTTTTTTAGACAGGAATGAATTTTGAGATCAGATAGTGAAAATAGTGGTCTCGATCACAGGCCTTTATATCGCTTTAACCAGACCGACATACTGGGGGTTCTTTTTTTATACCCCCCCTTAAGATTGTCAGTCGGGTTAAAGCGATCTGAAGGCCTGTGGTCTCAATCAAAAGGTCCTTCTTGACACTATCCCTTGCATTAGATGCTAGTCATCAAAGCCTCTAAACTGAAACAATTTCAGCACATGATTTAATAAGCTGTGCATTTTTTAATAGATCACATTTTATTGTTTGTAAAAATTTCAAGTGATTCATTGAGATGATCTTTACCAAAGATACTGGATATCACTGCAATTAAAGGTTAAGTAGGGTTCACCGGAAGGGATTATACTTTCTCTACAATCATCATAAACTCCTCCAAAAGGTTTTTAATGTCGGAAAAATTGTGCACAATAAAGTACAAAGTTTTTCGATTTCGTTTTTCGCTTTAAAGTCAAATGAATGTGTTTTTTTCTGTCTGTATACCCAGAAGTTGTGAAATATCTAAAAAAAAATTGTTGTGCTTCAATAAAAATTTTCTAACGTCTTACCTTTGGAATGAACTTTGGAATCTTTTTGTCTGTTGCCCATGAATAAAATCCCGGTTTGTAAGGACAGAATACTTGACGAACCTCTTGGTTTTCATCTATTGTACAGAATTCCCAGTGGTTGTCGTACAGATCTTTACCATTGTATTTGACATCTACGAGAAATTCTCCCTCTGTCAATGGTTTCTCTGAAATATAATTCCATTTTCACGTTTATTCCAGCGGACAGACATGTATGTTTGGAAAATATTTTGTAGTAAAGAGCATTTTCATTTTTCAAATGGTTACAAACAGTATAGGAACTTACTAATTTATACATATTGGGGAAAAAGAAAGTTCTACAAAAGTAAATTGTGTGACTTCTAAGTTACACTATAATCTAAGATTGGTCATGTAATGGTCATATACATACTTGACATATTTCGACACATACTCATATGTACACAATAAAAAAAGATTTTTTTTTAAAGATGCAAATGTGTCCCATCTTTTGAATTAATGGTTGCTAGGATATATAAAAAAGAAGATATTATTCACCTAAGGTGATGTTGATGAAAGTTCTAACTTTTATCCCTCCCGTTTCTTCATCGGGAAGCATTATTGCTTTTCCAATTGTAATTCTGTCTTTATCATCTACATAGGTAAAACAAAAAATCAAAAGATTATTCCGTGAACCACTGCATAATTATTCAATTACTAGTACCAAAAGACTTGTCCAAATTGGTCAAATTCTCACCACATGAGTTGTACACGTCTCCAATACCCACAAATTTATTATCGTCCACAAATTTTTGCCAGTGTTTGGCAGAACGGACAGCTTCCGATTCTTCTTCATCTATTTCTTCCGAGTCCAGTTCTATGGAATTCTGAGGTTTCAACACTACACGTCTGTTAGCTTCCATAATCTCAGAAGGTGGTCCATGATTAAACATTGTCATGTAAAGTGTAAACATAGAACAGAAAAGTGTCATTATAGTCAGTGCTATGATTAAAGGTACCTTCCTCACGTTCATCATTTTTACGGTTCGACGTTGACATATACCTTTCAAATTCATCTGTTATGTCATAATTTATCCCTATCCAAAGTATTCTAGATACTTTTTTCTGAAAAATTCCTTTATATTAAACCTCTCGCTCCTCTCTCTATGCCAACTGAGTCGGTTAGTTCGCTGTAATTAAAACAGATGTGACAAGTGCCCCTCCTGATCAAAATACAGAAATTATAAAAGTCATGTGCTCAATTGTCCATCCGGTTGACAGTGGACATTTGGCTCTGTACCAGTCTCTGGCGAAGGAAACCAAGGGACAATCCTCTATCACTCTGTTGTTTGATCATCAACTATTGATAACGTTATCCCACGATAGCAGTTATCTGACAGCCATGTCCATAAATCATAACTAAATTTTGACACTACACAGTGATGGATGTAAAATGGGCCAAGGTTTAACTACGTGTATCCATTTCGATGAACTTGAAGCACATATACTCAGTTTTATAAGTAGCTCTACTTACATACTTGCTAAGCGATATAAAGAAAGTTTTTAATCATATGATTATTTGTCTACAGACTTTTTAAAGACATCGTTTAATGGACTACGAACTGTGTTATTCAAAAAGTATGTTACTTCAGTTGGAACAGTAAATTTAAAGACATCCAATTACACCTACTTAATTAGTAAAACTACAGAAAAGAGCAAAAGAGTCAATATTTTTCAACGTTTTATTTCCAGCTCTGACTTTTACATAGTTCACAAAGGGAAATTGATACAAATTGATACAGTAAGCTGTAATCTTGCATTTATCAGATTCGGGCTATTGTCCTTGCAAACAAGGTTGCGTCAATGACAGGTCACATTCATTCGAGATATAGATAAAAGTTACCTTTTAATATAATGAAACTATCAAATTCTGAACATTCAGTCTAAATATTCTTACAAACAGGTCCAGAAACATGTACAGCATTTGTTTCATTAAAGTACCTTTATAATTATAATTTAAGTATTGTAATATTTCTTCGTTGTCACTGTATAACAGTGACAAATCACAAATCCCTACCTACATGTATTATTTGTCTTCACGACTTTAGAGGGGTCCACTTTTCCTAGGGTTTTAACCTTGTCTATTTCTATTCTGATCTCTTGTGTGTGGGGGTGGGGTTAGAGGAGGGACTTACATCCCTGCAAGATCCGCCCTGCTTCTTCCAAATCTCTCTCTCTCCCTCTCTCTCTCTCTCTCGTGTCAATAACACTGTGAATGTACTAATTTTACATTCAAATATTTCGGTCAACAAATAAATTACGTCACTATTTATCTCAATATATATACAGATACATTGAATATTGCGCTATCTAGGCACCGTTTACATCAGCATGTTTTGTTAACATATTAGTGCAACAACACAAATAGTTAAACTAATTACACTGTTCAGATCTACAAAACAAATTCCCCGAATCCACACATAAGTACTTCTTCATTTTCATCTGTTAATCTCGCTGTGGCTTTATAGGTACCCTAAAATTAATGATATAAGCACAATAAATATCTTATATCTACGATGAAATAACGCGCTAAAAAGGGAACAAAAGCCATGATCTTAAATTGCATTCAACCTGGTTTATCATAATCTTTTTTCGATGCTACATTTTAAGGTGGAACAACCCTCTGATGAGAGATAACTTCCCAAGAAAATAATTCCAACCTGACTGATTGTTTGACGTCATACCAGCGTCTAGTAATAAGGACCATTATATAGTCAATTCACTCAAATCCAAATTGGGTTACAACCACTTACTTCTGTTTTCTTTTGCCAATATTTTTGATAGTTACTAATAATACTTGACCTAAAACATTTTCACCCAGTTCTTTTAAACTGTTAATTTGGGATATTTCTACTTTTATAGTAAACAATTTTAATAATGCTACAGTAATTTATCATGTATCAGATAAAGATTTTTTATTACTAGTACACCCCCCTTAAGATAACTTTCGTAGATTTTACAAACACAGATAATAATGTGATATTCTGTCTTAAAAAGCAACGCTTAACTATGTTTTCTAATTAGAATTTAATATGTATGATTTTAAATATTGTTTTCATATACATCTCATATTTTAATTTTACGTGGTGATAATAATAAATTATTGCTCTTTCTATTCACTATGTCACATTTTTTTTTTATATCATGATTAGACATAATATTCATTTTTGAAAAAGTAAGCAACGCTTCATACTTTATACTGTTTTCCATTTGAATCTAATGCTATTGTTGTTGATGAAAACCATATTAAAAAAAATACTGAAATTTAGAGCAGAGGGTTATTGCCCCGTATAAGATATTGTAAATCTCTAGGACAGTTATCAAAAATTTTAGCAATGAAAGAAAAGGTGATGGATTATGTATCACTTTTGCACAGAATTTCAGTTACTTTCTTTTTAAACTTTGTATTTGAAAGAAAAAAAAAAACAATTCCCTGTGACAGCCTGAAGGACAGATGATACAAACAAACTTTTATCAAAAATATTGAAAATAACAACTTAAGTCATGTCTCTATAGATTTTCATTTTTCATTCAAAGTTTCACAATAATGGGATTAAAAGTGACAAAAAGTTGTAAAGATTAATAAGGATGACTACAAAAAGGTAGAATTTTGAACATCATGAAAGTTTACAATTACTCAATATTTTAGAAATTTAATTCACATCATTTACAATCAAAACAAGTCCAAAAATATATATCAATCCAGACATCTATTTATTTTTTATTTATTTCTTTGGGGGGTGGGGGGTGGGGTGTATCATCTGTTCTTGAATCTCCAAAAGGATAATATACCTTTTAGTTGCTTGATTCTTAATTCCCCCTCCTTGGATTTGATAAGTAATAGTTGTTTAGTACTTGTATTCGGAATTCCCTATCGTGAGTGATCCTTATGTTAAATATGAACTACTGCATCATTTATAACATTACAAATATTTTCATTCTCAAGATTATGCATTCTTTTTCATTCGAAGGTGGGGTTGGGGGTCAAAACTTTTGAAATTATTCATTTCATCTACAGTATTTATTTTCTTGTCCAAATTGAATGATACGATAGTGATATATTTCATTATCGGTCTATTGGTAGGCATATGGATTTTCTAGTAGTTAATTGTTTTGTTATATTCAGTAAAGTCTACATTGTCTTTTATATAGAGAAACAATTAATCAACATAATAATTGTTTCTGGGGTTAAAATGGTATTAATTTTTGCCATGCCTTAGCTATGGAACTTTTTTTACTTTCTCTTATCGAATGTGGGGGATTCCATGTCGAATTTCTAACATAAATTATTACATGTAGGAGAATGGTTCTTCATATCAGATTCAGGTAAAATTTTCTTTTCTACCTTTGAGAAATAATTTGTTATTTTTGCCGCTCCATGACCCAGGAATACATGTAACTTCCGGGTTTATACGGACAGAAAATCCACTGGGGTAAAAATCACTTTTGTACCTTTGGGAGATAATTAGGTATTTTCCGGTATATGACCAAGGAGTAACTTCCGGGTTTTACGGACAGAAGATCCCCTTGTGGACAGAAGATCCACTTAGGTAAAAATTACTTTTGTACCTTTGAAAGATATTTAGGTATTTTCCGGTCTATGACCCGGAGTAACTTCCGGGTATATACGGACAGAAAATCCACTGGGTAAAAATTACTTTAAATTTGTATCTTTGGGTGATAATTACGTATTTCCGGTCTATGACCAAGGAGTAACTTTCGGGTTTATACGTACAAAAAATCCACTGGAGTAAAACCTTTGGGAGATAATTAAGTATTTTCCGATCTATACGTACAGAAAATCCACTGGGGTAAAAATTACTTATGTACCTTTGGGAGATATAATTAAATATTTTCCGATCTATGACCCAGGAGTAACTCCGGGTTTTACGGACAGAAGACCCCCTTATATGGAAAGAAAATCCAATCGGGAAAAAATGACTTTTGTACCTTTGGGAGATAATTAGGTATTTTCCGGTCTATGACCCAGGAGTAACTTCCGGGTTTATACGGACAGAAAATCCACCGTTCCTCGTCATCTTCCTCCTCTTCCATTTCACAAAACTTCCACTTATTCTCATACAGATCTTTCCCGCCATAACTAACACTCAAGAAAAATTCACCGTCGTCTAACGTTTTTTCTGCAAAAAAAAAAAAAAAAAATTATATGAGCAAATTTAAAAAAGAAAAAATTAAAATTAAAATAGAGTTACAACTGTTTGATATGGGTTTCTTTTCTTTTTTCATAAAAGTCACCTGTTTGTTAAAATTTAATAGCACGTTTTTACTGGATAAAAAAGTTTCACTAATTTTTTTTTCTGTCTATGAAAAGAAGAGAAGAAGACTTTTAAAGATTTTTCTTAAACATGTATTTCTATGTAAAACTTCGATTGCAAATTATGGCCCCACCCTACTCCCTGGGGTCATGATTCAAACAATTTGAGTTGACACTACCTGCATGTATGACTAATTATGGCTTTCCTTTTCAGGTGAAAAATATTTTCAGGGACTTCTCCTTTATATATTCCTATGTCAAATTTTGATCACCCATTTCTGCCCCACCCTACCCCCAGGGGTCATGATTTTGACAGTCTTAGATCTACACTACCTGAGGATGCTTCTCTATTAATACGACTTATCGTCGCTATGCTGTTCTTGAGAAGAAGATTTTTAAAGCCTATTCACTCCTATGTAATACTTTGGCCCCCTGTTGTGGCCCCGCCCTACAACAAGGGGTAATGACTTGAACAAACTTAAATCTACACTACCTGAGGATGCTACTGTGTAAATATGACTAATTATTGCTTTGCTGTTTCTGAGAAGATATTTTTTCCATGATTTTTCCTATATACTCCTATGTATAACTTTGACCCCCTATTGTGGACTCGCCCTACCCCAAGGGGTCATGATTTGAACAATCTTGAATTTACCTGAGGATGCATCTGTATTCGTACTGCTCTTGAGAAGATTTTTAAATGATTTTTCCTATATATTCCTATGTAAAACTTTGACCCGGGTCACCCCTTATTGTGGCCCTACCCTATCCCAGGGGTCGTAATAAGAACAAACTTGAATCTATAGTATGTTATGAAGCTTTCACAATAGTTTCATCTTTTCTGGCCCAGTGGTTCTTGAAAAGAAGATTTTTAAATGATACCACCAAATTTTCACGAATTCTTAATTATCTCCCCTTGAAAGAAGGCGCTTCCTGTGAACAAATTTTATTCCCTTCACCCAAGGATGCCTTGTGGCAAGTTTGGTTAAAATTGATCCAGTGTTTCAGGAGAAGAAGTCGAAAATGTAAAAAGTTACAGACAACACACGACAGACAGACGGACGCCTGACACTTTTTCATCAGAAATGCTCATTTAAACCAAGGATCATTGGGGCTAAAAAGGAAATACAGAAAACAAATCTTTGAAATCCTCTCGTCAAATTTAATAGGGCCACAATTAATTAACTTAAACGTCCTCATCTAATGTAGATTTAATGGTTGTTCAAATTATGACACGCGGCGTGCGACATTTGCACCACAGAAGTGTGATTGAAGTTGCTGAAGTGATGAAAAATTAAGAGAAATTTGACTTAGATTAGCGTTGTAGCCCATAGACCTCTTATTTTAAAGATAGTTTGAAACAAGTAAAAATTTAAAGAGCTTTTTGGTTTTGGGGGGTAAAACTTATACAAGTTTAATTAATAGACATACTAGTACACAGCGTTCGTACACTTGAGACAGCAAGACTACTTTTCAATTGAATGCAGTAGTCGTCCATAAATAAAATAACATAAGTAGTTTCAATGTTGTTTTTTTTATATATAAAAATTACAAAACGTGATCACTTTGTTGATTTCACTACGACATATACTTACCAAATGTTACATTTAAAAATGTTTTAGATGTTACTCCGCCTCTCCTTTTATCTGGTAGAATGACAGTTTTACCTAGCCATTTTCTACCGTCTTCATCTGAAAAATAATTTGAAGACATGTTGGCTCAGACTACATTTGATTAACCGTTTGCCAAAATCTAAAAAGTTAACATCTTGCTTCACAGCAGACCCGTAGCAAAGTGGGGGCAGGGCCCCCTCCCCCCTCCCCTGTGTTCTACGGGCCTGGACAGGTTTCAGTGGAACTTTGTGTGCATTTCCACCTGCACCATTTGCTTGTTTTATTATAGTATGCAAAGGAAAATACGAAATTTTAATAATTTTAAATATGGCTATAATCTATACTTATTTTACTGAAGCTTACCACAACTGTCGTAGATATCACCAATAGAAACGAAATGATTGGCCTTGATGAAAGAATCCCAAGCCCGTGCCGATCTTAGGACCTCTTCATCCCCATCTCCGGCTAACACGCGGTCTAGATACTCATTTGTCCTTGAGTTAGCAGAGAGAATTTTTTCTGGGGGTCCATGATTGAAAATTGTCAAGTACACGATTATTAAAAATATGGCAGAAACAAATAAGCACATAAAAGATGTCCTCCGACAATTCATGTTTGTAGAAGTCATTCAAGTGCATAGTTGGTGAGCCTCGTCCAACCTCATCCAATATGGAGGACAATTTTGAACCTTGTACCTTAAACATATTTCTATCATGATACACATGGCTTACTCACCGAGTGGTACATTTTACAGTGATATAGTGTGTGTCCAATTTATCAAACCATCTGAATTATCTATCTAGATAAAAATGATTTAGATTATTAAATATTTGTTAACATTCAATCATTGTAAGCAATTCTTAAGGAATTTTAAAAATTTAAACTAGCTCTCTACTTTTTAATTCTACTTTTTAGTTTTAAATTGTCTCATAATTAAAAACACAGGAATAAATAAAACATAATGGAGAAAAATGTGCCTAGTAATTTGAATTTAAGATAAAACCAGTGCCAATATAGATAAATACAAACAATTTATACATGTATCGTAGCTGATAATCGATTGTTTGCAAATTAGAAAGGAATGATAACTCCTTTCAAAGAAAATGATCCGAAAGTTCTACTTAACAAGAAGAATAAATTATACACAAATGGTGAAAACCAAGCGAATTAATATTTCCTCATATTGTTTATACACAATATTTTCAAAAACGCGTTAATTTCCAAATGAAAAGGAGGGACTATACTTTTCACTTCATCCTCACAATGTCAAGGTTTTGTGATTTCGGAACTCCACACAAACCCTTGACATAAGTCGCTATTTAAAAGTTGGGCTAGAAAATCCTATATTTCATTCGGTGTGATTTCGTAGATATCCACTGATATTCAAAAACTCAATTACCATACATACTATACATAGCACCTTTGAAAAGAATACAAGAATTCCAGTACATGAAGTTGCAACTTTAAAGCTTTAAAGGAAGATAAAGAATAGGTCATCATACTGATGCACTTACTTTGAAACTAACGAAATTTGGTTTTAAATGTTTTGTATTTCTTCGGAAATCAGAAATGAACCCGGTATCAGAGATATTGTATTATCAATGATAACGGGAATACATGTAGATGGGAACTGTAGTGAATTCCACAAATATGACCTCTTCGTGCGTGCGACAAAGAGATAAGGTAGCTTGATCTTTGACATTTTCTGTAATAGAGTAAGGCCAAGGTAAAAAGCATAAGAAACAGTTTTAGGATAATTTGTTTTCAAAATATCTTTCTACTTTTCAGTTAAGAAAAGAATTATTATATACTGAATTTGGATGGTAAAAAGAATTAGATTACTGATTCTTATGTGCAAGTTGATGGACTTCCTTGCAAAAATCTGACAATCATTACATTTGTCTAGCCTTTAGAATATTTACGAACTGTAATACTTTATAGTTCCAACACTTACCGTACTTTTGGCCCGTGAACACAAGATCAGTCATCAAAGATGAGGAGGATTCTGCTTCTCTTGTTTTTTGTTTCTGGTACGTGTTTATTTCATATATTAAGAATACTAGTAGTTGAAAAATTATTATTTGATCGATCTCTAATAACCCACGTTATGCAAATTTGAGCAATGACATGCCAGTATACACAGGAATATTTTCATATTGTCAGTTTACATTCAATTTAATTCATGTCATTAAAATGTTATTTTGTAATTATATTTATAGGTATATTTAAAATTCTGAACAAGAATTTATTTTTTTTTTTCACATGATTTCAATGCGTTGTACATTTCATAACAGTTGCTGTTGTCTTTGCTATGAGGAAAAGACTGGCCCATTGCTCACTTCTGCTGGAACAGGTCTGTTACCTCCAAGGCCATGATCCCCAGTGTGGAACCAACAATTTTACCTTTTATAACAAGTAACCTACACTTAGCAACTTTGTTGAGAAAAAACATTAAATTAAATGAATGATTTATCTTGAAGCATGAATTCAAACGGAAATTCACCGTTGTTTAATATCCATTAAAGCAAAGTTGAGTAGTATTACAACGAAAGTATTTTTTTTTAATCCATGCAGTTTTGGGGAATTTTGAATTTTAAAATACTAGTATTGTGTGGAAACACTAATCAGGAACAATTTCCAATATCTACGAAAGTCATTGAGCTATTTATTCGTATTTAGGGGTAAAAGGTGAATGAACGCGTAATTTTTGCGAAACAATACGTTTGCGAAAAGAAAAAAAACGTATCGCAAAGAATCCTAAACATTCTCATTTATTTGTGAACTTTTAGCGAACAGTCGTGAAAGTTTCTCCTTATTATCCCCTCGTAACGGAGATGGAGAAGATACAGTAATGTGTGTCTGGGTGGGTGGGTAAGTTTGTCCTTGTTTGCGTAACGGAAGTGACGTAATTTGCATCGGGATCGATGTCGAATGCTGCCTTGATCTTTTGCGAGGGGATGCTCCGCTTTGCGGTGCCCTTTTCAGAGCAAAAGTTACGCGTTTATTCGCGCTTTTATAATTTCTCTTATAACCAAAAAGAGTTCAATGGTCTTTCGTAAATATGTTTTTCAAGCACATGCATAAATTTGAATTATTAAACCGTCTTTGTTTGTTTCCTACTTCAGATGCGAATTTGCGCAATTTCACTGTAAGAATCCGTACATTCACCTTGCCCACAACGGCTCATGTTACGCCAATAGCCACTCTCATCAAATGACTCACGGACAGGAATTGGTGTTTGAACTCTTCTGCAAAACAGTGACGTCACACCCTTGTAACGATGACTTTGCAGAGGTTTGTGCCTCCGATGGTCACACTTATATCAATCAGTAAGTTGGCATAAAAAATTTTCTCCTAACACTTAATCCTAACAATAATACTTTTTGTGGCTACAATGTGAACACAGAATCAAAATTCCCGTGTTTTTTATGCCCCCGGATCGAAAGATCCCGGGGGTATATTGTTTTTGTCCTGTCTGTCTGTTTGTCTGTTTATCTGTTTGTCTGTCTGTCTGTTGTCAACTTTAACCTTGCCCATAACTTTTGATTGGTTGGAGCTACATGTATGACTTTCATATTTCACATGTGTATTCCTTGTGACAAGACCTTTCTTTGGATACTATCATATTTGACCTTTTGACCTTGACCTTCAAGTTTGACCCACTTTTGCAAAATTTTATGAGACTTTAACCTTGGCCATAACTTCTGAACAGTTGGAGCTTGGGGTTTCAAACTTCACATGTGTATTTATTGTGACAAGGCCTTCCTTTGGATACCAACAACTTTGACCTTTTGACCTTGACGTTTGACCTACTTTTGAAAAACTTTAACCTTGGCCATAACTTTTGAACAGTTGGAGCTTGGGGTTTCAAACTTCACAAGTGTATTGCTTGTAACAAGACCTTCCTCTGGATATCAACCTCTTTGACCCTTTGACCTTGACGTAGGAGTGTGACCTACTTTTGAAAAACTTTAACCTTGGCCATAACTTTTGAATGGTTGATGCTAGGGCTTTCATACTTCACATATGTAATCCTTGTGACATCACCTTCCTTTGGATACCAACCACTTTGACCCTTTGACCTTGACATAGGAGTTTGACCTACTTTTGAAAAACTTTAACCTTGGCCATAATTTTTGAATGGTTGGTGCTAGGGATTTCATGCTTCACATACGTAGTCCTTGTGACAAGACCTTCCTTTGGATACCAACCACTTTGACCCTTTGACATTGACGTAAGAGTTTGACCTACTTTCGAAAAACTTTAATCTTGGCCATAACTTTTGAATAGTTGGTGCTAGGGCTTTCATACTTTACATATGTAATCCTTTTGACAAGACCTTCCTTTGGATACCAACAACTTTGACCTTGACCTTGATGTTTTACTTACTTTTAAAAAACTTTAACCTTCGCCATAACTCTTGAACAGTTGCAGCAAGGGCTTTCAAATTTAACATTTTTTATCTTTTGGCCTGGATTTTGACTTGCATTTGAGAAACTTTAACCTTCGCCAGAAGCTGCCATACGGGGGCATCAGTATTTCACAAACACATCTTGTTTTTTTCTTTCTCCTAAAGATCATTGATTCAAAAATTAATGTAAACTGCTAACAGATACATCTATGTCATTACCCTACACAGATACTGTATGTCGATTTGCACAGAGAACTTTGATTTTATAATTTACAGCTGCTTCTTTGAAACTCACCGTTGTCTTCATCCTGAGTTGACCATTGTGTCTGAGTCACCGTGTACAACGAATCCAGTGGGATAGAAGTAGGAGAGTAAAGCTGAAAGCTACATTGTACATACACATGATAAAGCAGTGCCTAGACATGGCTTGTTTTCGCTGTTTCAATTTTTAGCCTTTTACTTTTTCTTCTTTAGTTTTCCCTCGGCTCACTCATAAGTCTGCTCATCGGACAAATCAGTGAACGATGTAGAACACAAAGATCCGTATATCTGTATCAAATGGGTAAATAGAAATGTCGAAATATTTTCCAAAATAAGAAAAGAACTTTAGGCCGAAAATTACAAGGGCCAAAATTTCCTGTGTACATTTGGTGAATAATTAAAAGGAAATGTAACATACCCCGGTACCCTATATAGGTTTTAATAATTTTATTAAAACTCAAAATAGTTAACAACTTTTTTTTAAATTCAATTTAAGAAATAATTAATTAATTAGCACATCATCTGAAAAATCTGCCTTTAATGTCTTAAAGTTATTTTACAAAACATTTTTTTTAAACAAAAAGACTATGCAGGCTCTCATATCAAAGTAAATCAGAAATTATATAGCTGAATTCATTCCAATACAAATATTTTACAATTAATTTCAAAATCAAGACATTAGTGACCTCATCCATTTTCTTATAAATTGCCTTTAAATTCAATCTTATTGTTGGCATGTATTTTTATTCTGTGCAATTACAGTTTTATTCTTAAGAATTTACAAAGCCATTTGTCACTATATATACAAATCACAGGAATAAAAAAAATATAATCATCACATTAATATGTATTATTGTCTAATGGATTATTTTGCCTAACAAAGTAAATGCAATATTATAATACTGTAAGTTAATTCAAAAAAGGTACAAAAAATGAGGTATTCTGTTTTGAACAATACTGTTGTAAAAAATATAATTAAAAAAAGGTAATTTCACGTGGTTAAAATTTGAAAAAAAAATGCTTACTCAGTATAATTTACCTTACACAATGGTAGTCAAACACAACAGATTTACACTTCAGCAATAATCCGAAATGAAATGACGATAACAATATACTAGAAAAATTATATTCCATTGAAATTTAAATGCTCTTTGTACGTATATATTGCACTAACAGGCTCAAAGTTCCACAACTCTATTTCAACATTTTATAATATGGTACAATACTACATTTACAACATTCAAGTATATAGTAAACTATAGGTAATTGGTTATATTAATTGGTAATCAATACAATAAATAAATATGGTACATATATATGCATTGTTCGTCTAGAAGTCCCTCAGATGATGAAAAACATGTTATTTCATTTTTTTCTCTTGTTTTGTTTTGCAAAATACATATAAAAATATCATTAAAAATAATGTACACAATATCAAAGAATATCAATTTATAAAATATCGATGAAACATGTATAATCACAATTATTTTTGAACGATATCGGATCTGAACTGAACTGCGATTGCTATTCAGAATTATGACGTATTAAAAATTAAAATAGATTATGCCACTGTTTTAATTCTCCTCAAATTCCATTTGACATTTCGGATACTGTTCAGTTTGTATATCATTCAGGGTATCGTGTTAACCCTTTCTTTATCGACAGAGTATATTTTAAATTGGTATTGATTTACAACGATACAAAAGACTTCACTTTTTTCGATGAAACCGAGATGCCAGTACCCTCTACGTCAAAGGTTTCGCCTCTATCGACATGTACTGTTTACCATCCGTTTTGGAACACTTCAAAACGGCTCCATTTTGGTTCACGTCACAAACCAGTTCCATGAAACTCTCGGCAGCTTCTTCTTTGCTATTAAAACAATGTGATAGAAAACATGTGATATATCTGTAGATTTTCAACTGACATTAAATGTGCTATTAAAGCCGACAGAGATTTCTTCAACGTGAATCGATCATTGTATACAACCGTCTGATTTGTTTACTTTCAAATGAGAAATATTCGTTTTACTGTAAACTTTTCAGTTCATAAAATGCATTTGTTATTGATAAGAACACTGCCGAGTAAATAATGCATTTCTGGGGCATCACCCTAATGAAGCTCGAGATAAGCTTTACTTACGATTTTCCTTTCCTATGGAAAAAAATTTAAGGAGGCTGGGGGGTCAACAAATTAACCATCAGATATAACTTTAATTTTTTAGATATGATATCTTAAGCTGTCAACTATCATTTGGCAAACAAAGATTTCATACATTTTAGTTTTAAAATTTGATCATTTTTATATATCTTTATATGGAGCTCTTCTTCTAAAGGAGATCAATAAAGTCTAAAATGGCCACAACCACCCAGCCCTCTTAACTCAGACTTTCGCATTTAGCTTTTTTCAAGCATTTTGTGTCCTTTTTTTCCAAATAGATCAAATTTTCTTGCGATCCCTTTTGAACAAAAAAAAAATGTTTTAACAAACTTGTGCAAACTTACGTTATCATTCCAATAACTTTCAGGAACTGATGGGCTTTCTTGACGTCTAAGCAGTTCTCTTCATTGATTTCTTTTACTAAATCTGTGTCAACAAAGGCTGGACAGAATACATTAAGTCGAACTCCGGCAGACTTCACATCAGAATTCATCTGAAAGACGGAATCCGGTTATTATCTCTTAAGATCTGCAAATGATGCCCGAGAAAAATTTCTACCAGTAAAGATGCTCGTGGGCCTTGACGGGCACCTGAGTATCATACAACGCATCATATTTTTCATCACAGAGACAATTTTTCCCCTGAAAACCTTGAAGATGTTCAAATGACCTTGGGACATTTTGTCAAAGACAATCTTTGTATATGTCTTAAAGGAATATTATGTCTTTTTCCCTAAGTTTTTGTTATCAGTCAGAGTCTATTGCAGAAAGAAAGATAATTCATATAATATACAACCATTACTCGTTTAAAAAGACCATGTTGCACAATTTCTGAAAATAATGAAATTTGACATATTTTTTGTGCAGTCTTTGGTTGTTTAAATAATATAGCCAGATGGGATATTGCTCAGCATTATTATGTATTTACATACATTGTACATTGTTACTATTGCATATTACGTCATTTTTATACAATTTGACATTAGCTTTAGTTTCACTGTAAACAAAGCATAAAGGACTTGCACCAAAAAACCGTAGATGAAAAATCGTAAAATTTCTCGGTCGTATATAGCCGGTAACGTACTTTGTTCTTTGTCTGAAAAATGTCAATGAAAAAAAAATGGGTAAAAATAAAGATGTAATGCAACTGAATTTAGCATCACCATGGGACCCGAATGAACCATGGGTCCAGAGAACATGAATTTGCTTCTTATATTCTTTGCTCATTGCTCAGGATAATTATGTAATTTGTTTGTCTGAAAGAGGTCCAGGTGATGTATGAGCAACCTAACCCTAACCCATGACCTGAATCCTAACTTGGGAAACACTTTCAAAATTGTAGTAAAGTTCTCATTCATCAATGTGGTCATGCAGATAGTTTTGTCTTCAAGATTTCCACGGGAAGAGAATTACGTTCAAAGAGTGCATTCATTTGGGAGATTTTGGTCACAACTTTCAGTCTCACTAAGATAATCTAGAATACCCCAGGCCTTACAGAAAAAAACACCTTTCTGGGAAAGACCCGATGTTTCAGATGCCACTAAGATGGAACCATATAGTCAAAAGATTGGGGGGGGGGGAGGGGGCAAAGGCGTGCAAAATTTGTGAATTTAGTATTGAAGTAAAGTTCTTATCATTGAAACAAAACTTTTCTGCAGAAACATCTTTCGGAAAAAAATCATTCTGTGATTAAAAAAAGAAGTGGTATTCTTGGGGTTCGAACCAAAGCAATAAAAAATCCTGAGTGTCAATTTCCTTTCCAGACTGTCACGCTAATCACTAATCTATACCGCTCATACCAAAGATGGGCATTTAAATCATGTTTGTACATGTGATAAGACCCTTGACTAAATGGACTTCAACTATTTATCGGAAAAATACGAAAGTTGCAGTGGCGGATCCAGGAATTACATAACCGGGGGGGGGGGGGCAGTAGTATCATTTTATCTATTTATGTACTAAAATGGACTAATCCGAAGGTAAATGCTTGTTATACACACAAAATTTCAACAAAAAAATTCAAACGGGGGGGGGGGGCACACCCGGTGCTGGATCCGCCCTTAAATTGTGTCATAAAATGTATTTTTAAGGTAAAGTATGTATTTGCTCCATGTTTTTGAAAACCAAAGAATATTTATTTTTACGCATACTTTGAGTATAATCTTTCAAAAAATGGAGCGAAGACCCACTCAAAATTGTGTTTTAGTTTAGAATTGATCATTTTCCCCTCTTTGGTGTATGTATGCTATTTCATGGATGAAGAAGTTCAATCTTTGTGAGATTGTTGCGATTTATGGAGATTTTACATGTACATAAAGTATACGTTATGTTAAATGAAATATTAGAGAAAATTTGTCATAATTGAGATTTATTTTTTTCACTTTTTTATTTGTCGCACAATAGGCATTTCGCTCTGCTTGTTCGCCCATCTTCTTTTTCCCCAATAGATGCTATAAACCAAACCCTGTTAAAACTGGTCCTGCAGTTTTAGAAAAGCTCGAAGAGTTCACGACGAACGACGAAAGTTGATAGCAATATGTCACCTAGGTCACTTTGGTGCTCTAAATGTGAGTTAGTATAATGATAGTAAAATCGCTCTAATGTCATCACTTTTTTTTTAATTATCAATAAAGTAGCTTTCAGAGTGGTCAATTTTGAAAAATTGCGTCTTTTTTGTGGCAGCATGATACACTCATACAAAATTTTAGATAACTCACTATTTTTCTTAGTATCTTGGTTAAATTTTAAGAGAATTGTACGTATAACGCTATGTTCTCCACTTAGTGTAAAACTGAGTTTCACAGTGCTATTCCATTTAAACCTGTTAGAAGAGTTTTTTATGAGATTTATGAGAAATAAATTGTACGTGAAATGAACAGTAGAAACAAGGCGTGCTACTATGTTTTTATCATCTTCAACATGAATGATTACTTCGCATGTCTCTACCCACGCGTGCACTTCAAAATTACTCAAATTTAAGTTCAATGTACCAATTCTTAAATTCCTTCACATCAGATTGATAGAATGTAAAGGTATAGATGTCAGACTTATCTCTTCCTTACCGCCAAACTCCGAGTTAACGCTATAATGGCCGCTTTTGTTGCACTGTAGACGGGGGATAAGGGATTCACATTCAACCCTGAAATGATAACACAATCTTCATCTCAAAAGGGAGATGTTTCATTTCAAAGAACTACGCAGTTTTCATTCAAAATACATTTATCTCACTGAATCTCAACAACCAGTTATATTTTTTGTTTAGTCTCTAAGTTTGAAATTTAATGAACAAAATAAAAGTTTCATCTAGCACAAAAAAAGGTTGCTTTTGTATTAACTTTTTGACATACTGATATTCAATTTCAGAGGAGCTATGTGATTACATCAATTAAACTTTAAAAAAGCAGGGGTTAGTGAAAGGTTAAAATCGGCATGTGTCTGATGGTTTGCCAAAACGATATCTGGTATTTAACTTATAACATGTTATCGGCGTTTCCTTCGTAACAAAATGTTCAAACCTGACATACTTTATTTCATCTTTCGTCAATAAAAAAATTATTTCTGACCAATAGGATAATGAAGTAGTTTTGACTTAACTCAAAATGTTGTATTAAAGTTTATAATCGAACACATATAAAATTTGAGACTTTGTAAAAACTTTTCCTTTCATTTTGTTAATTTCAATTTTCCAGTGTCAGTTTATAACAGTTGTTTATTTTTTGAATGCTGGACTTCAGCCTAAGACAATATAATTATCCTCGGGCCTGTATTATACGGCAAAAGTTACAATATGTGTACCTGCCGCAGACGATACGTTAATGATAACGCCTCCATTTCCTCCTTTGTCCGTCCTCATGTGTTCAAGAGCCAGCAATGTCCCCCTGGTTGTTCCTTTCTAAAATTGTCGTAGGATGATACGTCAGAAGACAGAAAACACATTGCATATGATCTATTGCTCGTAAAACGCTTTCAACGTATACGTTTCTCAATTTAAAGTATTCTCTTAATTCCAAGATTATAAGACAGTTTAACTTGGCATAAAATATTTTTTGAAATGCTCATAAATTTAAAATAGCCAATATTAAATTTTACCATTGTCAAAAATAACCCCCCCCAAAAAAATATAAATAATCAATTTACACCATATATATTTCTAAATTTTAATAGTCTACGAATATATTTCTCTTGGAAAAGTGCAAAGATTTTTTCTTACAATTTGTAAGGTTTAGTCTTAGCAATAATACGGTTTTCAATGGAAAAAAGAGGCGAAGAATTCCTGAACTATTAGAAGGACGACAAGTACATGTATTTATAACCGCCCGGTTTTATTCTGTTTTTTTTTTCTATCTCTCTACCCCAGCAGTTACGAGGGAATTAGCTCAAGACTATGAATTACAAACGGTTTCCAGTGACACTGAAATGGAAAATACCATCGCTTCAATACTTTCAGTTTCGTAGCTGCAGAACTGTAGCGTTATGGTTTTATATTTTAGTCTTTGACCATAACGCACTACTTTCCCTACGAATAATGCCACAAATTATGGTCAAAGACTAAAATATATAAAACCATAGCGTTACAGTTCTGCAGCTATCAGTTTCGCAGATGGATCGTTTTCATACCTTTTCTCTGTACTGCTGCACTCAACAACAACAGAATATATAATAATCAATGTACACTACTTGTGTTTTTATCACTGCTCCATTTCATTTAAAATTTATTTAGTGCATTGTCATATTTTTGCTCTGCTTTTGACTCACAGCAATTGGGGTTGAGAAGGAAATCACATTGTGATAACGAGACTTTATAGATAAGGAATTTGCCATGGTGAAAAATTGAGGGGTAAATCACATCAAAAAAGATCCATGCATGCTTACCAAATTAACGTCAACAGCTTTCTCCCATAAAGGATACGTCTCCCCGCCCAACCCGGCATTGTTGCAGACGATATCCAGACAACCAAACTTCTCTTTGACACTTTGAAATAAATCTAGAAAATGTGTCGATAAAAAAGCGCCATAATATAATTTCTATAACCATTACTAAATACAAGGGATTACAGCTAGGGAAAATGTTTTGTGTATTGCACCAGCTGTTCAATTTTTTTGCCCCATAAAACTAAACCTTTGCCAACCCCTTAAATCAATTACTAGTATACTGAAAGTGTTTGTCTTATTAATGATCTTAAGCCTCGATATTTTCTGTCAAAACAGATAAAAATGTAAATAAATAAAAGTTAACAAGGAATTCTGTCTTGTTGTTTTCATAATTCAAATGAAAGTTCCTAACTATTGGTAAAGTTTCAACTTTGGCTGCAGAACGGTAACTAGAGACATTTGGAGTATGCTTTTGCCAAAACCTCAAACGTGCTGTGTGCTTATTTGTAGATATTAATCCAAGGGGGAAATTGGGTCGACATTTCACTGTCATTTGTAGGAATATGAGTGTTAATCAACATCGTGTGAATGAAGCGATGACACTCAGGAATTCGAACGTAGTTTTTATTGGCGCAATTCTGTTTACTATATAGTACTCTTCATGGAGTTATATATGTATATGCATGGTTTAACGTGTACGATAGTTTAAAGTTTACATATTTCATAATCTATTTAAAACATTTCAAAGAGATTCCCCTATGAAAAAATTTACACTTCTCTGTCAGACAACTTTATATTGGGAAGTACAAATGTACATATATTGTAGATGTCGAGATTCTATAGTACCTTATTTTTGCGAGAGAGTTGTATGACATTTATTGGCGAGGAAAATTTCTCAGTAATTTTGGTATCATTGTATATAATATTTAATTGAACAAAAGAAATTTTTTTTATCAGACATTCGGGTAATATTGCGCGAAAATTAGGTTTTCGTGAATCAAAAGTGATTTACAGTATATTAAATGGATAAAAACAAACAAATAACATTTCTACATGGATCAAATTTCAACAAATGACAGGTATAATAAAAAAAATAAATTTGAAATTTTTTTAGTCCCGAAATTGTTATATATATATGTCATTTACAATCTGTGACAAATCTACTCACTTTCCATTGGTTGTTGCCTTGTGACATCACATACTTGGAACATAACATTTGTTTCTCCAAACTTAGATTTTAGCTCTTGGAGTGACTTCAATCCCAAATCTTCATTTATGTCACAAAAACACACCTGCAGCGAGAAGTTTGACGCGTATCATCTAAACATCCCTCACCCCAATATTTATATCAAGCGTATAATGATGAAACTTTGAATATTTCATTCAAAAGTTGAGCCTAAAAGTTCTCGGTGTGATTTACAGACTAGAGCTTGCAGAACAAAATCATGGCAGAATATTAGTTATGATAGAATGATTTTGTTAGATGCTCACTTAGTATTTGTGCATTGTTTTGATATGCCGTAAATGTTTAATTCAGTTCAATCATTTAACACTCTCTAATCTCTACCACTACATAAAGCATTTTTTTCACAAAAAGAAAAAAACACAGATATACACCACCCTTTCTTAAGGAAAATGACGAAAATCACAAGACGCAGAGTTTATTCTTGTTTTCTCTTTCACGTTAATGTTTTCGCTGTACTAAAAGATAAATATCTCTAAATCCTCTACATGGATAAAACTGCTCAAACAGAGTATTTTATTCAAAAGTTTGTTAGTTTTGGGTTACTTTTTGCGTGTCTCTTCAATTTGATGTGCGTGCGGTGGAATAGAGTTTTTGTACAGCAATAAATATGATATAAAAGGCTTGAATTTCCTCTGTTGCTGGGAGAATTTTTTTAACAGTTAAAATGGTTAATCATATTGTACTCACAATAAGCCTTTCCACAGGTTATTTTGGTTAAATATAAAAAAAAGGCATATAAAATATAAACATAAAAAATATTTTTTGTCAAAGCAACTTCTGGAACAATAGAAATAATAAAAAACAAAGTTGAAAAGAAGGTTAAGAGTGGCCAAACAGTTTTACATACAGTGTACAGAGTACATGTATATATATGTAACGCGAGGAACCAAGAGGCGTCAGATAAAGTTACAACTTTCTTAGTGGATCTCTTTGAATAACGTGAGAAAGTTATGCTACATTTAGTACACTCATTCATAAATATATAATGTTTCCTGTTTTGTTACAAACAAGTTTTTTGTCCATAATATATTTCTTCATATGGCCCTTATCTAAATGAACCTGTTGTGCAATTGAGTTCATTAGTTTTTAAAACTCATTTTAACCTCTCTAATTTCACCTTGCCTAATTAAGTGTAGAACATGTTACGAATGAATGAAAATTTGAAAAGAAAGCATTGTACACGAGTTTTCTTTTTGGAAAAGTATTTATATTACCAAACTATCAAAGTACCAGTGTTTACTGGTCAGAAATCAAGTGTTTTTCTCATGTTTGCATACATGTGCGATCTAACCCCCCCCCCCCCCCAGGACAAAAACCGAAAGCATTTTTATTGAGTTCGCCTAGCTGAGATCATCATAATAACTTGGTACCTAGCATTAGTCCAATCATGTACTGCAATATACAGTAACTTGAAAGATTTTTTTTTTAATCGTTATAAACATACCATGTACTTTCAAATATACAAAGTGGTATATATCTCGCTCGATTCTTTTTAACGGGTAATTTTCAGACTGACCTTTGCTTTCTGATCCAGCAGGGCCTCAGTAAATGCATATCCCATCCCCCGAGCTCCACCCGTCACCAGCGCCACTTTCCCCATCAGATTCATCGTGCCGAAATAAGACCCTTATCCAACGGCAATGATACAGATTTCGCAACAGGCATTCCTACAGAAACGAAAGCATCCCTCCCTCTCCTCAGCTGCTGCACAAAATGGACTAATTCTTCAGCGCAGAAACACGGCTAGTAGATATAGATCGTTCAGAGCAGAGCGTGTTAGATGATTTGTTTCTCTCTATTGTAATGGTTGGCTGACAAATGCCGCGAGGTCAAATCCCATCGCCTGGCAGCAGTCATGTCAGTGTAAAGATGTGGCGGATCTAATGATGGAATTCTTTCAAGTGCGACGAGTAAAGAATTTATGTTAGTAAAATTAATGAAAATTATTATATAGGTTGATACTGTTAGCTCTTTTACTTTGTTTTATTTTAATTATTTAGTGTACTAATTCAATTTTAAAAGTGCATTAATTTAGATTGTATCCAACACATCCTGATGAATTTAACTTATTAGGTTTTAAAGTACAAGGTTAAGTTTACATAGATATATGTGGCTCCCTTAAACAGGTGAGTAGTACCTACATAGTTATGACATTTACCATTTTGGGAAATTTGAAGGTAAAAAGGTCATTTTACACATTGACGAGAAGCCCCTCGTATCCACAGGACCTAACGAAGGGATGGTGCTCCCTCTCCCCCCTCAACCCTCAGAGAATTTTTATTAGACTCGAAAACTTATCAAAAATACATGAATTCCTAGCTTATCATAACTATATTCCGATATCTGATATCATTTTCCGCCTTAGTTAAGTTTTAGAGATTGTTCCTTTACGGTATATATACGGGCGCGAGTCTAAAAGAGGCATGGCCGTAGGACCCCCCCCCCTCCCCCCAATAACTTTGTCGATATATAGATTTACTATAGAAAACATAGCTACTATATATTTGTGCCCCCTCAATAAAAACGTCTGATGACCTTTTTTTTTTTTTGCTTGTCAAGGAATTTTGGTAGTTGATAGCGCCCCGCCCCAAACTTAAAATGTATGACGTGCCCCCCTCCTCCCCCAAACTGAATTTGCTTCCTAAGGGCCTGAGAGGGAATGGTTGGCGTAGTGTAAAAATATCTCATTCATAGTGGCATAGCCAGCCAAAGTATGCAAATTAGGCAGGAGGCCTGGGACCGCCTCGAGGCTGCCATGCATGCAGTGATCCAGAGCAAAGTACTAAATGGGGGACCCAGGGGCGAGGCCCCATGGAGAATTTGGAGAAATGAAGTATAAATATTTTTATTCCGAAATGCATAAATTTTATGGCGTTTTTATATAGATTTTGCATTAAGATCACGGACTTGATAAATATAATACAATTTTAAGTATTGAGAGTTTACCTATAAACTCTACAGGCTTCTGAATGCTTCCTGGACAAGAATATTTTTTCAAACCGTCTTCAGACTGCAAGAAAGTTGATATACGCAACATCCGCATCGCAAATGATAGGGCGAATCCGGACAGGATTTTTTTCTTGAGCAGATGCTGAGAGGTCTTTCAGGAGAAAATAACGGGAGAAAAAATAAATGCTTCTAGTCTATTTGATTATTCGGATATTATGTTTTTACCAACAGATACATATACTTTTCCATATCATGCGCGGATCTAGAGGCGGAATCCCCCCTCCCCCGGAATTTGAAGAGTTATTAAAAGTATATACTGAAGCAAAAAACAAAAAACAAAACAAAAAAACTTTGGATCCCCCCCCCCCCCCGAAATCGTGGACCCCACCACCACCACCACCACCACGAAATAGGTTTGTTTAACATTTGGAAAATGAATTTTACGTTTTTTGTTTGTTTCTTTGTTTGTTTGGTTTTTGTTTCGTTTTATTTTTTGCTTGTCCAGAAATTTTCTGAGTTTAATACGATTTGGATTTTTTTCCTGGATCCGCGCCTGCATATTTCAAGACCCCCCCCCCCCCCGCAGTTTTGTGTAATTCTTAAATCCAGACATTTGACTAAATTAGACCCAGACCAAAGTCAAGTTGTACCTTGAGATACAAAAACTGAATTTGTATTTGTTTTTTTTTTCGGAAAAAAGATTTCTTATCATTTAAGTTTGTCACGTGATTTTATTCATTCTAGTCATTACTAAGTTTTATGTTATGAACTTTTCCGTGACTTAGTACATTCCTGGTTCTACGTAGAATAATTTAAATGAAAGCGGTAAAAAGGAAGACTCGAGTAAGTGATAGATTACATAAATATCTTTAAAATTAACTCTTGTTAATCATGAATATGAGAAAAGTACAAGTGTTGAATTGTCCTTTTGTGTATGTTAAATGATTGATGTCTAAATGTACCAAAGACAGAGTTCCTGTATTTAAGCCTATAGATGTTTTGATTTTTAGACGTTTAGTTTAGGATGTACTGTAGGCTAAATGTTATATTTAAAAAAAAAAAGCTGTTAAAAACAATCAGAGTATACACATGATAAAGTATAAATTGGACATCCAATGTAAGTCTTCATTACTTATGTTCCGGTATTTCTGTTTTTTAAATATTTTTTGAAATTTTTTTTTCTTTCTGACAGTTGATGAAATCTTGATCCCTCTAATTATCACTCTAGATACTGTAGTTCTTATTATCTTGCTTATTGAAAATGCCGAGAACAGTTCTTTCTCTCTTACAGTAAGTGGGGGGGGGGGGGGAGAATTGTTGATAGGTTCGAGTTAAAAAAATACAGACCAACTGTATTATTCATCGTTCTCAAAAACAAGATAATGAATCATTGATACATACAAGACTTTGAAAATCTGTAAATCTGCTCAGGTCATTCAAAATCAATGATTAAAGGCACTTTTCTTGACTCTTAAAATTTCTGGCTTTGTAAGTTTGTTATTGAATGGTGTGTGAATTTATTTTGGTTTCTGCAATGATGAATCGTATTGAGATTGTACATTAAATTCACTTCATTAAAATCAGCTCATATGATTAAATTTGTAAATTCTATTATTTATTTTTGAAATTTCCGTCATATGCCTTTCTTTGATTGTTGATGATTCCCTACTGCATTTGTGCCAATTGTTTACTTTTGATATTATTGTTTTCACCTGTTTACATCATATACTGTACAACATTGAAAAGTTCTTGGATATTACAAAAAAAGACAAGAATCATTTTTATTTTAAGTTTCTTATACCTGTAAAATTAATGCTCTTTCTTTTGTAATTTTCTTAGATATAAACTTAAGGGGGAAAAACACCTTTCTACCATTAGGAATGGGGCATTTTACTGGCCTCTGTGTGCTGTAAACCCAAAAAAGTGAAGATTGCAAACTGGAAAAGTAATTACTGTGCTTAACATATTGTATTTTAACATGTAAAATTATTTGATGTTGTATTTTATTAAATATAGAAATGCCAAGAAGAAAAGTGACACGGGCTGCAAAAACCAGGAAAACATCAAGGGTTTCAGATGCTGATGAAGGGGAAATCACCAACAGAGAAAAACGTGAAAAATTAGAGATGTACCTCAAAGATTTTGATACCATGGGTGAGCAAAAGATACAACTGTATAATAATAGTGACTTAAAATAATATGAAGCTTTATATAATGATTTTAATTATTCATTCTTACAATAATACACACACACGTTACAAGTTTATAATAATTTTAAAAGAGAACTCCCTTCAAAAATTATGCTTTCTTATATGTCACAGTTGTAAGAATTGAATGTCTTTTCTAGGTAGATGTAAAAGATGGAGTTTTTTTTATGTCTGAATATTTTTAGTTTAATGTACATTTGACAGTTAAAATTCATCATCATTAGCACGATTATATATATCATGTATACATGTATTATGAAGCAGTACTCCATTTACTTGAAATGAAACCTATTTTCTTGTTCTTGTTGCAGTTGAGAAAAAATTACAGTCTTTTGAGCAGACAAGGTCTAGTTTGTTCAAACAGTTCCGAATCTTTCATGAATATGAAAAACAAAAGCTTGGAAAAACAGTAAGTATATGAGTCCAGTTTTACTTAATTACTTAATTAGATTTACATTTGTAAGAAGTAGATGTGATAGAGATTGCTTTATTGTAAAGGAGTATGCATGTGTACATTTAGCATCTTTCGTATTGTAAATATGAAACTTTTTGTACTAAGGAAATCAAAAATGACATTTCAATTTTAGAATCTTGAAATGACCTTAGAAGAATATGCAGGTATTTTTATTTTATCTGTTCATGTTTTTTGTATTTATTTTTGCCAATTTTCTAATGTAATGTATAAAGATGATGGTCACAAAGCTTGGTCTCTATAGGTATATTCTGATCATAGAATGTTCATTTTTTGGTTTGACTTTACAGGACTAGCAGATTGCAAACCAGAATCAGAGAAAGAAAATGTGGAGGGGGATGATGCAGAGGGAGAGAAGGAGGAAGAGGAGCTGTTTCCAGATCTTCCAGCAAGCCTGAGAAGACATTTGTAAGACTTGGAAGATGATGGATTTATTTGTATTAGTGTAGGATAGATAAGCCCAATCAAGGGGATAATATTTGCCATTTAGGACAGGACTTGCAAAGTCCCAGACAGAAAATAAGATTCCGAAAGTTGGGATTATGTATTTTACACTCATATTTTACACATGACTATTAGACTGGTTTTCAATTGGTGATATGTGAATGAAAATATGCAATACAAACTATGTTTAGTACATACAAGGGTCATTCAAAAAATAGACAATGTTGATCTTCATCGTATTATTTTTACTAGATATAAGATAGTGCATTTTCAAATGTAAAAACATTTACAGTAAAACATGGCTATAGCAAACACACTTATAATGAATTCACGCTTTAAGTGATTTTCATTTCCCATGGTTCTAAAATATATAGTAAACTTGACTGATATACTGAATTACGTTTATAGTAAATCAAAAATGTTCATCCCTGCCACTTCAATATAAGCATGTTTCAATGTATTTTGTTGGTGTGTTAAGTTTCATTTCATTTGATTAAATGGAACTTATGTTACTTAATTTTAAAATAGACATGTTTTTTCACCACAGTGCATGCTTAACAACATTGTATCATCAAAAACAATGTCATGAAAGTTTCTCAAAATCACTCTTCTTTTTCATTTCTCTCATGATCTGTAGCACCTTACCCACTCATTTAATTTGCTAATAGTTGTTCAAGTAAGTTAGTTTGTTCCCTTACAGACGACATGTTCATCATCCGATTTAAAGTATTCAACACTCAAAAACTATCTTTGCCATTTATATACAAATAGACAGCTCATTTTTGATAAACTGAATAAAGGGTTATTTTCGCCCCATGTTATTTTTGCCCTTTCACACTTGCAAACAATTTTGCCCAGTTTGAAATTCGCCCAGTCACAGTTTTGTTTAAGAAATTATACTGTTTTCTTTGAAAATTCACCCACTTGTGTCTAGGGCGAAAAGGGCGAAAATAGAACTGGTGAAATTTCCCTGAATACAGTATTTCCTTTTTTCTCCAGCATTTTCAGAGTTTGTTTCAGAGGTTTCCATTGCTACTCGCTGTTCCTTGACATCCTTCGATGTCATCTTTTTTTTTTTTTGCTTATTTTAATGAGCTCTACCTGTCTTCTAAAATTGATTTCTTTTTAACAAAGCTATATATTACATTACATTTTTGCATTTGAAGTGGTTTAACAATACTAAATTTGTACATTTAAACTTTATTTTGTTAAAGGTGCTTGGACACAGATTTGAAGTTAATATTTTCTCAAATTTTCTGTAAAATTTCATGACTTATATGTTGCTATAGCATTTCATACTAAAATACAATAAAAATCTTATTTCATCTCGTAGTTATTTAAACTTCAAATTTCTGAACGCGTTTGATTGACACATCCTTGCACTTTCACAAATTTTAATTTTATTCTTAATACTTAAGAAAAGTGGCAATTTTGTTGTGTATTAATGAAAAATATTAAAACTATAATCCAGAAAATTCAGAGTAGAAATGTTCGAAAGCAAAACCCACTCACAGTATTGTCAGTCCGTGCTCAGTGGTGTGTGCAGAGTTTAACAATTGAACACACTTGGTGAATCGTAAAAATTAACAATCACAATAACGAGCTCGTGCCCTGTTTATAAAATCAGTTTACGTTTCACGGGTGTATTCAATTTGTTAAACTCTGTACACAACACTGACCATGCGCTGACGATATTAGTGAGGGGGTTTGCTTTCGCACATTTCTACTCTGATTTTTCTGGATTATAGATGTAATGTTTTTCATTAATACACAACAAAATTGCTTCTTTTCTTAAATGTTAGGGATAAAGATAAAATTTGTGAAAGTGCAAGGATGTGTAAATCAAACGCATCCAGGAATTCGTAGTTCCAATAATTTCCAGATAAAATAAGTTTTTAATTATATTTTCGTGTGAAATGCTATTGCAATATATAAGTCGTGATATTATACAGAAAATCTGAGAAAGTATTAACTTCAAATCTGTGTCTAAGCACTTTTAAAGTGCCATTTATTAGAGGTATGACTATAGACATCATTAAGTGTATTGTTATTAAATTATTCAATTTTGACTGTGCTCCATGACCCTGTTTTCACAGTCTTAAATTTAAGATAATTTTGATGAATCTCATGATATATTTGAATTTTTTATTCAAATTATGTGGATTTATTGTTAAAATATCTCTACCAAATTTGATTGTAATATGACATTAAATTAAAAAAAGTAATGACAAAAGTCTATATACATGTATTTTTTTAATGACCCTCGTATATGACATTCTGAAGGTTTGTTGTATGCTATGTCATAAATGAAGGACTGTGAGATAACCATTCGAAGTAACCAGCAAATTCAGACATGAAAGAGAAAATCATCTTTTTGTATCTCCATATTATGCATATACAGTTATTATGAGAGAGATAGGTATTTTTTCTTGTTATGCGGACTTTGTATAAATTTGAATTGATGTCGAAATAGGGGTTAAAATGAACATGGGTTTTTCATGGTTTCAAAAATCTTTATAATGCTACTCCACAAACAGTTTTTGCATGAATAAAATTTGATTTAAATTTAAAACATAGAAGTGGATAAGTCTAATGCAAAAGTTAAGAAAATAAATATGCAACATTTTTTTAAGACGATAGTGTAAATGTTCAGACTTCAAATTGGTAGAGGTGCAGTCTCATCAGAGCAATATTCTTTTCTTTTGTACTAGAGATTTGGACAGATATTGAGAATATGGGACATTTTGTACCTATAAAATCCTATCTTATGAAATAATGCAGTTATTTACAGCATATGCTCTGTTTGACATATTGAGCAAGCATGAGATAAGATTTTCTTAAAGTCTGTGACCTGTGTCTCTGCATATCTGGATCACATGTCAAGAGTACCTGACCTTCCAAAGTTTCCTATGTATTGCCAACTTGAGATTCTCAAAGGATTTTTGGCTTTTGCGGATATACTTTGACTTTTAAAAGTAAAATGTAAATGTAGCCATGTTCAATAAAAAATGACAATTTTATGGTGTCATAACATCATAACTACTGGACATTGTCCAGTAATTACATTAACTAATAAAATTATAGGCATAACAGTTTAAAATAATGTACATACTATAAATGAAATATGTATTATGATTGACAACAATTTTATTGAGGATTGAAATAGTATCAGATATTTTGGATCCCCCTGTACTTATGTTTGAGTTGTTAATATTTTGTAGTTCCCGGGCCAAAGCAACAAATTTGAACATTCAAGACACGATAATGGAGGACGATGTATTCACAGAAAATGGTAACAAAATAGACAAGGTCAGTTTTAGAAGAAAATGGTAACAAAATAGACAAGGTCAGTTTTAGAAGAAAATGGTAACAAAATAGACAAGGTCAGTTTTAGAAGAGGATTCTGTATACGTGTAATATTCTCTAGATCTTGCATGGACACAAGAACAAACAGAGGAAATGTTGTCTAAAATAAATACAATTGAGCAAATAAAATTTTCATTTTAATGATTTTACTGCTCCATAAAACTTTATTTGCCATGCCATTTCTTAGTCATCAGATAATTGTACCATTATTTTTTTTAAAATCATGGTTTTTATAAATACTATACATTAAGTAATACACTACATTGTTGCATGCAGTTGACTCTCTGTTCTGTAAACCTAGAGGTTTACGTAAATTTACACCAGTTACTTGTGAGAAAGATTTGACAAAATAAAAACTTTGATCTCTCAAAGTTCTTGATCTTTTGAAGTGTGTATTCAGTCCCTAGTTTTTCTCATATATATAACACCCTTAAAATTACTTCATTAAACTACATTCAAAAATAAATCTCTTAAGTAAGAGCATTATAACCATTCGACTTAGAGATCATTTATAAATTTGCTAAGTACATGTGTATGAGAGAATGACTTGAAACAATGAGTCAACACATATTATGCTAAGGACAACAACTTACTGAAAACATCAGTTCTGTAACTGAAAACCTCATGAAAATCACTCATTTTTTTTTATCATATTTAACTTAATTTTAGCTGAGACCAAAGAGGCAAGGTACATTTCATGTTGCAATAGAATGTACCTTGGGCAGGACATTCTTGCCCAGTGAACATATTTGTAGATTAAAATGAATTGTGCCCCTTTCTTATTAAAGGGAAACTGTCTAAGGCCAAATAAAAAAATATGTGTGGTTCCAGTTACCCGACCTTCCCTATTTTATACCTCCCGACCCTAAACTTTTTTTGGGCAATTTTCATATTTTTTCCAGAATTTTCCCCGATTTCCATCAATGGCTCTGGTTTAAGTTTTAGTTTCAGCAATGACGGCCTCCTTGCAAAACATAGTGCAAGTGTTTAATAGTATTAAGTCCAAAGCGAGCTAGCATGTAGGTGTCCCCTACCAATATTGACTAGTATATTATCACATCACATCTAAATGCCATTTGCAAAGCAGTGATAGGTAGGCTCTTATTTAGAAAAATTAAGAAAATCATTTTGTAAAAAAAAAAAAAAAAAATTCCCTACCTACCTTATTTTTTTGGAAGTGTAACCGGAACCACACATATTTTTTTGTTTGGCCTAACCAATGTGTAAGAATATATAATAGATCATTTCTTCAAGTACGGTATGAACATTTAATTAATAAACTCTGAAACAAAATAGTTACAAGCAATAATGAATCTGACTGTTCATAAAGAAATAACCTCAGTTAGGTTTAACTTAAAAGGAAATAATGCGTTGTGCTCAAGTGATACAGTGTCTAATCGAACACTTCATTACGAAAAGCATCCTAATGTAAATATGTACAGAACATTACTAGAGATATAAAGCTTCAACTTTTTAGCTCACCTGAACCGAAGGCTCAAGTGAGCTTTTCTGATCACTTTTTGTCCGGCGTCCGTTGGTCTATCCGTCTGTCTGTCCGTCTGTCTGTAAACTTTTAACATTTTCGACTTCCTCTCAAGAACCACTGTGCCAATTTCAACCAAACTTGCCACAAAGTATCCTTGGGTGAAGGGGATTCATGTTTGTTCAAATGAAGGGCCATGCCCCCTTTCAAGGGGAGATAATAAAGAATTAGTAAAAAATTAATAGCATCTTTTAAAAATCTTCTTCTCAATAACCACAGGGCCAGGAAAGATGAAACTCATGTGGAAGCATCCTCAGGTACTGTAGATTCTAATTTATTCAAATCATGACCCCCGGGGGTAGGGTGGGCCACAATGGAGGATCAAAGTTTTACATAGAAATATATAGGAAAAATCTTCTCAAGAACAGCAAAGCCATGATGAGTCATATTTATATGGAAACATCCTCAGGTAGTGTAGATTCTAATTTATTTAAATCATGACCCCCGAGGGTAGGGTGGGGCCACAATGGGTGATCAAACTTTTACATAGAAATATATAGGAAAAATTTTAAAAATCTTCTTCTCAGGAACAGCAAAGCCCTGATTGATCATATTTATGTGGAAGCATCCTCAGGTAGTATAGATTCTATTTTGTTCAAATCCTGACCCCCGGGGGTTGGATGGGGCCACAATGGAGGATCAAAGTCTCAAATAGAAATATATAGGAAAATATCTTCTGAAGATGAACTGCAAAGCCATGGTTAGTCATTTTGATTTGGAAGCATCCTCAGGTAGAGTAGATATTCAAGTTTGTTAAAATGATGACCCCCAGGGATAAGGTCAGGTCACAATGGGGGATCGAAAATTTTACATAAGAACATATAGAAAATATCTTCTTCTCAAGAACTGAAAATCATGTTTTAGTCATTTTGATATGGAAGCATACTCAGGTAGTGTAGATTCAAGTTTGTTCAAATGATGACCCCTGGGATAGGAAGGAGCCACAATGTGGGGATCAAATTTTTACAAAGGAATATAGGATTTTTGAAAAAAAAATCTTCTCAAGTACAACAAAGCCATTTGTTATATTGACATGGAAGCATCATCAGGTAGTTTAAAATTCAAGCCCCCCCCCCCCCCCCCCTTTTCAATACTGAACTGATTTGTGCTTTTGCCTAGCGAATGTACTCAGGTGAGCGATGTGGCCCATGGGCCTCTTGTATTTCATAAGAATCCTTCAGAAATGAAAATGAAATGCTGAAAATATTATATATCTGGATATATAGGTATAAATTTTTCATACAGTTATAGGATACAATTGTTTCTTGTATTGTTGCATACTGGTATATCATTACACCCATGTTTCAAAGCTATGTTTTACTGTAAACCAACTACTATTTGTGATGATTTTATTATGCCCCGCCATGAATATGGCTGGGGCATATAGTGTTTGTCATGTCCGTCTTCCCTCCTTCCGTCCTTCTGTCCTTTCGTCCTTCTGTCCTTCCGTCACACTTTGCGTTTAGCTCTGTTCAAAGCTCAGTTTCAAAGAAACTATCCAAGATATTTTTATCAAACTTCATATGCTGATAGATATTGATGAGAGCTATGCAACTGCATCAACATTTTTTGACCTTGACCTTTCATTTGACCTTGACCTCACTTTTCTCAATTTGTGTTAAAATGTTGCATTACTAATATACCCTCGGCGGGGCATTCATGTCCTATGGACATATTTCTAGTTTGTGATTTTTCAGTTGGAAATCCATCTGACTATTAATTTTTGCAACAGACGAAACATTCTCTATAAACACACAGTTAAATGAATGGTTTGCAACAAGAAATATTCATGAGTAAATGAAGGTTGCGATCATCACAGATATTTCTCACATGGGAATAATAGTTGGTTTACAGTACTGTATATTATATAAACAGTATGGTACGTGTTTGTCAGAAAGACAGTGTTGATATCCCTATTATCTTTTGTTTCCTGTAGAGACCTATGCCAGATCCCGGGCACAAGAGATTTGCCTCTGTCAAAAAGTTTATGCCACCACCATCTCCAGGAGTTCCATTTAAAAGGTATTTTACTTAATGGGATGGTATTGAGATTATAATTATGGAATTGTTAGTTTGTGTACTTAAACAGCTTAGATGATTTTCCTCATCAAAATTTCTATGAACTGTACAATTGCTAATTAACATAAGCATTCATTAGGGCCCTATTGTGTGGGTGATCAGTCTGTCCATCTGTCTACTATCCAATTTCATTTGTCCAAGGGATATTTTTTCTACCCTTGGCCAGATCTGGTTCAAACTTCACCAATACAGTTCACTGGGGTAGATGTTGTGCAGTGACCTTGAACCATTTTGAAGATCAAAGATTAAGATTGAGAAACCTTTCTATGTAACATTCTTGTCCGGAGAATATTTCCTCTCTCCTTAACCCAGTCTGGCTCAATTTTCACCCAAAGAATCCCTGGGATAGAGGGTGTGTAGTAACCTTGTACCAATTTCCAAGATCAAAGGTCAAGATTGAGAAACCTGTGTGTGTTAAATCTTCATCCAGAGTATATTATCTCTCCCTTTGACCCAGTCTTGTTCAACCTTCACCCATAAAGTGCAGTTGCATATGCAGTGACCATGAACCATTTTTTTTATATCAGTGTTCAAGGTAGACAAGCCTCTTTGTGTAAAATCTTTGTCTGGAACATATTTTCTCTCCCCTTGGTACCTCCTGGCTCACAGTTCATGTATAGAGTGCCTGTGGGTAGAGGGTGTGAGGTGAGCTTGAGTCAAATTTCTCCTCAACACTGAGACAAAAATTTCCTGAGTACAAAATGGTCCTCTCCAAGTACAGTCCTTTAGATCTCTCTTCTGTCCTAATGTCCTTTGCTTAAAGCAGGGCCCTTTGAAATGGTCTCCATCTCAATGGTGTCTAGCTCATTTTACCTTCACACGAAAGAAGCTACATGTATTTATTTGTGTAGTTTGTAACCAGTGTTATGCAGTGTAGCAGATTCTCAGTTAGGATTTCATTTTCCTCTTTCAGTCGCTTTTTGGGATCAGCACAGAAAAAATATATGACCCCAGTTAATCGTACATTGGCTGATGCAGGATGGTCAAACACACCACTTGTTACACCAAAATTTGATCCAAGGTAAGAAACTTGTAAATATACATGTTTATATGGTCTGTATAGTTTTGTCAATGTTATGAAATTAAAAGGTATAGTTCAGTTCTTTAAAAAATTACTTTCTCCTCTCAGAAAAAATTGCTAACTTTCAAAGCATATGTCTAAATCAGTACTGGACAATTCATTGAAATACTACTCATGAACAGGTACAATTCTTTGACATGTCAACTGATTGAAAGTCACGGTTTGACATTAACTTTTACGAGTACTAGACCAGTCGGGCTACATCCCATAATTTTTACTAGCCCTGACCATACAATCACTAGCCCTGACCATACCTGCAAATTTATTCCTTATAATCACTAATTTTAATGAGGTAATTTTGAAATCACAGTCGGTCGGACTTGCCTTGGTGTAAAACCCTGAAAATAAAAACTTCTCAAAACACAAGTCGAAGAAAGACAACTCCAGGAAAATGACAAATCAATTCTTGAACCTCATTTTGAGCAGGTCGTCATGGTAGCTCAATGGGTAGAGCGCTCGCTCCGTGATCGGAAGGTAGTGTGTTCTAATCTTGACCGCAACTGACCTAAGTCGATAAAAAATAGGTAGCAACTGTTCTTTTCATTTTGAAGTGAAAGTTGCGGGTCCTTCAGATTACCGTATATACTCGCCTATAAGTCGGTTTTTTGGGAGTTAAATTTTGGTCCAAAACTCTAGGTCCGACTTATAGGCAAGTCATAAAAAGATTAGTAATATCTGGACGTCGAAATGTAGTATGGATATATCATATCATTTAGGCATTCTGAGATTATACACAAAGTTCAAGTATTTACATATTTTAATAACTTTATTTTTATTTAAAGTGTGCATTATGTATTTTTCTTAATGATTTAAAATTAAATATCGGTGTCATTTCTAAGAATATTCACTGAAACCAGGTTAAAACATCAGACCATTGGTTTGAAATTGTCAACTGATTCTAACAAAAAGTTGTACCGACTTATAAGCGGGTCAATGGCAAATCCCTCTAAAATAACCTCAAAAAGTACATCCGACTTATAGGCGGACCGACTTATAGGCGAGTATATACGGTAGACCTTAAAAACCAAGGTCCCGTGTCACAGTAGGTGTTGGCATGATAAAGAACCCTCACTGCTTAATGGCCCTGAGTGCCATGTAAAGGTCAAAATTTGAAGCTCTTCACTGGTTTATGGTGACGTCTCTGTATGAGTGAAAAATTCTCGAACGGGACGTAAAACAATATGCAATCAATCAATCATTTTGAGTAATAATCATAGGTGACAAAAATATTGGGAATTGTAACTAAAAAAATATTGATCAAAATAAATCAAATGTCGGTAATGTTTTGCGATATTCTGACACTGAGGTTATACAGTGTTATACAGAGATGATTATAAACCTGCTTTTCCTCTGTTTTAAAAACATTTAAGTGCATTTAATAATATATTCCAAATAATATTTCTGAACTTCCTATATAACAGTTATTTCATGTATGTTTCATGTAAAACGGTACTGGTCACTGCTCTTTAAATGAGCTCGGCTCTCTGTACTTCCGAGTTCTTTGATTTTTTTCTGTAATTGTCAATGAGTTTAGAGAGTTTATTTATAAATAATGTCTAATCTTTCCTTGTTTGAAGGGTTCCACTGACCCCAGCAGAAACTAGGAGGGCCAAGCCGGGAGAGATTCTCATGTCCTTAGATGGAAGTCCAGTTCAAAGCAATAGCCATACCAATGCATATAACTTCAGTGTCAAACAAAAACGAAATGTAAGTGTTTCTGGTCTTATTCTTTTACCTTTTAATAGGTTATTATTTCTTAAGAAATTACTCTTGAAACCTGTTACTTTTCCATAAATTAAACATATTCATTAATTTTATTGACTCAGTCAAGGATGATAATCAAATTTTGTTATTTGTCATTATTTGAAAGTAATTAATTTTTTTTTTCCAGACTGTTACGTTAGACATTCAAATGCCAGAGGTTACAGATAAAGAAGAAATTGATTCACTGCCACATGAGAAAAAATTAACAGCAATTATAAATGTTTTATCACAAGCATTGAAAGAGGGGAAAGGGGGCCAGTGAATTTCTGCAGATAGTGATTAAGTCGGTCAGCAGAGACATATAGCTGCTCTTCTTTTGTGACTGTGTAAATTGTCTATTAATGTTTTAATAATTATATATTCCGTGAGCTTGCATTTTTATACAGTTTTTTAAAAATGCCTTTTAGGAGGGTGCCATTGTTGATTTTTATTTTGTTGTCTGATTTTTCACTTCCAAGCTTTGGAAATATTAGAAGATAAATGCTGGAAATAAGACATAGGACTAGAATGCAATCTACATTTTTTTTAATGAGTTTTAAACCAAAATAGCAAATACAGTAAAACGCATTTAGTACGAACACAGATATAGCGAATTAATGGATGTAGCGAAATTTTTTGGAATCCCCGCCAAAATTCTTAACAATTCCTTGTAAATTTCTATGGATAAAACGAACTCGGATATAGCGAATTTACAGATATATGAACTGATTTTGTGTCCACTAGAGGTTAAAAATAACGAAATTTACATCTTTTATAGCGAAGTTTCAGAGATCTCAATTTTTAAAATATTGAATTGATACTATTTTGTAAGTACATGTAATTGAAATTTGAAATTCAATTCATCCAAAAATTTTGGAACTCCAAGGGAACTTTTGTATTTGATATATCCAAAAATACATTTGGTAATCATTCTTGAAGGAAAAATCTATATAGTGAATTTGCTTTATATACTGTAACAAATTCGTTTTACGGATATAACGAATTATGGATATAGTGAAGTAATTTCACAAGTCCCCAAGCCTTCGCTATATCTTCGCTATATCTTAATACAGTTTTACTGTATTACATTATAATTTGCATTAAAGAACTTATACATTTGTGGATTTCTTTCTCACTGGATTTTAAAAATTGATAAACAGAAATTGTAGCTGACGTACCTTTCATTGTTGTCAGGAATGGTTAAACATTGTTGATTTCATGAACAGAAATCAACAATCTGTACTTTTACAATAATTACAGTTGAAATTATATGTTTTGATATCTTGAATGTGTACATTTCTCTGCAAAATTGTATCCTTTAAAAAAATATATACACTTAGGTAAAATGCGCTATTTTACTTCACACATTGAAAATTATCAAATGTGAATTATATATGCATATAAGGAGGATTTTTGTTCACATCTTTCCCTTATTTTCTAACATGAGATTGCATTTTTTTGGCTAATAAAATTAGGTTTGAGCTATCAATATTACTTGGTTTGCAAATTTAAGAAATGTTGCTGTTTAAATAAATGAAATTGTATCCATGCAATTTTTTTTTTCTTTTTTCCAATTGTCATTTTCTGAAACATTCTGAACATAATCTATTGAGTGTGATATGCATAGGTATGAAAAATAGAAGAAATCTTAAAGTAAAATATTGGGTAGTTTAATATATGACAAATTGTAAATTGAAGAAAATAATTCAGTAATTATATTTAAAAAAAAAACATCTTGTTAATTGAAATAAAATTGCATGTCCCTACATGTGTAAACCTGCAGAACATAAAAGTTTATGCATGTATATTGAGACATTTTAAAAATGTAGAAAAATTGTTTCAAATTTTGGGAGGAAAAATGATAGAGGGTCAATTTTATTGTACATGCAGTGTTTTTATTGAGGCCAGAAATTGTGTTAACCATCACAGTATTCAGATGGGATGTTGATATGTAGCGATGCTAGACCAGACAGGTCTAGTCAATTTAAAATTGTTTCTATTATGTATACCTGTAGAAATGCACTACAACACATGTTCTTAAATGCTTAAAAAAAAAAAGAACCTCAGACACCAGTGAAGCAATAGTGTCTTGATTTTACAGATGTATTGTCTCTCTGGAAAGTCCATTTTTCTTTTATTTGCTTCTAATACAGTATGTGTACTTACTTTAGTATTGAGTGGATAAATAGGATAGGGACTCAACTGCACAATTATGACTTTGTGCTATCAGTATGTTTTGTGTCATATAAGCACTGAATTATTATTTTTTGAAAGGTGTAGCCTCATAACTGCAACAGTGTGTGCAAACAAATTGTGTAACGCGTTTTGAAAATTTTGTTTGTACACAAAGTTGCAGTTATGAGACTACATCTTTAAATAAATAATATTTCAATGCTTATATTTACATTTTTTTAACTCCCAGTCTTGTCTGCAAATGTGATTTATATTTCAAAATCCCTTTAGTATCCTTCGGGTAAGTTACAATTAATAGAAGAGCCATTGCAATAGCTACTACCATCATACTGTTCAGTATAAGCATGAATTTTTATTTTTGCCTAAAACAGTGCACTTGCATGGTGTTTCAACCTTTGTGACATCAAAATAAAAGTCATATTTTAATCTTTTGCATTTGTTTTGAATGCCGTAGCTTTCTATACATTTTATAAGCAAAATACATGTGGAATGTAAATATAAGTATATAATATAAAAATCAAATTTTATGTTATTCATAAATTAGCAGAAAAAGGATTGCAACAAAAATTGAAGCATTACATGTATCACATTAAAATAAGTTCATATACTATATTCTTTTAGTTTAATGACTGATTCAATTGTTCCGTTTAAAAACAAGTGTTATTTTCACAAAATGTTGTCTTAATTGAAGTGTATCATAGGAAATGTGATGAACTGTAAAACTAAAATTATTCATTAACAAATGTTTGGGTGATCTGTGTTGGTTGTAGTAGGGGGAAAGAAATAAATGAACTTAAATAATCCAAAAGTGTTGTTTTATTTGTGTATTTTCAATTTTTATTTATTTGTGTATGTGTGTTTTTATTTATTCAGTAATTTGTGATGGATTTTTTTTTTTGGATAAAATTCAAAAGTTTATTTTAATGTTAAAATTTGATTTGAGAAAAAAAATATCAATCTAAAGTTTAATCTTGAAGAATCTGATGAATTCATATTTAATATGTCTCCTCAAACATTTAGACTACCACATGTTTGACAAAGTTGGTCTCGTCCACCTTTTTATTTATGAATGTATTCACTATATAGATCAAAAGGTTTTAATTTAAGGATAAATAGCACAAAATCTAGGAGGTCTAGGTATGTTTTGTCTGATTTTGAATAGAAATTACTAATAAATTCCAAAAATATTAGGAAAAATCCGAAATTGTAAGTATTCTTTGGTGTTCAAATGAAATATGCAACTGTGCAATTTACTGTGTGGCTCTGTAAAGACTTTTGCACACATTTTCATATAATCTTATAAAAATTTCTACATTTACTCTAGATAACATTGCTGTATATGAATATAAATCTGACTAAGGTTTAAAAAAAATATATAAACGTAGAACACAAAGGTGCTCCGTATTGTGCGCACTCGAGTTACTGCCCTTAGCTTAAGATCTCGGTTTCCCGGAAGATTATTGTTCGTCAACATGGACGAAGCGTGAAAGGATAGACCTGACAATTATGGTGGATTAATCAACTTCCTCCTTGCTATGTAACTTTGATGAAGACTGTGTATAACTGCGGATAAGAAATATTGGTGTCGAAATAGATTTAATTATCATGTTGCCTGACTGACTTGAAAATCTGCAGAAAAAATAACAAAAGTGAAAGATGGCCTCGACGATGAATGAAGTCGAAATCTACCGCTGCCTCGAAAGAGGGCTAGTGGTCACCATCTTTTTCTCCAAAAAGAGACCAGAAAAGAAAACGCTGCAAGTAAAACTGGAAACTAGACAACTAGTTTGGATCCGAGCTATGGGGAGCAAACCCGATGGGACGCGTGAGTACAATTCATTGTTTCTGATTATGAATCGACCATGCTGTGTCACACCAATCCTTTTATTGTATAGGCCTATATAAGAAAAAAAAAATTAAATATGGAATTATTTTGAGTGAAAAAAAATAGATACAGAGCTTGCTGCTATTACTACATAGTAACAATTTGTCACATGCAGTTGTCACTGTGATTGCAAATTTTGAGTCATCACTTAAACATGTTAAAAATGTTAACCTTCTACCCCCCCCCCCCTTTCCAAGATTAACTGTGGAATTCTATGAAAATGAATAAAAACATACAGTTTTCAAGAAAAAGCTTGTATCTAATACATATGAAATATGAATATTGTGGCAGGTGGTATTTGCCCCCCAAATCACCTGCTCTTTTGACTAAGTCAAAGGTGAGAAACTATCAGCAAAATAGTCTGTTTAGATGTACACAAGTATATGATAGATAAGGCACTTAATTTTCAATTAAATAATCCTGTTGGCATAAACCATAGACATTAAGAAAACTTTTCAGCAGGATTGACAACTTTTGAAGAATATTTTATTTAGAACTATATATATATCAGAGTAAAAGATTTGAACTTTTTGGCAATTTAATGAGTTCCTGTAGTATCATATAATTAAAATAACCATCCTGCATGCACCTATTTAAGTTCTTTTGTGATGTCTCATTCTCCAAATAAGCTGAGGGCCTCTTTATTGATAAAACAAAACACTGACAATACCAGTTATTGATGCTTGCCATTATAATATAGGCTTAGAGAAATAGTTTATACCATACTAGTAGTGTATAAAATTCCAGTCAGTCTGCAAGCACAAAACTAACAAGGCCAATAAATTTTGAAGGAATTTTATTTTAGGGGCCTATATATATATATATATATATATATATATATTGTTAATCTTTAAAAAATGGACTGGAGGGAGATTTGTATATGGAAGGAGGGAGTAGTGTATATTGGAGGAGGGATCAGTGTATATGGGAGGAGGGAGTAGTGTATGTGGAAGGAGGAAGTAGTGTATATGGGAGGAGGGAGCAGTGTATATGGGTGGAGGGATCAGCTTATATTGTATGACAGAGCCGTGTATATAGGAGGAGGGAATATTGTGAATTGGAGGAATTGAAAGTGTATATGGGAGGGGGAGCAGTTTATGTGGGTGGAGGGAAAAGAGTGAATTGGAGGAGGGAGTAGTGTATATGGGAGGGATCAGTGTATATGGGAGGAGGGAATAGTGTATATGGGAGGGAACAGTGTATATGGGAGAAGGTAGTAGTGTATATTGCAGGGAAGAGTATATATGGGAGGAGGGAACTGTGTGAATTGGAGGAGGGAGTAGTGTATATGGGAGGAAATAATAGAGTATATGGGAGGGGTATAGAAGGAGGGGACATGTAGGGTCCATGGAGGTGTCTGTCAGTCCTTCCATCTTTCTAACAAATTTTTTGTGTTAAGGTTTTTCCTCTTAAAATAAAAAGATTTATAGAAACCTTTGCAGTTTGATAATTGTAATGTTGACCTTGCATTCTAGATTCTGCATTTAGCATATTTCCTTGAACATAGTGAAAGTACAGTGATAAGTTAGATAACCCTGTACACAAATGTGCATCCTGAGTATTTAATCTTGACATTACATCTTGAATTCTTGATGTTTTCTTTTGTGCACTAAAATATGTATATGTTCATATCCATCTTGTGTAAATACTTGCGTAAAAACTTGTTGTCTTTGAAAATTTCACAAACGAACATTTAAGTTTTAGTCTTGTAATGCAGTATTATTACTAAAGATAGCAAAGTTTGTATTGCAGAATTGATAAAATGATTAGCATTTTATATTTTGCTTGATGATATTTTTTTTCTTTTGGTGTATATATTTTACACCTAGACATTTTTTGATTGAAAGGGCCCTGATTTTATATCCAAGCAATTGAGTTTGTTGTTTTATGCTGGCATGCAACATGTGGATTCATGTTTACATAAGTAAAGTCACATCTCTGCATAGTTCAATTTCCCAGTACTGGATTTTAGCATTCTCAAGCTTTCCTATTTACTCAAAATTTAAAGTTACTTGTGAGAAACCATGGTAAAATGGGGCTGCATTACAGTTTATTTTAAAAATTGTTATTTCCTCAGGCTTCTTTCTTTATACAATTTCAAATAACTTGTCACAATGTGTGCAGAGCTGAATCAAATTTCAGTACTTTGTAATGATAAAGATGCTTGAATGCTCAAATATAGTGGCTATGGTAGGCATTTATACCTAAAACAGAAATTGAGCAAACCCAACGATCATAGTTATATTTAAGTAAAAAATTTACACGCCTGTAAGACTATAAAAAATTTGTAAAAGATGGCACTCTGGTGAGATGATCCTATGGGACATTTTCAGATTGTTTGATTTTGGAACCATTTTAGCACAATATACAGATTTTACATCAAATATGTTCCATGATTTAATGGCCTGAATATACTTAATGAAGTGCGCTTTTCATTGACTATCCTTATTCCCTCAAGTCTTATAAAATTTGCCAAAATTATTGCCTTAAAATTTGTGAAATTCCACTTCAAAGAATTTAAAAAGTATCAATGAAATTTGATCCATATCTCACTTTGTGTAGCCATTCAACCCACCAGGGCCAAAGGCTTTTCTGATTGAAGAGTGCCTGGCTTCTCTCTGTATGTCTCTTTGTCTTGTACTCTCTGTTAATCTTTTTAACTTTTCACATTTTCAACTTCTCTAGAACCTTTGGGCCAAATTTAACCAAACTTGCCTTAAAGCGTCCTTGTTTGAATAAGGTAATAATTCAAGTTTTCAAAGAAAGACCACCCCCTTTTTCAAGTTAAGAAAAGTGAAAATTTGGTGGGTTCATTTAAAAAATATTCTCAAGAACCACTGACCTAGAGACAAGTATCCTCAGGATGTGCAGATTCAATTTTTTTTCAAATCATTTTCCCCAGGAGGGGGTGGGGCTGCACTAGTTGATTGAAATTTAAAAGGGGATATAGAGGAAAAATGTTTTAACACAAAAATTTTCTCAAGAACAGCAAGGTCATGATGAGTGATATAAATGTGCAAACATCCTCAAGTAGTGAAGATTCAAATTTGTTCAAATTATGACCTTCAGGGGTAGGGTGGGGCCACATTAGGGGATCAAAGTTTTACATCGGTAAGTGTTTAAAAATCATGTTCTCAAGAACAGCGGGATTCTAAGGATCTAATTTTAAAATTGACATTATTATGCCTCATTAATGCTTTACTGTCATTTTTATACCCCCCACTTGAAAAGCAGTGGGATATATAGTGATGTGGGTGTCTGTCCATCCGTCTGTCTGTATCTCCGTCTGTCCATTACGCTTTGGGGTACCCATCTCTTATTAGCAACTCCTCTTATACCACTGTATGAAATTTATTAGTCTTTCACAGAATCTTTGTTAAATAGTGCCATTGTGACCTCCTATTTTACTTTTTGATCAGACACATATTTCGGGTTTCCCATAGCAAAACATGGACACTGCCATTCTTTCTATAATATTAAGAGGTACCCATCTCTTATCTGCAATTCCTCCTATACCAGTGAGTAAAATTTAATGATACTTTCAGAGATTCTTAAAATTCATAGTGTCATTGTGCACTTTTTGTTCTGACACTTATTTTGGGTCTCCCATAGCAAAACATGGACTTTGCTATTATAATCATATGGGAGGCATGGTTTCATTTTCTGAGCTCAGTGCTCACAGTACCTCTAGTTTTTATTGACATTTTTGACATTGGCAAGTGTAAATATTTATAAATAATGTTTATATTGTTTTACATGAATTTAATTTAACTACTCCTTCCCACCTCCAATCGACAACATGCCTAAATACTAGATAATATTAAAACTCACTAGGAAAAATCTAAGCATTGTTGTGTAAGCTCCCGCTCATTGTTAAAAGTGATTGGTTGCTTTCATGTTATTAATGAAACACAAAGTAAAACAAGCTGCATGTGGATGCCACCCTCATATTTTGTGAAACAGAATGAACTCAAACATCACTTTCAATGTTACTTGGTACATATTATGACATTTTCATTTTGATATCTAAGTGCAGCTATTAATGCTTGTCAGAATAAATAAACTTTGATGTTGATTATGAATATTTACATTTCAGTGAACCTACGAGAAGTCCGTGAAGTAAGGGATGGTAGAAACAGTAAAGACTTTGACCGGTGGCCAGAGGAAGCCCGGAGACATGACCCATCTCTCTGTTTTGTTATTTTCTATGGAAATGACTTCAAACTCAAGACATTATCTGTTGTTGGTAAGTTTTATCTTCTGGAAGGACACAGAACTGTTCATACTTTTATCAGCTAGTTTTCAGCATAGAGGGGAATCACTCTCTTCTTAGAACAGTTACTTTTGGGCGTAAGCATGATATAAAGGGGAAGTACTGTCACTGTACTTGGTCATAATTCTGCAGAATCACAATTTCTGTTCAGTCCATGAGTAGAAAATTTCTTGAATTGGCATTATATATCCTTAATGAATTAAAGTAGTACTCTGTGGAAAATTTACGCAGAAAAATACTGACCACATACATGTCATAAATAAATCCCACACGTATAAATGTACCGGTATGTCTACAGTATGTGACTGTACAAGTTTCTACCGTAGTGATGGTTTTTGGACGTTTTTATCATACCTTATCATTCTTGCAAATAATGGAATTGGTGCATCCACAGCATTAAGTTTGGAAGGGTGTGAATTTTTTCACAATTGAGATACTTGGGGTTAACACACAAGAAGCGACCAACTGAAAAATAGTTACATGCTTAACAGAGTGGCTAACTAACCAGATATAAACATATCATGGTCAACGGGTAAATCAATATTGTTCTTGGGACTGCGATATATATATATATATATATATATATATATATATATATATATATATATATATATATATATATATACATATATATGTCAAGATTAGAAAATTGTCGAAATTACCTAGGTGTGGACATGTTCAAAATTTCATAAATCATTGATACAGTAAAGACCGCTTAACCTCTGATAGACTTCAATATATATCTGGTTAGCAGCTAAATACCTGTAGACAAGACACTAAAAAGTTCATCTGCTCTAAGATTTATAATGCTAGTAGTATTAAGGTTTGAGAGTTTGTATGTAGCAATTACATGTATAAATAAACCTTATATTAAATTAAATTTTGTTGTTTTTGTAGAGCAAGACCATGAGATTAGATGTCAACAAAATACAAATTTTATTATTAATGATAGAATAGGGTAAAGTTCTAGTCGTCCAGGGTCCAAGAATTTAAATATCAGCAAATTTTATTTTTTCTAAACAAAGAAATTTGATCCCTAGGAAAATTAATGAAACCGCAGTATATGAAGCCCAACAACATGAAAAAATGCATTTTAGTACAGTTTTGTTGGACTTGTGTATGAAATATGAGTGTTTATACATTACAATATAGATTATATAAATTAGAAAGATTTTGTATTTTCCAAACATATGATACGTTTCAATACATAAATCTTTCCTTTTAGAAGATCAGTTTGCTTATACAATGCCAGTTAAGGTTTCTTAGTTGTTATTGATGTCATACATGTAACAGTGTTTCAAATTACACTGTGAAATGGAACACTATTTTCCACATATACCATACCTTTATGAGCTGCTGCAGTTAAACTTTAAACCCCACTCAGTACCCCTATTAGCTCACCTGAGCTATAAGCTCAAGTTAGCTTTTCTTATCATTCATTTTCTGGCATCTGTAAGTGTTTGTCTGTGGGTCTGTTGACTCAACCCCCTGTTAGGGGAGGAACCCCAGATCCTTTTCTACTTTTTAATGTCCCCTCCTATTTCAATTCTTAGGGACAACCCTGGATTGTAAATTTTCCAAATCATGACACTGGAGGAAGGGCAGGGCAACAGTAGGGGAACCAAGTTTTACATTTAAGTTGGAGTATATCAGAAAAATTTTCAAAAATCCTCTCAAGAACCACTATAGAACCATTAATTTGCAATCATGTCCAATTTCTGTGGATAATTTTTTTTTAAATTATAGGCCCTGGATTAGTGTTAGCTTAAATTTGGATCAAATCTTACATAACACATGAATACAGGAACAGAATTTTTCTCTTCATAACTGCAAGGCCATGTTATATTGATAATGAAACAACCCATTGTTGTGTTTATTCAGAGACCCCTTAAAGTTAGGATGGGCTATAATTTGGGTCATATAGTTTCATGGGAATATAAAGGAGGAAAATCTTTTTAGAATCTTCAGAATAGTAGGGTTAAAGTTACTCAGGTGAGCATTATGGCCCACAGGCCTCTTGTTAAATTCTTCACTAGAACCACAGGGAAAAATTTAATAATGGCACAAAGCATCTTTGGGTAACGGGGGGCTGAAATTTTTCAATTGAAGGGCCAATATGCCCTTCTTCCAAGGGGAGAAAATCAATATAAGGCAAGGAGAGGATAATTTAAAAATCTCAAGAACCACAGGAACAGAAAAGGTGAAATTTATGTGAGATTTAAATGATGCAGTGTAGATTTTAAAGTCGGTAGGGTTAGGGTTGAGCCATGATTTTACACTGGAATCAAACATAAAAAATTCTTTCCAGGAAAAGCACCAAGTTGCGTGATTTTTTTTAATTTTTGAACTCAGGGATTTTAGTCTTAAAAATCTTCTTCCCTAGAGCATATCAATATTGATGCATTCCCATGTTGTACGGATTCAAATATGTCATAACCCCTTGGTCATGATGGGGCTATCGAGATTGGGCCATGATATTGGATGAAAATCTTTTCTTATGAATAGAAGATTTTATTAGTCCAATATGGGCCCCCAGAGGAGCAAAAAAGATTTACAAACAAATAAATAAAAGAGGGTGAAACCTGATTTAAAAATCTAATTCTTACTCTTGAGCACTGTGGCTCATTCCAGGCCTTTTCTTTCACTGTCTTGTTCAACTTTCAGGTTAGACAAATTTTTCAGGCTTTGACTTCAGTAAAGCCACTGGATGAGCGGATACCTATAAACCTTGTTGATGTGAATAATTACAAAGGAAATTGACAAAGGCCTCCTATGTGTTTTGGGATATGGCTGACATTTACTGTACACTGATTAGCGGGGGAGGGATAGGGAAAAGGGATTGGGTTCATTGTTTTTCTGTAACATAATAGTAGGCAAATATTTACATACATGCAGTGTGGCTTGTGTGCAGTATTTCTTGGAAATTACATGTACTAGAAATGCCATTTTTAAAGGAATTTCAGTTTGCATGCTTGATGAATTGTAATAATTGTCACTTTTTAAAAATTCTGTTAAGTTTAATTTATTTGAATGTCTGATGGTTAATTTTATTAGCAGTACTTGTGGGTCAAAAGCCACATAGAATTACATTGTATAATTGGTCCATTTTCTGAAAAACAGACTACATGTATATTTTTGAACAAGGACATGTTTAGAAGTTACAAAGTCACATGTTGAATGAAAGCGATCGTGAGAGATATGCATAGCTACCACCAATTTCCAGGAATATAGCTAGGTTATAAAGTTTCCAATTGCAAAAAGAGGCTTTGTTTAATTCCTCAGAATCAAAAGAATTAGGAAAACAGGGAATGCAGAGTCCTCAGGGAGTATAATCTAGTGTCATTAGAAGTGATGATGTTTTTTTTCTCTGTTGTGAAGGGAAAAAATTATATGACCTACATTTTTTGCCAATGAAGAGGAAGAAATTTAGCATATTTTTTCTAATATCCAGAATGCTTAATGAGGTTACAAATGAAAAGTTGTTTGGTAAGACAAACATTTGACGCATCCCCCTCCCACCCCCACTCCAATAGAGTAAATAAATAAGTAAATAAATAAATAAAAGGCATGCATTCAGAGCAATCTTTTTTGTCCTTGATCTTCTATTTGCCCCATAATATATCTTTCTTGACACACAGATAAACGTGGACATTGAAATTGGATATCATAATAGACGCTGTGCATGTATTGACAATGTTATCATAAATTAGATAAACAAATATTTATCAATTTTATACAGGGGAATCTTTAGGCACCATAAGTGCATGAGTAAATAATGTTCACATTCTTAAAATGTTAAATGTATACAAGTTTAAGTCTTTATTAAAATCTGCAAGACATTTCACTTTGAAAGAAATCTGTAAATTATCTTATGAAAATGCCAGGGAAAAAAACACACAAAAAAACATACACCGCCAGTGAAAAAAGCTAGGTGACCCTCATTAAAATGCATTGCATAGTTATTTGGTATTTGTAAAATACCTGTAGTTTGTGACTGTATATTTTAACACTGAAATTTATATATTTAATGTTTAAATATTTAGAATACCAGGAGGCAGCCATGAAAAATAACAGGACTAGTTTAATGGATGTCCTCTGCTGCTTTGTGTGAGATAGGCCTACATAATAGAAACACAATATGAAAACCGTAGCTAGAAACAAAAAAAAATCTTTAGGTATAAAAGACAACCAGATATATTTATTTAATTTAAAATACTGATTACAGAATATATTAAGAATATAAAAGCATTTGTAGACAATATATTAATTAAAAACACTGAAAAGTGTAGTTCTTATCCAGCACTTTATAGAGCCAATCAATATGTCACAGGACACTAATGCCAAAATTATATGATGTTAAAGAAAAATAAACTCATGGATATAAAATACCATTATTCTATGCAAAATGTGTACTATAGTTTTCTAATTGTCATATATTTGTCATGAATATGTGTAAATATGTGTAAAACCAATAGGCAAATAAAATAATTCTGAGTTTGTACTTCTGAACAATATTTATGGGCTGGAAGGCATATTGCAAATGTTAGAACCAAGCAGCTTGGGAATGCATTGGTTAATGCAAAGATATTGATAACAAGATATTGGGAAAATTATTGATCTCTTGTGGATTTCAGAGTTGACAGTATGGATTGTTCAGCCAGATAAAAGGCTGCACCTCGTGACCTAGAAAGAAAATCGAGGAAGCATTGGCAAATTCTAGTGTTCGCAACTCGGGACAGAGAGTGTGTGGGTCCCACTGGGCGACGCTACATTTTTTCTTGCTTTTTCTTATGGTGCTTTAATTAAAGCTGATAGGTGATGATTTTACAGCTGCTTCATCAAATGATTGGTTGATTAGGACTAGAGAAAATAAGATCAAAGCTAGGCTTCAAATTTTTTCCCCCACCATTTTGTAACGAGGAAATTGGGAATGCAATTAAGTTCTGTCAAGTTTGTTAAGATGATGCAACCTTCAAACAAGGCCCATTTCCTTCAACTTTAATTTAGCTTGTTTTGTGAAATAAACTGAGCGTTTAGGTCTTTCCTGAAACATTATAGATGGGGTCATTAAAGGAGGACACCCACCCTGATTTAGAAGTACAGGCAAAATTGTGTATTAAAAAAAGTTTATTCATCGGAAGTCTTCATGCTGTCATAAATACCATTGTTTTTTATACTTAACACTTAATTAGTATGATTTCGTCACTGATAAGAATTGTAAAGCTAGAAATTCAGTAAACTTTACAGAATAATTCACCTTCTGTATTTTCTGCCTCTTATTTACAATACTTATAACAATATAATCATAAGACAAAATTTGTGTGTTAGTGCAACAGCATATTTTATGGAAAGGCTTATGAATTATAATGACCTACACACTGCAGCCTTTAATGATGATTATGAATATACAGTATACAGTAACTCGGTTATAAGGGAGTCACTGGGACCTCAGATTTTGCTTCCTTATAGCTGAGATTTCTTAGGTCTTTTAAGCAACATAATGCAAAGTCCCCCAATGGATTCATAAAAATATCCTTTTAACAAAGATTTCCTTTAATTAAGGTTCTTTATAACTGATTTTTACTGTACTGAGGTGAACTTTGCTTTCTGTAAATGTATGTTATAGATATAAGTATAGGTCATTGTTAATTATGTCAGGTCCGATTTGTATTTCAAGAAGCTTCCAGTTAAGTAATATTTTAGTTGATTATATTGTCAACTGAAGACTCTGTATGTCTATGGAAATGCAAGTAGTTTATAAATGATCTCCGTCATAACTGCATTTCAAGTGATATTAAGTGAAGGAACTAGGGTATAAAATAATGATTCCCCCGGGTACAATGTCTCGAGTGACACCTCAAATAAGATTGAAAACTATAACTGTAACAGTGGGAGTCAGCTGTGCTAGTGAAGAGGAAAACTTTTTACAGGCCTATCAGTGGAATACAAATAGAAAATTATAATCTACACACTAAGGAAAGAAAAACAAGGATGTTGTAAATATAGGTTCCATAACTGGTGCAAGTTAGTAACTGGTTTTTCTCAAACTCTTGTTCCTTAATTTTTTTTAATTTTCAAGAGACATATATGAGGCTTGCCGAGTGTCTCTTGAAAAAAAAAAAAAAAAAGGAATGAGAGGTTGAGAAAACTGGTTACTATTTAGCACTAGTTATTGGACTTATTTCTTCCATTATACAAACATGGACTTGTGTATTTTGGTAAAATAAACTTGGTGCTGAGAAAGTTGCCTATCCAGTTAACTAGTATGTACATCCCTCATAATATACCATGGTGATCAGTCAATATGAAATATAGAAGGGAAAAGTTCAAAGAATAAAAATGTAATGGTAGATGTTTACAAATATACACTGTACCTGCATTTTATGCCATTATAGGCATGAACTTGGAAAAAAGATCCTTAAAAAGCAACCAATTAGAGTCATCATAGGTATAAGCAGTATAAGCAGCCAATCAGAATGGTCTTTGGTGTGTCTTTTAAAACATGTTATGAACATGAAAAAAGAACAAGTGTGCGGTGATAAAACACAGTTGATCATGGGAGATTTTTTATTTAATGAGCATTTTGAACCAACTCTTTCAGCAGCAGAAGTTTGTTGGTGAAAATTTTGTCAATATGCAGCCTTCATTTTCAATCCTAGACTATATGATAAACAGCTTTGGACTTTCTTAATGCATGTTTGTTATAATAGTTTTATATTAATAAAAAAATGTTAATATTGACACATTTTGATCAATATGAAGCCATATTATTAAAACAGGTAAAAATGCATTTAATCAACAAAAAATCATGAGTACTTACTTAGCAAATTATTTAACTCTGTCAGGCTCATTTTTCAACCAAAATTAAATAATTTTTTGAAACCTTTTTTGTCTGATAGTAGTGTGTAAGGCATGTGGGCATATAAATTCCTGGGGGTAATAATCCCCCATCTAAAAAAATCCACCTTTTGGTAAATATACAAATGATTCCCCATTGATTTATTTTACAGCCACTAATGCTGATGAGTTTCAGACCTGGAAGGTAGGACTACAGAGGTTGGAAAGATCAGCCAAAGAAGCCACATACCAGCTACAGCTAGAGAGGTTCACTATTTCATGTTTTTGAGTCTAATATAAACTTTTTTATAATTATTTCAGAAAATATTTCCGAATAATTTAAACGATTTTTATAATTAAGATGGTGAGGTTAAAAGTGAAATTTTATGATTATTTTTTTTTTCAAGTTTTTTTATAGAATATTTTTCCCTTTCAGATGGCTGCGTCGAGAATTTTACCTCATGGAAAAACTAGGTTCCGATTCGTAAGTTTGCTTTACCAGATGGATGAGACGTGTATGTTAGGGATTTTGCTTTATTTGAAGTGTTTGTGGAAAGATTAGACATGTTCTGAACTGCATTTGAAATCCTCATATCAAGTAACATATAGCAAGCTTCTGTAGAAGTCACGAGGTGCACAATTGTTAAAGTGGGGGCTCTTGAAACTATGTGGCATTGTTCACACTAAACAGTGATAAATATGTGTCTCATATATAAGCTGTCTGCTATGTTAAAGGGAGAGAACTGTACCGGTAAATAAAAAAAAAGCTGATTTGATAAAGTGCAACATTGGAGAAATATGAACATTGTGTTCAAGCTAAATTTACTCTGATGTAGAGAATTTCAGTTTTAGAAAACTTAGATATTAAATACATTATTGATAATTTTATTTCCTTGTGTGTTGCAAAAAAAAAAAAAGAATTAATATTATGTAATAATGAGACTTCATATCAATTTACATATCTGTTGATGATAGGAATGTGAATGTTTTTTTAAAGATAAATTTTTACTGCATATAATTGTTGTGACGGTGCAGGGTGATGATTAACAGAGATTGTGATATCAGAGTACACTGATAGCTGTTATTTTTCAGCTATCAGCTAAAGTCATATAAATACAGAATATCAGCTAAAGTCATATAAATACAGAATATCAGCTAAAGTCTTATAAATACAGAATATCAGCTAAAGTCATATAAATACAGAATATCAGCTAAAGTCATATAAATACAGAATATCAAATACTAAAATCCATGTCATATCAGCCCAAGAAGCCCCATATCAGCCTGAGGGCTGAATTTTAAAACTTATCAAGTCAACAAATTTTATTATAAATTGTATAAGATGTATTTTCAATATAATGAAGTTAATGAAGCGTAAATATAATTTTGAGGTTGATATGCATTTTTGCATGTGTGTCTGATACATGATATGGGTTCTCGGACTGGTCTTTGATATATGGTATTTTGATGTCACCCGTATCGCAAAGTGTGAAATCTGTGTATTTATTACTGTATATATGATAAATATCAAAAATATTTATGTCTACATCAGACATATATTATCATAAAGTTGTTGTGTCTTGGAAATAGTGCAATTGTTTTATAAACAAATTTTCTCTCTCCCTCTTTTAATAAGGAAATACTTGTCATTAATACTGCTTTAATTAGAACAAGCAGTATTAATCTTATATTTATGTGAATTCACTGATTGGTGCATTTATACTTTTAGGGTTACATTGAAAAATATGAAGGCTTGGATGCCAAGAATAAACTTCAAAATATCAACCAATAAGTTACGAGATAAGTTCCAGGTAGGTAAAAATGTACAGTAAGCATGGCTTACTAGTATATAGCCTGGACATTCTGAAAATAATTGTGTTTATGTAGAAACTCAAAATTTTGTTCTCCTAGCAGAGGCTAAAATAATCAGGTGTTTCCTAGTCACTCTTCTATACAATATCTCCTCACAAATGTAGAACAAGATAATAGTACAATGTATATATTTCAAAGTAGGTGTGTAACAAAACATCAGTTTATTATGATGCAGAGGGGGTCAATATGATACATTGAAACATAAAATGAAGTATCAATTTCTTTTCCAGTACTTTCTGGAAGTACATGTACTTCATCTTGCTCCTTGCATATGAACAGCAGAATGAAATTATTTCCACCACTTGAATTAACCTGGCCTTGACCTCATAATTAGATAAATTTTAAATGAATAATTGATTTTTGTTTCCTTATGAATATTAATCAAGAAGCAGATGTATGATCTTTTGAGAAATGATTTGAGTGTTGATCACTGTACATACACTGTAGACTAGTGATGAAACTTTGGCTTCTTTGATCTTTGTAGGAGGTGTCGCGGAAGGATGATATTCAGTATGAAGAATTTGCAGCTTTATTTCACAAACTCATACATGTTCCTGAGGTAAGATCTATCTACAGCTGATTATGATAGTCCATATTGTTAATGTTAAATATATTTGTTATGTCTTCTCTTTGAACTGATGCAAAAAATAGAAAAGTAAAATGCATTTAATCGTAAGGAATGCTATTTCATATTTGAACTCATTTTGCAAGTTCATCTAATTATCTATCGGACTATCATTAATATTCATGTCTCTAAAAGATATGATTTGATCAAAGATGAGAATCTTCACATGTCACAAGGTAATCATGTGTAGACTTTACAAACAGAGTATTTGGCTGGACCTTTTTTTATTTCACATTTTTATCTATACTTTATATGACTTTGTGCACTTAATATGTGAACAAACATTTTTCATAATTTTATTTTTATAAATAATTTAATAGAACTAAATTTTTTTTTTTTTGATTTTTTCAGATTATTACAAATTATGTTGATCACTACTGTGTAGAAGATCACAATGAAAGGTGATGTATAGAGAATACTGTAAAAGCAGAAATATTTGTTGGGGATTAAATTTTGTTTATTTCGTTGTTAACAATTATCAGTGAAATTAAGTCCCACACGAAATTTTTATATGACTATATATTGTACAGGGTTACTTTCGAAACAACGAAATTTAATGCCCCCACAACCTTTTTAGATGAGAAAACAAGGAAATCTTATCCCCATGAAAATTTGTGCTTCTACAGTATATTCAAACATAATTATTGTATTTTGTATGGTTTTCCTCAACTCCACCCTCTCCATCCCCTGATCAAATATTATCTAACTTTATGTTAGATGTTACTTTGTGTTGATAAATGAATATTAAATTTGTTGAGATTGGAATTGTTAGTTGTTGAATGAGTATTTCTGTCATAGTAAATTTCAAATACTTGAATTTCCTCTTTTAGGTGCATCCTACCAGATCGATTCCAAAGGTTCCTAATAGAAGAACAAAAGGTTTCATTTATTGCATCATTTCAACATCATTTCAACTATTTTCTATAAAATATTTAATATAAACAAAAGAAAAAAAATTAATACATTCCAGTATGTGTTGCTTATCGAACTAAATACCGTATGTGAAATCACATTTGCAGGATTCATGTCTAGAGATATGATATATTTTTTTTTTGATGTTTCCTATTTTGTAGGAAAACTTTGCAGAGAATGGCACTAACGTGAGAAACGTAATGGTTAAATTCCTGGAGGATCCCATGAGACACAAAGGGAATGTTTACTTCACAGATGTTGAGGTCAGAATGAATTAACTATGTAATCATTCACAGTCTATTGATTCAGAGATTGTAGTCTGTTAGGGTTCATTTATACGAGTGTTGTTTGAAAAGTTTGCTGCCAGTGTCAAACTGTGTTATATCGTTTGATACAGAGTCTCTACCACCAAGAATTGCCTGTGATATTTACACACAAATGCACGACTCACTTTTAACATATTTTCTGCTTCCTCCGGCACTTTTCAGAGTTTATTCTGTAGTTTTCCGGAGTGCAACACAAAATTGTATCGCTAGTTGCTGTTCCGTGATGTACTACAATGTCATCTCTTTTTTGTCTTTTTTAATGAGGAATACCCATCTTCTAAAATTGAATTTTTTCAAAGAGGCAAATTATTTAGTCACATTTGGGCATAAAAAAATGTCGCAATTCTTACTGTGAACGTATAGATTTTTTTTTTTGATTTTGCACCATTTTAATGACTACTGACATTATTAATAGACTGTTTCATGATAACTGCAGTACTGCTCTTTTGCAGGGCAAAATGATATGGTTTAGTGAAATATGACGTAAAAGTAATTGTTAAATATACGTCATTTAATTATCTGTCAACAAAAACTTCACCAAACATTATTATTTTGACCTGTAAAAGAGTAGTACTGCAGTTACCATGAAGGGGCTAATTGCATTTTTTGTAAATAACTAAATTTTGACCTGCTCCCCAATCCAATTTTTTGAATAAGTTTTAAATATCTCATGATATATTTGAAATTTTAAATTCAAACTATTTAAATTTATTGTTAAAACGTCTACCAAATTTGAGTATAATGTGATGTTAAGTAAAAAAGTTATGACAGAAGTCTGCGAAATTTCCATACAGCCTTTGTGTGTGTCCTTTTCCCTGTAAATACTGTATGTCATTTTAATTCCATGGGTTACAATTTCCTGATTTCCTGCAAGGGTACCGATCGGGATGGCTTTAAACATGTACATTGTGACAAATACTTGATTGTGTGATCTGATAACTTTATTCACTATGGATTTTATTTTGTGGAAAAATAAATTGTAAACATAGTTAAATTAGTTGATTTCCCAATCTACAGTATTTTCATTACATAGAGAATCTAGCTTGTACACAAATATCTCCAGAAGTAAGTAGGAACTTCTAGCTGACTCTTTTTATCTTCTATTCAAATGATTTAATGTTAAGTACAGTTACTGGAAAAGATTAAATCTCTCTTAGCTAAATTGTTAAAAAAATAATATTTTATTCAAGAGAAGGATTAAAATTTTTAAGTCACCTTGCATGCTTCTAGGTGAGACATTACAGTTTTCTCTTATGTAGAATCTACTTATCTAGGTGTTCAAATTATACAGTAAAACTTGTCTAAACTGAACACCACTGGTTCCAAAGAATTTGGCTGGATTAGACAACATTCCGGATTACACAACATTATAAACTATTGAATTTACTGTAAGGGACTTAAAGTTAACATTGTATTAGGCAAGATTTCAGAATATAAAAACATTTGGATAAGGCAAGTTTCACTGTAATTATTTCGTGAATGCTATTTCCCTTTATGGACATTGAATAGTATGAATTTTTGTCATTTCAGTTTGAGGATTATTTATTTTCTAAAGATAACCAGGTGTTTGACATGCAGTATGATAAGGTCTTTCAGGACATGACACACCCTTTGGCTCACTACTGGATAGCCTCTTCACATAACACGTAAGATACAGCCTACTTTATAACATACTTACTTAGGTCAGTCATTCCTTGAGGGACATAGGCCATCGACGACAGTCCTCCAACAAACAGGATTCAGAGCTGCTTTTGCTGCATCGTGCCAGGTCATTTCCTGTGCTTTTAATTTTGCCTCCTTGTCAAGCCTCCAGATGTTTCTTGGATGTCCCCTCTTTCTCTTGCCCTACAGGTTCCAGGTTGGGGCCTGGCATTTGGTGCTGGATTTAGGGTGTGTCCAATCCAGTCCCACTTCCTCTGTCTGATTTGCATATGTAATGGTTCCTGCCCTGCTCTCTACTTTAAGTTGGAGTAGAATAGTTCTGTCAACACAGGGTTCAACATTAACTTAAAAAAAATTAGACCAGAGATTAGTACCTGAAAATTTTACTGGACCACAACTTCACTAGAACATTACCTCTTTAAATCTTTTCTCTATCATATACTGCAGTAAATTCTCACAATTGGTAAGTATTGTATTACAATGAAACAAGGTTTTTGAAACAAACTTCATACCTTTTTAAAAATAATTTTTTGGCGTTACAAAACATAAAGTTGATAATTTTCATCGGATTGGAATGTGAAAAATTTTGGTAATGAAAGTGAAACCCATAAAACAGAAAAATGTGGTTGAATCAAATCCTAAATACTTCTGTTTTATCATAAAATAATTCATGGATTTTTTAACATGACCAGTGAGGCTACCTTGACACTATATAAAGTAGACCATACCAAACTTTTACTAGTCTTGGTCTGTTGGACGTGCCTTAATGTTGAGCCCTGCAAAAACACATATTGAACACAGAATCATTTTCTTTTAAGCATTTAACTGAAGAAGTCAAATAACATGCATACTATTTAAGACCATTCTCTTAAAAGAAATAATTCCAAGTACATATACATGTATTTTATATGATGTGAACTTTTAATTCAGATATCTAACGGGGGACCAGATTTCCAGTGAGTCCTCGGTAGAAGCTTATGTTCGAGTTCTTAGAATGGGTTGTAGATGTATTGAATGTGAGTACACTTACTTGTCATAAAAAAACTCATATTTTGATAGCAAAAATGTCTCCTCTGAACTGTAAAATAATGTGCAAAATTCCAGTGCAGTGCACAGTGTGGTAGATAGGGGGATTGTGGACACATATTCTGTAGAGATACCGCTGATTTTTTTTGTTTTATATAGTGGACTGCTGGGATGGACCAGATGGATATCCAAGTATTTACCACGGACACACTCTTACCTCCAAAATCAAATTTCTAGATGTTTTACGTGCCATTAAAGACCATGCTTGGGTGGCTTCAGAGTGAGTTAAAAAATTCTGCATATACATGTACTGTGAAGCTCATTTAGTACAAACATGGATATAGCAAAATTATGGATGTAGCGAAGATTTCTTTGGATCCCCTGTGAAATTCTTAAAATTCCTTGCAAAATTTTGCAGTTATAATGTCAGAACTCTGTTATAATAAATTTATGGATATAGCGAATAGATTGTGTGTCCCATAGAGGGTAAAAATAATGAAGTATACATCTTTTATACAGTATTTTAAAAATCTCAAAATTTAAAATATTGATTTGACATTATTTTATATTTAAAATTTAAATCATCAGAAAACTTAAGTTCTTCAATGTAAGTTTTGTATTTAATACTTCTCTGAACATATTCAGTAGTCATACTTAAAGGAATTAAAATATGTATGTTGTGAATTCTTTATATATTCTTTAAAGAATTCGTTATACGATTATAATGAATTACGAATTCACAGGTCCCCAGGACTTTGCTATAACCGAGTTATACTGCTCTGAATATTTTTCAGATTAATTCTCAATTATTATTACATACTGTTTGGAATGGTAATATGTGATTATTTCAGCAGTGCATTGGGAGAATTACACAATCTAATGGTGCATTTCTCATGTTTTAGCTATCCTCTGATTTTGTCATTAGAAAACCACTGTGGCTTAGGACAACAAAGAAACATGGCCATGGCTTTCAGGGATACATTTGGAAGTAAGTATTTTAGACCACTTTCTACTGTAACAGAATGTATTGGAATATGATTTAGTATTTAGGAAAACTTCAGGATAATGAAATTACTTAAGATTATTCTGTGTAAAAAAAAGCAAGTACAGTGTATACCAGTCCTTTTAAAGGCAGACTTGCATGTAACATGTATTTCAACCTTTAGTACTAACTGCCTGCTTTTTAAATTTCTTCCTTTTTTTAGGTGAACTTTTGGTGGAACCTGTAGATAGTGACTTTAAAAAATTACCTTCACCAGAACAGCTAAAAAGGAAGGTCATTCTCAAGGTAAACTCTTTTGGTGCCATATTTACACAACTATGTTGGAAGGAGCCAAAATCAGTAGAATAAAGTGACATTTATATGCAATTCTTCATGAAGTTTTTGAATGTAGAATGTTATTTTCAGCATAAAAAGTTGCCCAGTGAAGGCAGAAATGCTGAGTTGGTGGAAGTGAGGGTGGATGATGGTAAAATTTCTTATTTCATGAATTACACATAGTTAAGATGGATAATGGTATTATCTTTTGGTGTATATGTAAAGGCAGATGATGGAAGGATTTATTTTTGGTGTATTTGCTAGGGTAATACATATGTAGTGGTTAGGAACTTTTCATAAAGTCTCGTCCTTGAGTTTACAATTGATTTTTGAACTTCATCTTAGATATTATAGTGAGTTTGAGCACTCATTCAATAGTTTTTCTCTTCAATTGTAAAAGTTTTCTGAATTTTCCTTCTTATTTATTTTATTTTGCAGTTACCAGAGATGGTGATGTTTCAAATGCAGTGAAAACTGGTGTCATGTATTTAGAAGACCAAATTGAAACTGTAAGTCACATTATAGTGTATTATGTGAATTAAGAATTTCTAAAAAGTTATTTGTAAGGTATGAAAAAATTTCTACCTGAGATGCATGTAATACTAATAGTAATGAATTTGTTTTGTAGCAATGGCATCCCCACTTTTTTGTGCTGACCCCAAGTAAGATGTACTGGACCAAAGAGACCAATCAGGGAGATGAGGAGGAGGAAGCGGACGATACTACATCAACAATGGAGGTAATTAAAGGGAAGATAACTCTTGTAACAGTAAAGAGAACTCCTACATCGCCAATATTAAAACTCGCTCAAGAACATTTACATTAATTAATGTTTGTTGCCAAGAAATACTTTGACAGAACAATATGTAGAGGATTAAAGAAAGAGGTTTTTTCCCCTTAAACATCATTGTATTTAATAAATAGGCACACTTTTATGCTTAGACATGTTTCATCAATGGGCACACTTTTATACCAAGTTCAAGAAAATTGCTAGTAGTAAGATCCACTAGCAATCAAAATTTCATATACTGCTTTTAAAAAGTGAAAACATGATAAGGAGAATGAATAGTCTGAAAGAAATTCAGATCTTATTGTGGAAAGATTTTGTGATATTGTAACTAAATGGCATTTCTGTCTACTCATTAAGTCAGCACAAAAAGCTAGAGTAATATTAATAAAAGTTTATTCTTGTTGTGAATCGTGCTCTTAACCCAAACTTTGCTTAAATTATCTTATTTAGAAACCTTTTCAATGGTCTTAAATATATTTGTGGATCCTCTTTAATTTTCAGATTTTCAATTTTTTTCTGCAGGCCTCTTTCTTTTGTTCTGCCAAAGTGTCAGTTTATTTGCATAAGATTTGAAACAGATATTCAAAATATTGTTGAAGTTTTGTTTGATTGTTTCTGAACTGGAAAAATCAAACAGAAAAAAAAAATATTTTTGGTATCTGAAATTGGTGCTAGAGTGGGGCCCATTTTAATTAATAGACTTAAAACAGATCAGTTTTAATAGTTGTTTGTGAATCTTAACATTTCAGGCAGAGAATAAGAAGGTGAAATTGGGTGTGTTCAGGCTTAGTCCTATACAGAATTAAAAGTCAGGATTCCAGTTCATTTTCCAAGTTTTTATTAAGAAATATGACTTCTTTGGCAAAAAGATTTGAACAAAACAGTTAAAAATTAGATTATTATTAAAATTTTCTTTACCTTGCTGCTCTGTATGTATTTCAGTGGGTGAACTGGTAAATTGATTTTGCTGTGAATCTGTACCTAATGAGAAACTGTTTCAGTATAATTGGATGATTTGGGAAGAAAGGGGGGATGTTATTTTCCTAGTTATCTTCAAAGTTGTAAAATACTTTAGAGTAGATAGTAATGATTGAGGGCATATTAAAGAGGTACCAAAAAATCCCTCCAAAATACTGATACAGTCACAAAGTTTGACTGTGTAATAGGTAATTTTTGTGGTTTGAAAATTCTTGCAATTTTGTCTCTCAAGTGTAGCATTCAAATTCTCATTCTTTCAATTTTTATGATTCTATTCAGTGGGCTTTAGAGAAATTACAGGACTGAAATTTTGAAAAGTTTGGATACACTTCAAAATCCTGCAAAAATTAACAAACTGCAGAAAATACCTGTTACACAGTATTTCACTCTTTTTCCAACACTGTCCACTGGCAAATATGTCCCAAATTTGTCTTTATATTTGGCTTTGCTAAGGGAGCAGTTAAAGGTTTCACAGTCTTACACTCTTTCCATACCATTGTTTCACATGTCTGATTATCTGTTAAATTACCTTAATTACTCAGGTGACCTATTGCTATCTGTTTCTGTTCACATCACATTATGCATTTAATGTTCATAAATTTTGAACATTTTTAGCTCCTTCTACAAAATAATTTAACCAAATTTAAGATAAGTGGATCATTCATTGAATTGTTGAAATATTCATATTGCCTTTGAAAATCTATACTATAGGTAACAGTGAAATCTTTACCAAAACTGATATTCATGTCCCTGGGTTCAGGTTTCAGGCCAAAAGATGGGATTAAATTGGTTCAGTATTGGGAATTACATCATACCAATGAATTTTTTTCTTTAATGTTAATGATCAAGCAGACAAAATGAATGTACTTTTATGATGATAATGAACTATGATCCTTTTATCAAAATTGTGAAATCTTGCCTTCTGGGTTCAGGATTAAGCCCTAGATAGAGGGCTAAGACACTACCATACTACTCCTGAGCATCTGGCAGACAATCCATTATTGTGTAATACATGTAATGATTAAAGTGTTATGTACAAAAATTGTGAAATTTATGTCATGAGTCCAGAGGGTTCATTTCCAGATTGAGTTCAGGCCAGCAATGAAAAAAAATGACTAAATTAATGTACTTTGATGGACCTATCAAAATCACTCCTACCCAATTATTTTTTTCAGTACCAGTACTTTAAATTTTATAATAATTATTATTTGGTTTCCAGGGAAATATAGATTGTGCATATCATATGATTTCTCAAAGGCGCTTTTTAGATTGAAAGCTTTTATGCCAATAAATATTGAAGCTGTCCTGTTTACATTTTTATGAAAACATCAATAAATTTCAAATTCTATGATTTTAAGGGTAATTTTCAATGTGTTGAATAAATAAATTAAAAAAACTACCTACCTACCTACCCACCTTGAAAAGTGTGGGTTGGAGTACATTAAATTAAAAAAAAAAAATGATTGCCTAAGCTAGTTCTTTGAGAAGAAATTCATGGTAGTTGAGTAGGACAATGGTTCTCTCCGTTCATTGATTTTACATATAGAGATAGCAAAACTTTGCTGAGTTCAGTATTTTCCTAGCTTTTAACCACAGTAGTGCAGTCCCATGTAATCCAATGGGTTTCCAATCATGGAAAAACTTCGATGATGAATTGTCTTAACAGATATGAAATATATATATATATAATATGTAAATTGTTTTAAATTTCTTAGGTTTCTATACATTGTATCAAAGTGTAAGTTTTTGAATTAACCAGTCTCAACATAAGACTAGATTGCTTGTAGATTTTAACCTCTTAGATAATTAAAAACACTTGAGTTTATTCTCCTTATTTATTTCGTAAGTGATCATATTAATCTCCTATTACCTCCCCTTACAGCTAGGTGACAGGCCACAAGATGAACTACACTTTGGAGAGAAGTGGTTCCATGGAAAATTAGAGGGAGGCCGAAGAACAGCCATAGAACTACTGAATGAGTACAGTTACCTAGGAGACGGGACCTTCCTGGTCAGGGAGAGCGATACTTTCATTGGAGACTTCTCATTATCATTCTGGTAAAAAAACTCAAAAAAATTCAGTTTATCATGGAATTCAGTTGTTAGTAAACATAACATATTCATTTAATATTTTAATTTGGAAATGTCAGATCTACATCAGCTGCTGTGTTAAGGTTATCCAGCAGCATTCAAAAACCTAGAACCACACATAGTAGATTCGTAGCCAATCAAGAATCATAGCCAATCATTAAAATTGTTCATTTCAGGAGACGGAATGCAGTAGAGCACTGTCGGATTAAATCTAAACAAGAGATGGGCCAAGTTAAATACTACTTAATAGAGACAACTTTGTTTGACAGTCTGTATGACTTAATTACATATTACCGTCAAGTTCCCCTAAGGAGCCCCAGTTTTGTGATGAAATTGACAGAACCAGTACCGCAGCTGAAGAGTCATGAAGATAAAGAGTGGTATCATGACAACCTAAGTCGTGCTTCAGCCGAGAACATGCTGAAGAGGATTCCAAGTGATGGGGCTTTCCTAATCAGGAGGGGCCAAGCAGGGGACAGTTATGCCATCTCTTTCAGGTAATGCTTTTAACATTAGTCTCTTGTTTGGATAGAATGATGCTTTATGCTGTCCAATTCTAGCTAAGAGGAGAATTGACTCTTTTCTTTCTTTTTATTTGATTTTTTTTTCTATTTTAATATTACTCAGATTTGATATTTATAAAATAAATGAGTTATATTTTTGTAATGATCGATATTTTAGGGCTGATGGGAAAATTAAACATTGTCGCATTGAATTGGATGGGCGTTTGTTTGCAATTGGATCAGCTCAGTTTGAAAGTTTGATAGACTTGGTGAAATATTATGAGAAAAATCCACTTTACAATAAAGTGAAGTTAAAGATTCCTGTCAGCCAAACTCTTGTAGACACAAAAGGAGCTGTGAGTATTGAATTTATCAAAGATATTTTTTAAATGTAGAATATCCTTTAATCATGTGTTCTTAGATCACTCCAAGGGAGAGTACTTTATGATGGCAGAAAGACCCTCTGATTCCTTAAATGATTTTTTTTTTGTAATAAGTCAATTTATATTTAACAGAGAGTGGAGATAAAATTCAACCAAATTTATCATAAAGACAAAATTTGAGACAAATCATTACAGCATAGGGAAATTTGATAAAGGAAACATTGATTTGACATATAAGAGTTATCTCTCTTAGTGCAAAGGGTCATTCTTCCTTAAGAGGCTTTTTTTTTCAACTTGGACCCCGTAATCAATTTTGATATCGGAGTTTAAAGTTCTGAACAGAAATATTAATATGATTATTTTGAATACTTGCACATGTATTTGATTTAAAGTTAATTTACTGACCTGCATAACATGGCTAAGAAAATTTTTGTCTCCAAAGATGCCACGCCCAAATGATGAAAGTGCTTCTACAGCATATATAAATCCAAATGAGTTGTCTAAGGTAAAATTCTTAGAGTAAGTGCATGTGCACTAGAACTGGAATGAAAAAACAGGAGAGGTCACTCTATGGCATGAATCATTTCATCTTCATTCTAACATCATTATAGTGAAAACTGACTGATCAGTTATAAGAACTTCATTAAAAAAAATATCTGCTAATTGCATCAGAAATGCCTTAAGTATGCTCGTTTTTCATTGGTGAAAATTTTGAAAAGTCTTTGCCTGCAACTTTGCTGTCATATAACTCATTATGTATGCCCAAAATTATGTTTTTATCATGAAAGGATTTGTTGGTGATGCAGTGTTTTCATCATCTGTAATTTTCTCTCCATAATAACATGAGGGGTATGCCACACATTTAGTCCGATGTGGATGTGATGTGTCTCCTTGACAACACTTGACTAACACAGCTTGAGTGCATGCTGGTATCTTTTAGGTTTTTCAAAATGGGGACGAGCAGTTGTATGGTGATGGAATTTACCACATGCCAAACGATATTTTTCCTCAAACAAAGGTAAACAGGAGGTAGACATTATAGTTTAGTGTTTGTGATGTTGTGAGTACTAAATGTAGAAAATCATCTACGTATATTATATGTTATTTTAAAATATTAATTGTTTGGTGGAGGATTGAACATTTATTTTTATTTGAACTTTACGTAAACTAGAGGAATGCACATTCAACTAAAGAAGATCTACTTAAAATATGGACAAAGGCTTAACATTACATTGCAACATGAGTTTATTCACAGAACACAGCTTTTCAAACAATGAACTGATACGTCACTAGCAACATAATAAATACCAATCTCTGTCCTTGACCTTTGATCTTTTGGCCCTAGAATCAGTAAGCTTTTTCCCCTGTACACTATGCAATCAGACTGAAATGTTAATGTGGACCAAAGCTTTGTTTACACCTATCATTGTCTTAAATTATTCGATTCCTGGGACCAGTAGGCTTCTTTTTCTGGTCACCATGCATCTCAAATAAGTATGAGACCTGATAGTAACTTAGTTATCACCTGTCACAGTCTTTGAACTTGAGACCTGTAAATGTATAGGCTTGTTTCCTCCTGTCACAGTCATTGAACTTGAGACCTGAAATTGTATAGACTTGTTTCCATCTGTCACAGTCTTTGAACTTGAGACCTGTAAATGAATTGGCTTGTTTCCACCTATCACAGTCCTTGAACTTAAGACTTGTAAATGTATAGGCTTGTTTCCACCTGTCACAGTCTTTGAACTTGAGACCTGTAAATGTATAGGCTTGTTTCCACCTGTCACAGTCTTTGAACTTGAGACCTGTAAATGTATAGGCTTGTTTCCACCTGTCACAGTCTTTGAACTTGAGACCTGTAAATGTATAGGCTTGTTTCCACCTGTCACAGTCCTTGAACTTGAGACCTGTAAATGTATAGGCTTGTTTCCACCTGTCACAGTCTTTGAACTTGAGACCTGTAAATGTATTGGCTTGTTTCCACCTGTCACAGTCTTTGAACTTGAGACCTGTAAATGTATTGGCTTGTTTCCATCTGTCACAGTCTTTGAACTTGAGACCTGTAAATGTATAGGCTTGTTTCCACCTGTCACAGTCTTTGAACTTGAGACCTGTAAATGTATTGGCTTGTTTCCACCTGTCACAGTCTTTGAACTTAAGACTTGTAAATGTATAGGCTTGTTTCCACCTGTCACAGTCTTTGAACTTGAGACCTGTAAATATATAGGCTTGTTTCCCTTGTCACCTACCATTGAGCAGGTTTGAGATTGAAATAGAAAGACCACAATTCTGATTCAAACTGACAATAACTTTTACCTTGACATTTGACCTCTGTTGCTCATATTTTTTCTCAAATATGGTACTCTAAATATCAGAGCCATAGCATTAATAGGGAAACACCATAACTTTGAACTTTGACCTTCTGACCCTTAAACTTCTAGGCTTATACCCATTGACAATCACCACCTCTGCAGGAAGTTTGAGACTGTAAATTCACATACTGTAAATGTTTTTTATTTAGCAAGTATGATATTTGATGTAAATTGATTTTTCAACAAATTCCTGAATTTGCTAGATATAGATAAATATATATAAATACAAGTCATTTAGCAATTATGAGATCAAGCAGAAACTGCTATCCATCAAAGACTCAAAATAGAATACACAGTCAAATGTTATATTTACAGTATCCACACATCCTGGCCAAATAAGTACTCACAATATGTCTGACCTTCATCCTTTGACCTTTTGACCCCCAAATGAATCAGTTTGTTGCTTTGGTCACTTGCCAGGTTAGATATGAACACAACATTGGTAGGTGGATGACCTTGTCTTCGACCTTAACTTTTTTCCCTTTGATTCTTAATTCTGTAGGATTTTACATCCGATTAAATACAATCTCTGTAGCAAGTTTGAGACTTAAAGGTCAAATACCACTTAAAGTATCATGTCCACAACACAATTCTTAAGCTTACATACAAGTGAAACTTTTGTTATGAGGGGATAATAGTAAATCTTGAAAAGGTAAATAAGTATGTTTGCAATAAAATTATGGTTGGTTTAGTGCAAGATTTAAAAGCATCTGTATTCTTTCATGTGTACCTGGTACATTATCTAATCATTAAATACATTTTAACTAATATGTAAATATATATATATTAACAAACACAGTTTATTCTATCAGTACGTTAACTTTCCTCAACTCTAGTTTTAACTTTAACCTTTTTAATGAATGTATGAAGTTCTAAATGCTTTGCGTCAATAGATCTTGCATGTTTAAACTTAAACTTGATGCAATTTTATTCATTGTGCATATTATTAGGCACCAAATTTACAGAGATGAAAACTAGAAATTGGTTTATCTGTTCTGTTTGATGATCCAGTTTTGTCAGGTTAAAACTTTTTATAGATTTATAATTTAAATTGTGCCTTTAAGACAAAGTCACTAACATATGTATAAGAGGATTTTAGACTTAACATGGGGGGCGTAAGGGAGAGACAGGAATATGATGTTCTATATCACCACATTACTTAGTAAATCAATTTTTATTTGCAAAGAACTTTATTTTCATGTAATTACTTGAGGCTGTCTGCTCACAAAAATTTTAATTTTCAGATACAATTGTATGACTAATATTGAAGATAATATGGAACAGTAACCTAAATTCCTGAAAATTTTGTTTTGCTCATAAATACAATATGACTATCTAAAATATGGCAATCTACAGTACCTAGTATTTTACAATGGCTATGTAGAATACATCTACACAGGTGGAAACTGAAAAAATATGTTGCACTGAGTGATGACATGTATAATTCCAACCAGGATCAAACTTGCATGGATAAAGCAACTGTCAGCTTGTTTCAGCTGCTGCAGCTGACTTTTATTTTCTGAAAGTATAGCCAGGTCAAAGTATTTGGAGCATGTCCAGACTAAGGTATATAAAAGCCTTAACTAGATCAAATATGTCTGGGTAATGATGCAGACTTAGGCTACAGTAACTATAGATTCTTTTGTAATGGAAGCAATTGGGGCATTGTGTTTTACAAGAACTTGTTGTTAATTGCAGGAGATAGAAAGGTGAGAAAAGTATGAAGGAAAAGATATTAATTTATAATTGTTAATTTGGAATACAAGAATTTTTAAAGACTTTTTATGATTTATTTATTTATTTTTTTTTTTTTTTTTGATTTCTTAAAATTTTGTTGTAAATCTTGTTTTAAAATAGTTCTGTTGTTGAACTTTGTTTACATTTATCATTGCATTATTTAAAGTAATTTTCCTTGTTTTACAAAGTATATTTTATGTTTTCATTCATCTAGTAATCAGAGTCTTTTCTGATGTGTTCCAAGTATAAGATTTGATTTGTATGGCATAGAATTTTAAAAACAATTTGTCAATATATGTTTGACTTTTGTAGCTAAGGGCGCGGGCCTTATATGACTATACAGCCAGTCGAAATGATGAACTGTCTTTCAGCAAAGGAACTTTAATCACAAACATCACAAAAACAGACAATGGCTGGTAAATATATAAAATAAGAAGGGGATGCCAAAATGTCCTTCATGAAATTTTCTTTTTATGTGCATCAAAATACTGCTTAATGATAAATGTATATTGGTATCTGTTCTTAGCTGTATTGATATTTCAGTCAAGCTTTCTAATGGCTGTGAAATAATATTTTGAAAATAACCATGAAAGGTCACTTTCATATCACCCTCAAACTTTGCTGTAATAAATAGAATAATGTGAACCATCTCTTGAATATCTAATATACAAAACTCATCTTGTGTGTTAACTTCCTTTGTACAGGTGGAGAGGAGAGACCCCCACCAGTCGAGCACCCATGCTGTTTCCAGGTCATTTAGTGGAGGAAATAGAGGAGGATGAAGCTAATGACCAGGAACCCCTGGGAACCCTCCAGAAAGGCTCTGTAGAGATACAAGGCTGTCGTTTAGGTTGGAACTGCTAGCTTCTTTGAGTTTTACTGTACTGTGAAAGCTAAAGTTCAAAGATTTATTTCATCATTAATTTTCCAGAGTCCAGTTTAATAATAAATGAATATATATGCTATTGTACGGTATTAAGTGTGCACCTGTAAAGAATTTTCAGTATGAACTTTTGATTTCTTAATATCGTTAATTAATTTTCCACCTCAGAGCGCAGTGGTCGCCCAGACAAGCCATTTACATTCAAGATTTTTACTCGCACAATGCCGAACCCAATAGAGGTGGCTGTCGATTCTGAGGATCAGATGATGCAGTGGTTAGAAGCCATTGATCAGTGCACCTCAAAAATGGCTGGAGAGGTCAGTCAATGTTGATACTGTATGTCAGTTAACTTCTTTTACTTAATGTACATGCATTGCTGTTGAATTTTAAAGACTCGGTAAAGGCTCAAAGATTATTAAGAAGATTACAAGTATTTGGCATTGCTTGAAAAAAAGTTTCTATGGATATTGTTTCCTTAGCCATGTAGTAATGGGTATACATGTATTATTTTAAAATGCCTATTTACATCTATTATTATGGCATCATTTCTTTTTGTTTTTGGATAGAAAATGGTGGACAAGTTAATGGAAAAGAGAAAGTGCCTTGCTAGGGATTTGTCAGATCTTATTATTTATGCTGTTGCTGTGCCATTTGATCATGAAAGTATGTTAAATTGAATTTACTCATGTGCAGCTGATTAGAATTGCTTCAGAGTAAATAATTTGGAGAAATTAGTTAAAAATTTTATGAACCTTTTTCATAATTATATATGCTTCTTCATTATTGATGAATGACCAAAGAAAAAAATGACTTAAATTGACCTACTGTAAGCAAAATGTCATTGAATAGACTTTCATGTCGCCGTAAACTTGAGGAAATTAGCATGATAATAACATAAAGCTGTATGTTAATTTTTTTCTACAACAGAGGTGTTGAAGAAGATGACTCACATATCTGAAATGTCATCCTTCTCTGAGGTCAAGATTGATAAATACTGCTCACAGGCGTATGCTCATTTCTTCCTACAATATCCTTTTATTTGATAAGAATGCTGCAATGAAGAGTGACCCTAAAGCAGACTGAATTCGTATTTTCATTACAGTAAAACATGGTTACATGGTTACAGCAAACACACTCATAATGAATTTACACTTACAGTGATGTAATTTCTATTCCCTTCTATGAACTTACTGAATGCAATGAATTATGTTTACAATGAATCAAAATTGTTCATCCTTGGCACTTGACAGTAAGCTCAATGTTTGTTTGTACTGAATAACCTGTTTCATTCCTAATTTCATCTTCTTGCCTCCAAATACGCTGTCGAATTCTACGCCTATATATACTTTAATGCTTTTTTTCACATCAGTGATTTTCTGGTAAGGCTTTTTGACCCCATTTCAAATTGTTAAAGTGACAGTACGGCGCATCTCATCAAAAAACTGACTAGATAAAATTTTCCGACAAGATTTGGAATTTTTTTACTACTCATAAATGTATAAACTTTCAGAAAATTACAACTTTTACAATTAAATAATTTGGATTATTTCATTAAAATTAATAGTTATTTATGGGACGTTAATATATACATCGCAACGTGTTCGGGGTTCCACATTCCATGCTATGCACGCATGCGTAGTTTTCATAAACAAAACAGCATGGTTAGAGAGGGAATCCCGGTAGGCCTGCTACATTGACAAAGTCGACTAAAAATAAAAAGAAACTGAAAATAGAACTTGAAAATGCAACTTTGCTGACTAAAATTTAGTTTGGGGATTAATATAATCGCTGGATAAGGAAGAAACGGGAACTCGGCGACACTCAAGCAGGGCTCTCGAAGGTTCGAATCTATTCGACAGGTTTGTTGATACTTGTTATCATTTCTCAATTTTCCGTCGCTTTCAAAGAAAAAAAATATAAGTGTAAACTCAACATAAAAAATACATCTTTGACTTATAAACATTGTTGCCATTTGAAATGCTATTTTTTTTTTAACTGTGCAGAAAAATATTTGTTTGACATTTGCCGCGATAACGTATGATTAGTTGGTTTTTCCTTTCTCGGACCCCAATACACAAAACGTCAACATTTGTCCTTTTAATTCTGTTAAATTCGCCTGAATGCAGACTAAAATCTTTACGATTATTATTTTAGATTATTTTATCAGAAAGTTATAATTTGTGTTTTTGAAAATTGCTTTCACCTAATATTCATTATAACTGTAAACTCTACAGTGTAGGCACGTGCCGTTTTGGAATTCACGTGGTACAAATAAACAGATCCAGTTCGTACGACCCTTGATTTTCCGGCAGATTCTAATTACGTTAATTTTGTTTGAGTAGAGAATATTTCTGTTTCTCAAACTGCTTACATCAACTTTATACCTTATTTCTTAATGACATATTGGGTAAATTTGGATGAAAAAGCACACATTTTGCAGTCGTACTGTTGCTTTAAGTTTTGCAGAACACATGACTTTATAGATTACATGTTTTAAAACAGCAAATTTGGCTTCAAATGCAATAGTGTTTGATATTAATTGCTAGTAGTAGTCAATACATATACATGTAATTTAGACACCCGGTTAGTAAAACAACAGTTTATGTCCACAAATACATGTACCTGTGCAGTAAACACAACAAGAGTACTTCCTTGAACTTCCACATCTTTTACATTTATATACCATAACATGCATACCAGTTCCATTCTCACATTAGTCAATAATTGATAAATAGGCATATTGTATGTGTGTGAGGCCAGTAAGACCATCAAACCTGCCTAGTTATTGCATCTGGTGGGAAAGATGTGGCATCCCAAAAGTAGGTTAAAGTGACCTAATTTTGGATCATGGTGAAATTGTGTGCAAATAATGTTTTGCACAGTATGAAACCATGTATCTTTAAACTCCTCAATTAATGCATCTTTAGGGAAAAGTATGTCAGACACAAAAGTAGGTCACAATTACCTCATTTTATAATTCTATTGTTATTCATAGATCATATCCTAGTCATATAGGCTAGGACCATCAAATCTTTTCAGTTGAAGCACTTTTGGAGGAAGCATGTCCCAAAAATAGGTCACTTTAACCTTTTGGTATTACAAAACTCAGTGAACATTATGTAGAACTCAGGTATTTTTTACAGTCACTCTATTAAATTCTGGAGTTCACAGCTTGTAGGTATACATAAACAGACATACATCTTACAGTAAATATAGTTCCAGATGATCAAGTACATGTACCTTAGTGGTGCAATTTATTATATTCTTTGAATATGGACCTTAACAATGATACTTATAACAGAACTCAATTAAGTCGCTGCTATCCAAAGGGAGGTCGAGTAGATTCCTCAAACTATGACCCAATGCCAATGTGGAATGTTGGTTGTCAGATGGTGGCCTTGAATTACCAGACACCTGACCGTTCCATGCAGCTAAATGAGGGAAGGTTTTTAAATAATGGTAAATGTGGTTATGTTCTCCAGCCAGACATAATGAGAAGACCAGAGTTTGATCCTTGTAACAAGCAGTCTATTAAAGATGTTGACCCCTTAACCTTATCTATTAAGGTAATGGCAGTTTTTTAACTCTATTAGTCAAAGATATTATCTCATTTTGGTACTTTTTTTTGCAGTTTTCATTAGGATGCATACATCTTCATGCGCACAGCATCTCTGATCTTAAAGAAGGATCTAGCCCCTGTTGCTAAGATAGAATATGAACAATTTTATTTCAAAGTGTAGATTTTACATTTTCCATGTAAAAGTTAAAACCTGATACAGATATAAATGTATATTAATATTTACATGTTGCCTCTACTAAAGATTATTGGAGCCAGACATCTTGTCAAATCAGGAAAAGGAATTATCAGTCCATATGTGGAGATAGAGATTGCTGGACTTGAATATGACAAGAGTAAATTCAAGACCAACACTATAAGTAAGGCGGACATGGAACTTATTATGTGAAAGAAAATACATGGAACTTACACTTAATTTCAATAAGCTATTTTATTACTTTGTTAAAAAAGTCATGTACTTGTTTAAAAAAAGTTTTCAAGTGTGGTTTTTTTTTTTCTGTTTCCAGGCCCACCCAATGGACTTAACCCCATCTGGAAGGACCAGAACAGTGGGATATTTGATTTGATTTGTCCAGAAATGGCTCTTATCAGATTTGTGGTGTATGATGAGGACACATTTGGGGAACCTAACTTTGTGGGCCAGGCCACCTATCCTGTGATCTGTCTGAAATCTGGTGAGGCACCTATTGCACATCAAACGGTTACAGTCATAGTGGGGTTAACACCTATTGTACATCAAACGGTTACAGTCATAGTGGGGTTAACAAATTAGATGACATTGATAAAAAAAATTTACATATTAAAAAATCAAACTTTGATAGAAGAGGGAAAGCTTTTCATCATGTTTTCAAAATAAGTTGTGTTTATATGTACCTTCAGCTTATCCTCAAGCCCATATACATTTATAGCATATGATAAATGTATTACAGTAAAACTTGTCTAATCTGGACACTTATGGTTCCATGAAAATTGCATTTTAGACATTCCAGATCAGACAACATTATAAACAATTACATTTATTGACAGGAACTAAAATTTTGCATCATGATAAGCAAGATTTCAGATTAAACAACATTCTGATTATACAAGTTTGACTGTATTTATCTTCCCTACAATCTTTGATGGTAGACACATTTATTAAATGTCATTTGTGTTAAAAGGTTATCGCAGTGTTCCTCTGAAGAATGGCTTCTCTGAGGAAATGGAGATGGCAGCTTTACTGATCCATGTAGACAAGAGAAATCCAAAGGTCAGATATGTTTGTAGATACATGTATGTAGTGTATAGTGTATACTGTCATAAGTTATTTCATGTATTTTTTAAACATTCTCAAAAAATGTTAAAACATGCCAGATATTTATGTGCAGTGTACTCCCATTGATCGAATGGAATATGATATTGTTAAAAAGTATCTTGAATTGATTAAGTGATGTGCCTCCTTTTAGGAAGAAAAAAATCAAGGTACTTATAATGTTGAGATATTTTTATAGGAGTCTGATGATAGTGAAATCTACTCATGCATACAAGATCTTAGGGACAAAAAGGAAAACTTACAAAGCAACATAAATGAGCTGATTAAAGTTGGGCAGTTTGATCGTGCTACTCGTCTGCAAGAAGATTTGAGGGAGACAGAACAGAACTTGATACAGAAGAGTGCAGAAAGGAGGCAGAGAAAGTAAGGAGCAATCTGATTGGTTGAATGAAATTTTTAGGTTTATTTTTATTTTTGTAAATACAAGGGCTCATGGGATTGATTGTTCCTAAATTTCTATTAAATTTGTATTTTCTTATCTATAAATTTAAAATGTGAAGTGGAGTATATTCCCTATTTTAAAATGAAATTTAATTTCAATTTTCTTCCCTTCAGAAATTGAATCTCAAGAGCCATATTTTCTTGCCTAGAATGGATTTTTTATGCATGTTAAAAACTGATTTTTTAAAATTTTGATTTTGTTTTCAAAATAATTGTTGCATGATTGTTTGAACTTAAGTCTAACATAATACAATATCCATTAGACAGTAAAATTGAACATAAAATTTATTGAATAAAATTTATGCTTAACAGCATTAATGTAATATTCCTAAATGTTTTTGAAAACTGCTAAATGGTTTGCTAAAATTTTTAGCATTAAAAAAGTAGTGAGATAGGGTAAGTGTCTTCTTTTAAGAGAACATTATATCAATAATACATCAGTTTGTACAGGTTTTATCAGCATGTTGAGATGGCGCTGAATATTGCACTCATTACAAACGTTTATAATGAAGAGCTTTTTAGTTTTATACAAGTTAGATGGTGGTTTAAGTTCACCAGCTATTTTAGTGCTTTTACTTTGATCACCACCATTAAGCTGAAGATGGTATGTGGTGACCATGTAGATTACATGTAATCAGAATATATACACACTGCAGACAATGTGGTAAATGCTTGGAGCAAAATTGAAAAAATGTGCATGCACAGATATTAGTTACACCACAGACCTTATTTTAAACCGTCCGACTACAGCTAGATGTTTGTTTAACTTTCAGTACAATTTGGAATTAATTCCCCTTTTAGTGCTTTTCTGTAAAAAGAAAAAAAGCAGGAGAATGAGTTGGGACAAGGGAAATAACTTAAAGTATTACAATATTTAAATTTCCAATTATTTTCCCTTAAGATTCTTTACACAGCTCATTTTGTCATGAACTGTTCATTTTGTCATAAACTGACATGGATGAGTATGAATTTCGTGTGACATCATAATGCCTTATCTGAGGTCAAATATACAGTTCAATCTTCTTCTGTTCAAAAAATGAAAGTCGAATGACAATTTTTTTGTGTGTCAAATTATCTGATAAATAATGTACTTGGTAAATATAAAAAAAAAAATAATTTCTGAAAATTCATGAGGTATGTGAACAAACTTCATAAAATATGTGTCACACTGCATGTCCCAATGAATTATCAAAAATTTAATTCTCTAAGGAAGCTCTAAACACTGCACACTAAAGAGTTCTACTTGTGGGGTAGTTTTATGCAGTTAAAGTGACCTGCCCTTAGAAGTAAGAAAGAAAAAATGATTATTTACTGTTAATTACACAATTTGTAATAGATTAAGATATTCTTAACATTATATTAGACCAAGAATAAGTAATTGAAGTCATTGTTTCCATTAACTTACCCGATGTAAGGAAACAAGTGATTTCTGTTTACGAATAGTCCAATTGTCTTTGAACTTTTTTCCTGCAAAAATAAGGCAGGTACCCTATGTTGACAATGAAGCTTGATCAAGAAAATATTTGAAAGGTTAGACAGGGGCAGGGATAGCAAAAAAATATTAATTTCAAAGTGTAAATTTAAGGAATAGGAGTTTTATTTTATTTGGTATTTATGAGGATGTTAATCAGACTGGGAGCATGTGATGTACATGTATTATGTGCAGTAGAAATTTTAACATTTGATGTACACTTTCAGGTCCTACTTTTAGATGGCTTTTCATTGTGAGTTAGAATTACAAACTGCTCTTATTCTGGACAGTTCAACTACATTATCAATTCTCTGCTTGTTAAACTTCATAACATGCTCTCTGCTACCTTTGTTGAATGCTCAAGATGAAAATCGCATATTTTGGAGATAAACTGATGAAATAACAAAAAGCTTTTACTCTAGCTGCTAGCTTTATAGGAGTTTCTGTCAAGACTTGAACATTTTGTCTTATGAAGAAGATTAATTCAGACAGTATCATGTCTTTCATGCATTCATGTATTTAGTCCATTGTGACTGACTGCTAAAAAAAAATTTGGAATTAATTGAAGGAAATAATGTCACTGCTGTCTCAAATAAAAAAAAATGGGCTAGCTAATGAATTAAAACTTCATAAACATCAGATTTCACTATAGATCACATCTTTGATAAATAATTGTAATGTGTATGTGCAACTATTTGTAAAGTGTAGACTGTATTTCCCTTCTTTTTTCATTAAACAGGAAGTCTGTTCAAAATCATAGAATAAATAGAATGTTTCAGCTGCAGAGAAACTTTTTCAGTAGACATTTAACTACAAATTTATAAGAACACAAAATCATTTTTTTTTTTCATCTGTTTCCAACTATTCCAGCTTTCATTCATTTATAGAACAAAGTATCAGTGAAAGCAAAATTGTGAACGGCAGGTAATATTTGAAGAAAATATACTCCCTCTTCTGTGCACTTATACTTTACACATTTCATTTGTACCCGAAACTCAAGAGTGTAGAATTAATATTTATTATAATTATTACTTTCTGTAACTTCCACAACATAAAGTCAAATTCCAAAGACTGTCAACATATACTTGATCAGAGAGCAAAGCTTATTTGACCAGTTTCACATTATCTGGTTTGATTTTTTTCTCGTTTCTTTTCACGGCTTATCACTGGTAACCCCTATTGCTCAGTATACTTCTTAAATAACCAGTAACTTCTATCTTGCTTTTTAACCAACCAGATATAAAGATCCTCTTACCAATTCTTTTCAGGAAAAAAAAAAACTTTATTTCCTATCATGATAAATAAATGCTTGTAATTGTGATTTTTAAAAAAACAGAATGATATTGTTAAAGAATTATTAATTATAATTTTTCTGTATTTTTTTTTTTTATTAGTTTAATGAAAAGAAATGAAGGAAATTTTTCATTAGCATTAGTTGGTGAAATTTTATATGTATAATTATATCTATAAAATCATCCAGCCAGGAAACAAGTTTGTTTTCAAATTGTAATAGTGAGTTTATTTTATGTCTCCAGATTTGCCAGTAACCGACCCATAGTATATAGCAGGAGCTCAAATAGCTGAAGATGAACTACCCTTTGTTGACCCAAATCGTGCCCTTTCATCCTTACCATCTGATCTGTGATACACTGTTGCCATAGCAATGACCTCTACATTTGCTGAAGACCTGAGAATGCCGAGTTATTTTTTTGTTTATGTTTTAGTTTGTATTTACCAGAACTTTGTGATATGTTGTGCATTGATGTGGAATTTTGCAGTGAGTTATTATATGGAACTGATGTATGATTGTTATTTAGATGAATTTGAATTCAGTAATTAAGAATTGTATTTTGTATACCAATACCTGTATTGTGTTATAAGGGTGTCACACAGATTATAATTGCATAGCTTTAGTGACGTTTAGTGAATAACTCTTGATAATGAAATATATTTTGGATGAGATTAACAAAACCCAGCTGCTGTTGCCTTACCATGAAATGTCACAGTGGCTTTTTTTTTTTTCAATGACTAATTATTGAATATAAAAAAATGTATATAATTACCATCCAATTGGAGGCATAAAATAGTGCTAGATTTCTTTAAACTGTAAAATTTGTACAGGAATATGTTTTGTTAGGCATAACTCACCTGTATGTATATATTGTAATGAACATATTAATTGTACAGAAATCTGAAGAACTCCATTCTGATTTTAATGGTTTATCTTTCACATTTTGTATTTGTCATTATGCCAAAATGCTGAATCTAGTAGCTTTTCAAAAAATCTAAAGCTATAAGCATTTTTCTTAAGAGAGTGGTAACTGCTGTGAGTACCTACAAGTATTTATCTAGCTAGCATTTGAAATTTGAAAGCATGTGAAAATTTCCCTTCATTTGCATGAAAATCACCCATGATACATGTACCAGCTGAGTTGGGTCACAGGAAGTACATACTTAAATTTAGCATAGTACTTGTTATGTACATACCCAGAGTAAATGCTGTAATCTGGGACAAAAATAGTTGTACATTTGTATTTAGAATGAGGAATAGGGAGACATGTTTAAGTTCAGCTGTCAAGATTAAGAATTTGAAAAAAAAAATAATCATCAGGGAAATTTACTTTGTTCATGGGCAATGATCAATAAGCCAAAAGAGATGAACAAAACCTAATATTAGAGTTAGTGATAATATTGACAACAAATGGCAGAATGTAAATGTTTAAGTAAAATCTTACTGCATACTTTGAAGTTTTAGATTATTTTTACAATAATTATTCAAGAATGATAAATTCTAATGAGTGATACTGCTAAAAGAATATGAATTTATATTAATGTCATAGACTGTGGAAAGTGCACAGAAGTTTATAAACACGTTGACCAGAGATTTCAAAATTTTGGAGTAATCTAAAGTGGCATTAGTATCTGTATATTTTTAGGGGATGTAAATTTTGTCTTGTTAGAATGTAAATTCTGGATTATTAATTTTGTCAAACTGTCAAAAACTTGTATTAGAATTAGTGTTTTAAGATATTTGATTACATTGATGATACATTTACTTCTATTCATGACAATTCTTTTTTCAAGTTTTCTGAATGAATTCCGAGATGCAGCAATTGAAAAAAAAATTGATGTCATTTTTCACTTCATGAATAGTAGACATATTAGTCTCCAAAAGCTTTGTATTTGCTCATACAAAATAATTTAATTGTTTATTAACTTCCATTACCTAGATAAAAATAAACGAGAAAGCCAATGACCAATTTGTTCATTGTCAAATCATCTGTCTGACATACTCGTAGTAAGGATTGTAGGAGAATAATTTAGAATTATCTCTCTTTGATATCCATCATGCGATTGCTATTACATCAGTTTTGTTGTTAATTTTAATATTGGACTTGTTTCTGATGTATGTTAATTTACTTGAACCCTAATATAACATTTATATTATAATAACATCAATTATAATGTAGTTTCTTTTTTATATGAATATTTTCTTGGGTGAACTCATTTATGCTCCCACATTTTTATTATATACATAATGTTTATGGGGTTTTTAAAACTCTTTGTCTCAGGCTGTGGACACAAGCTCTTAGGTTTTGTATTCTTGTTGCTGATTTTGTATTTTCTGAGAAACCACATGTTTAAAGTTCAGTTGTTTTTGCTAGAGAGCAAATTTTCCTTTCTTTAAGAAAAATCTGCCCACTGCTCAAACTGAAAAAAGTAGTTTTTGCTTGGTAAGGGCTATTAATTTATATTTTGTGAGAAAGTCAAAGCAGTGACCTATATACTTTTAGTATATGCATCCATGGTCAAACTTTAATTTTTTTCCAATATTGAGACTGCATGATTATGATTAAAACAAAATTATTATTTTTCTGAGAATATCCAAGAACACAGCATCCTTAATCTGAAAAATAATGAAACAGTAATTTTCAGAAGCTTTTATTTTCTTTTCCTAAAATTGTTGATGTGTAGAAAAATAATAGTAAAGTGGTTATGTTAATTAATATAATACTATTCTTTGCCTAAATTTTGTACCATCCGATGTCAATAAACATATTTTTAAAAACTCTTCCCTTGTTAATTTCATATTAATATTTTTCGTTACCAAGTTTGTACATGTAACTGTAGGGAGTAAAAACGATACAAGTAGTTTATTAAATCGACCAAAGGCACTTGGGGTATGGACCCCCCCCCCCTTTCCATTTTTTCCTTTTTAAATCTGGGGTCGAGTCACCTTTTTCCTATTTTTGTATTCTAATATGCACTGTATGTTATCAATAATGTAACTCTTTTGTCTCTATAAGCTGTTTTTAAATATATCATTTTCGACTGATACATAAAAAGAGACTCTCTTTTTCTGTATCAGTCGAAAACGATATATTTAAAAACAGCTTATAGAGACAAAAGAGTTACATTATTGATAACATACAGTGCATATTAGAATACAAAAATAGGAAAAAGGTGACTCGACCCCAGATTTAAAAAGGAAAAAATGGAAAAAGGGGGGGGGGGTCCATACCCCAAGTGCCTGTGCAAATGATTTCATTTCCCATATACATGTTGTTTGAAATTCATATTTATATGAGTTTTAGCCTATAATTTTCGGTCACTTGATTCTAGAAAGGGGGGGGGGGGGCTGTCAAAAATTGTTGAGTCAGATCATGCCTTCCATGGCCGTAGGAACCGGGGGGGGGGGGGGGGGCAATAATTTTGCCGATATATAGATTACTATAGAAAACATAGATACTATATGTTTGTGCCCCCTCAATAAAAACGTCTGATGACCTTTTTTCTTTCTTTTTTTTTTTTTTTTTTTTTTTTTTTGCCTGTCAAGAAATTTTTGGTAGTTGATAGTGCCCCCTCAACTGAAAATGTATGGCTGTGCCCCCCAAACTGAAATTGCTTCCTACGGGCCTGCCTTCACATGACAGAATATATTTATTTGTAGGATGACAAGAGCTGTTTTCAGTTTTGTCTTCATTGAAAAATGTTTGACAAACAAAAACGGAGGGGTTGTCCAAACTAAAGAAAAACTTTCTTATTTATTTCCAAGATCTATCAGCCTCCCTTCACCACCCCCATCCCCACCCCAGCATACACATACCAAACAGAAATCAAATATTTTTCCCTTTATATTTCTTGAAAAATACTGGACAGAAAATTCTGATTTATATAAATTTCAAACTATTCCGAAATTGAAATTATTTGTCTTCTGGGTCAATCAGTAACACCGTGCGCTCTGGCAAAGCTGAGGTGGATTGAAAATGAATTTTGGACTAGAATTTCAATCCGATGATTTCCCCGACGTCCGTGTCGAATTGTACCCGCCCTTATTCTCTATCATTAAATGTTTTGACTGTAACAGATGGAAATGACGAAAGCTGCATATTTTCCAATTTTGCCATTTAATGTTCCGCGGTCTTAATTATAGAGAACAATTGCGCAGGTACAAGTAATTACACTGATGGAAAAATAATTTTATACTTTGAATTAAAAAAAGGGGGGGGGGGGGGGGGAGAGGGTACATGTAGCTTGACTGAAAAGAAGGTTTGAAAGAAGCTAAGTGATTTACTACTCGGTTTTATGCTACCTGTAATGAAAAAAAAAAATCTCACCCGGGGGTGTCCCTCTTCATATAATAACATGGGCAAAATATTGTAGACCGTTTCATCTACTTGGACACACACCATTGTTTGCTCACTTATTTTAACTCGCTCTTAAAAAATATACAGGAAACTGAGAGGACAATTTGCACACCACCATACTTTATTTTCCAAAATTCAATTGAATTCAGCGGCCATAGTCCGATTTGAATATGTAAAAAGAGTACTCTTTTTATATATTCAATTTATAAACCTGTGGCACCAATCTCTCACCAGAGGACGTATTACGCTTCGCTACAACAGTATAAGTGGAGCGTAGCGGGAACGATAACTCTGGATAGAGATTGCTGTGGCACCTTTAAGAGTTATCCCTCTTAGAACAAAGGGGTGTCAAACACATGATAAGTCACGTGACTGTATTTTTGTCGTCTGCAAATAGACAGGAAAGGATCAGAATAAGGAAAAAGGCTAAAGAAGATAATTATCAGAAATATCTGGATAACTTCACTCTACGCTATGCAGTTTTCTCACAGAAGAGTAGAAATGAGGAGTCGAACTGTCCATGGCAGCCCGCGTTCAAGTCAGTTTACAGTGTCTAAGGAAAAACAACCAATATGCCTGGTGAAAGGACTTTGACAGAAATTAGAATTGTTATTAATGATAATTTACGTAGAAGAGTGTCTAAAAGTACCGTTAAAAGAATTTTCAACAAATAGAGGGAGGATGGAGGAGGCTTGTTAAGGCGGGGAAAACATGGTCAAAAAATAAAGCGCATTAATTGGTAAAACAGTAAAAGACAAGAAACTTTGAGTTTTTGAAAATATAGTATTAGATTAACTGATGAATGTATTGAGATGATTAGGCAATTTGTGTTTGACGATGTATATGAAATTTTGCCATGAACGGAAATTTAATATTGGTTGAGCAATGGCAGCAAAATTCAGGACTTCTGGAATACTTTAATGGTGACAATAGTGAAATTACTAAATAATGGAGGACAAATTTTAGAATAAGAACAGACAGTGGCATTAAAACAAGAAGAGAAGGATCTTGATTTTTACTTCAAGAGCAGCAAAATATACTACTGCGTTTAAGAGTTACCTGGGGACTAAATATTTTAATGAAGTATCGTAGGCCTGGAAAAAAAAAACTTGACAAGAAAGGTAAAGGTTCGTATTAGTATTTTAAACAGATAGATAGAGGGTAACATTGCTGGATCGGGAACATTTGTTCCGACGAAGAGTAATAAGAAAAAGTATACTTCTTTGGTGAGAAAGTGGAGGATGTTTTGGTGTTTAGAGGGATTGAAAGGGAATACAAGAAGTGTTTTTAGTGTAGGATAAGGGACATTAACAGCATCAAACTTTGATTCCCACTATCAAGAAATTCATGGAACAGTTATCTTGTCTAACTATGAAAAGCTTTTTATCATGTAAATTTTGAATGTACTGGTGGAAGTAAATGCAAGTTGTTCAAAATGGTATAATAACTATTTTTTCAGTTACCTCCATCCATTAAATTCAGAATTTACAATATTTTTCCACTTTGAAATCGGAGGGCTTTGAACGTGTTGGGCATTATTTTCATAGCCAACTGTTCCAATTGAATTGAAAAAGAGACCGGAGTTTGCATACAAATCTTGTTGAACATACATGGAATCTCTACAAAAACAGGTAAAAAAAAAAACCTGTCACAATTATGTAATATAATTCTGTATCGGAAAGAAATATTTGAACAAAAAAGCAAAAGATTTTACTTCCTTGATCTAATCAAACGTATTTCCACCTGCAAAACAAGAAGATAACCATCGACCACCTTAGATAGTAGCATCCTCGCAAGCCAGGGGTCCTGATTCAACACGTTGCCGTTGGACGGCAACGTTTTGACTCGGGACCTCTGGCTTGCGAGGATGAGATAGTAGCAACAAAATCCTAGTGCAGACTTTTTTTTGAACAAAGGTATTTTTTTTCATTTTAATGATATTATGCTGCTGGTCCCACACCCCCGCAATTTCATTGCATGGTGCAGCTCATCGTTATGTCAGCAATCATAATGGCGGCGTTTGCTATAATTTACCTGTTGCTACATGTAAGTCATGCTCATTTGCAAAAGATAGAAATAGTGACGACCTCCCAGTAAAGTGCATTCTCCCCATTTGCCATTTGTTGATTTGGATTTTAGAGCAATTTGAATTGTCGAACTCCATAGCAAAAAAAATTTTTTTTTTTTTTTTTTAAAGTGTCTCAGAACTGGTCCTTCTGTTCAAACCAAATTCGAATGGTTATAAAATAAATTTCAAAGCCGCAGCTCCACATAACTACAGTCATCCATCAAAAGTATTCATTAAGAAATTCAAAATGACCGCCAAATATAAACATAAACAGTATCGTTTTATGATCCGTCCTAAAACGTCATGATTTACGTCACATTCCAGTCGTCTGTAAATTTTGAGAAAACCCACGTAAACAAAGATGGGTCGAAAAGGAAAAAGAGTTGACAAACGAGCAGAAAGCGTACATATCTGCGCTTTATGAGCAAATTTGAAGATGACTGACATTGTCAGAATGTTTGGGTTAAAGCAAAGCATTGTGTACAGTTTTCTTAAGCGATATTCTCAGCGAGGAAACCAAGAGAACTTACATGTACCTCGATCCGGACGGCTGAAGGAATTTGGTGAACGAGATTTAAAGATACATGTACTTTCGGAACTGCAAGACGGCATCGTATGAAGTCTCTGGCTAAAAATGGCCCGACTCAAAATTTTTTTAATCCCCAAGAAGCAATTATACTTTTTTTATGCATTCCGGATAATAGATTTTGAAAATTCATCATTGATGTTGAAATTATCGGGAGAGAAAAAAATTCTCACCTACCTATCGACCCATTTTTTTCATCCTGAGTCGAGAGAGGCAAACGAACATTATTTAAAAGTTGGCCTAAACAAACAAAATCGTTTGACCTGGAACAGAGGTAATCTTCACAAGACTGTTGATGCTCACTGGAATAAAGTCAGTGATGAATGTAAGGTCATTACTGGACAAGACACGCGTGTGAGATTGTGGAGCCCGCCATCAAAACGCAAGTTAACTTTAATGGAGGTGCATCACATATTACGGTATCGGAACAATTTGTGTCCTTAATGAAATATAAATGCAGAAATATATATTTCTGTATTAGATGATAATCTGTGGTGCCTGTAATTTTACGGCACTTTGCAGATGGTAACAACATATTTGAGGACGACAATGCACCAGTACATAGGGCTCGAATCGTCCAAGAATTCCGCAGAAATAATCAACTTAAGTCCATGAACTGGCCAGTTCAGAGCCCTGATCTCAATATTATTGAGAAATCAAACTATGCTCCAGTCCTTCGACTTCCCATTGACAACTTTTCAAAGGAAGGAATAGAAATAAATCAGATTGAGAAGTAATCCTCAAGGTATGCCACTCGTGACACGAGTTATATCAAGGATTTTTTGAGAAGTATACTTTACATAACTATACTCATGTTGCATGACTCAAAATCGTAAAGAAAATTGGGGTCAATTTGCATCTTATTGAGCAATGGTACAATTAACGTGACCTTTTTGAACCGAAATTGTAAATTTTGAGATGTTGGTCAAAATATGCGATCTGAAGGCGTAAATTTTTTCTTGACTTGTTCATTATAAATTATATTCATTTTTTGACAAAGTACAATGTATGTAGATTGAATGTGTAAATATTACTTGAAACCTTTGTCAAATATTTCTAGCATATAACGAAATGAATTCCCTGAGATAAAACAAAAAAAAGGCTAAAGTTCTAATATATTGAATTAAACAAATCTGTAGATTTGAAGAAATTCCTCTAAATATCCTTCCACAACATTAAATAGCCCCGACCCCCAAATCTTATTTCTTTACGATTTTGTAAGCAGTTTTTTAATTGAATATTGCATAATTTGCATTATTTCATTCAAATATTTGTTATAAAAAAATGAATTGTAATTGATAATATAACTATTGAAACAAGGTTCTGACCAATTTTTTTTTCAAAAGCTGATGAGTGACATATATATATATATAATACACATATACATATATATACATGTATATACGTTTAACTTTTTTTTAAAATTATTTTTAAGCATAAATAGAAAATAAAGTATAATTGCATCATTTTATTTGCAAATGCCATAAAAATAGTATATGATTGACATGTATTATGCTCTGGCAATAAAGCTCTTTGTTCATGATGGTAAAAAAATATGTTTTTGATAACAAATAAATTACATAGGTTAAATTCACAACTCGCCGTATACCATAGGCAATAATCACTCTTAACCACTTAAACAGGATTTCTGCATTTTACGGAAGTTAAGACCATTTTTACTTCATTTCATGGAAATGAACATCTATTTATATAAATATACATTACATTGTAATGAAAACCTTTCTAGCATCACTAGTTTATATAAATATACATTACTTGGAAACGACATTCTCTCAATCAGATTAACAATATTAAATAATATTCAACACATCATTTCTCCTTTAGTAGGGAGAGTTACATGCTTTTCCTTATAAAGGAAACACTTGGATAAACAAAATCTATCCTAGAAATGAGGTCTACCGATACCTTAATGTAAACAACATCAATGTGTCATGGACATGCATAATATAATTATAAAGAATATAATTATAAACTCCTGAAAGAAACATCGTTAATGCAAAATATGAGGATCACAACAACTTGATCAACAAATCAGGCGGATTCAGCTTTAAATTTGGTGGACTCTTCGTTCTTAGACATCCTTTTCTTCTCTGAGATCTCCACTCCAATGTAGAGACCCGTACCTATGATGCACACAGCTGCTAGGATGTACATCTTCTCCAGCACACATAAACTGTTGGAATAACAGAACACAATAGTGCCGCCTAAACCTTGTAGTACACGCAAGCTTGCAAATGCATCCTCAAGTTTGTCGTGAAATAGTGCACTCACGATACCTGTCGGGATTTAAAGATCATATTACCTTGTTGTATTTTTTATTTACATTTCAGAGAATCGCACTTCTTATCTTTTTTCCTCGGAAAACAAGAAACAAAGACTGCTTCTAAATATTTGATATAATTTTTCTTTATTTAAAACTCCTATAAAACTTGTAAATTCACTTATATCAGAATATTTTTTCAATTTTAAAATGGTCCTTTCGAACGGTATTATTGATATTGTTGTCTTACCACTAAAGCTTCCTTTGCGCTTTCGTAAATTACTTTCATTACCAATTTTGTGTAAATTTTGCATCAAAAGGAATATAAAAAATGTTAAAGTATCGTTTAATTATTCATAATATAAGAATTTGATTCGTCATACGTACTGTTCACTTGTGAGATCCATACACCATCAGCAACTCCCCAAGCTCCCAGAAGAAGGAAAAATAACACCATTTGTTCAGGATTGGGCTCCCACAGGACCATAAAGAGGAGGAGAGCCAAGTCCAAACAGGCGGCTGTCAAAAGAAATATAGATATTAGCTTCAGCGAATATAATTGGTGGTTCCGATTCTCAGGGACTATGAGAGGTAACGGGACTTGTCTGAGAATGAGGGAGGCGGATCCATAACTTTCATGTGTACCTACGTTCTACTATTATTATAATTTCTGTTCTTGATTAAAAAACCAACGTTGCAAAATTTTCACTAACTTCAAAGAAACTGAAAAAAAAAATTTAAATTTGTACACAGTTAGATATACAAACTTTAAAAAAAATGCTAGTGCATGTTGAAGATTCTCTCTATTTATCTAAAGAACAATTTTCAGCAGTACTCACCACTGTGCATATAACTTAAAATTTTCTTTATCAGCATATATGTAGTTCAAAATGCATTTACAATTATAGAGGAAACATGTTGTATTTTTTATTTCACTGACACTGATATACGTGTTGTATATGTTTTCAAGTGAATAGATTTTGTATGAATTTCTAAAGTTAGTCAAGTTACACTGTAATTCTACTGTAGTTTAAATCGACCACAGATGATGTTGTTGCAATACTTCTACATGTATAGTCTGCAACATTTTTCTTAAAGTGTGAATGTAGTGATCAATCTTCTGACTGCTGATTGAAAATATATCTGATACTGTGTATTTGTGATAAAAAATTCTGAAAAAAAATCCTGCCAGCCCTATCTAAAGTTTATGGAGCCGCCTCAGAATTGTCATGTAATTTTGGAACTTCACCGGGGAGAACCAAGGAAAGGCATACTCACCACTCAGCGCCAAAAAATAAACTTTAAAATCATCCATGAGTATATCTGATGACAAATGCATCATTAATCCATGACGTCATCAAATTATGTGTAATTCACTTGATGGAAAAGGAAATAACAATGCCGCAAACAAACATCGCCAGAAGTCCATCTTTAATTGGTCAAATGAACCTTCTTTCTCTGGAAACCCTATTGGGTTATGGGTCTGTTTTAATTTAACTAATTGAGCGGGAGCTGCAAGGATAAGGTAATTCTTTAAACAAATTAAGGAGCTGTAAAGATGAGACAAGTTTAGTGAACAAGTTCCGCATTCTGAACATGGTCAGATGTATGTACATGAACTTTTCTCAGACTCATTGAAGAGTAATCTTAAAAAGACATTCAAGTTCATGTTCAAACAACCAGACAACATGTGAAAGACCTGCAACGAAAACAAATAAAGATCTGTGCAGCATGCACCTGCAATAAAAAAGAAAATGGGTTCTGAAAACAAAAGGCATTAAATTGATTTGCTGGAAGAAAAACAGTCTCCGGTATTCATCATTTGCAAGACAATACTTGCTTAAGAAGTTGTCTGCAGACATGCTACATATTGCAGTTGAAAGCATGTTCAGTGAAACTAAGCCTACCTGAAGAAATGAGAGCCACTCTCCCGACGTATTGACACAATATCCCACTTATCCAGGAACTCAAGCCTCCACACACACCGTATCCAATCATAGTGTAACCGACCATGTGAATACCCAGTGGACAGGATACAAATGCCTGTGGGAGATAAGGCAAAATATTGAAGTCTAATTTGTCTTTTTTACTTTTTTTTTTTTTACCTTTATTTGGGGACAAATTTCATATTGCTTATTAGCTTAAAAAAATAAAATGTAATTTTTTTTTCTTTTACTACAGCTGGCTAAAACTGAGAGGTCTCTTCAAAAAGCAAATAACCGTCTGCGAACCCAGCCTTGTAGTTGTCATATCCAGAGAAATTTTCCCTTAAGAAATATTTTCTGAAAATGTCGCAAACAGATGCTGGTTTGCAGAGGGTTTACTATGACAATATAAAACAATTCATGTTTTCCACTGCTTAATGCATGCAAGATACATTTGAATTTCCCCTTTGAAAATCTATTATTTTATACCTTTGTCATTTCAGCTGCTGCAAACCCAACCTGCATCATGCTATACATCAGAACAAGTGTGACAAGGAGGAATTTCCAGTGTAAAATGCACTCGAAGACAGAACCAACTTGTTTGAAAATTTGTGGAAAGGTGCATCCCGAAGAGTGGTATGTCGCAATTGGGTCAAGCAAAACGTGTGAAACGATAAGTGCAATGACAACGCACATCCCATAGATCCCGATTAAAATACCAGAGGTGTCAGGATCTACATGCACGTCCGACTGGTCCATCTTAAAATGATTGCAGAATTTTGCACCACATATATTCTCCGAGTTTCCTATAAACAAGTTTGATTCATTTACAAATGCATATTGAGATTCATTAAAATTGGAAGTACTGGGGAGGTAGGATGTTGTGGTACTTTCTGCTCCGTCTTCACTGCTTGGGACTAAAACAAGGACGAGAGATGAAATGAGATTCCCGGCAACATATGAAAATTGGTAAAAGAAGAAGAAAATACCAAAATATTTGCTTGCTACGTCCTCTGTTTTCTTATCATTTTTAATTGCAGAGGCTCTGGCAAGATAACTCGTATATGTACTCATGGCATTCCACAAGAGACTATTTCCCATTCCCTGAAGAAAAGATGCGGGTATGAAGACGTAAAATGTGGGTACTAGATTTGCAACAACATACAAAAGTTGTGTGAATATACCAACAACAAGGCAGAATTTTGGACGGAATCTTTGAACGACAAATGGTGAGATGAGACTGAAAACGGTGAACGCTCCAAAGCTTGCTGCAAGTGAGTACACTCCAATACCGCTGTCATGGTGCATACTGCTCAAAAGGTTGCGCAGAGATCCAATTGCTGTACAAACAAGAGATATACCTATGCTTAAAAAGATCAGGTTGCTTAGATGATTGTTGACATATCTGATTTCTTCAACCTCTATGTCAACTACTGGGGATTTATCTTCCTCCAACTTTTTCAGTCCCTTTTCATCAATGGCAAGTATAGACATTGATCTATACACAGCTTCCTGACTCAGTGACTGAACTGCATTTCTACAGATGCTTCGCAGTCTGTTCACGTCTGGACTTGGAGGTACTAAGGGATCAATGTAGGCTATACTTTCCTGTAACACGTGTTCTTTTTCTCTCTCCCTTCTCATATCTCGGAGTGCCATTTTCGCTTCAATTTCGTGACCCAAATCACTGACGTCCCAAAAAGAGCTGTGATTTGAGGGTGGCTCGATGTCTGGGTTAGATTTGTTTAAATAGTTAGTGTCATCAAGGGCGTTTTCATGTTTGAGTAGTGCTGTACGACTATCTGCACTGCCTACAGAATCAGTATAGGATGGATCGTCCATACTCTGCGGAATAGTGTTTTCTGTTGTTAATGTTTCGTCACTTTGAGACATCATCTCTTTGGTGTCAACAGCATGCATGTTTGAGATACCTGCAATAGGAGGGTATTATAGGGAATCCTAAAACAGTTGCCAATGTCCTCGAGAATATTCCCAGGCAGAGACATTTGGCAAACAAACACTTGCGTACTTTTCATGTACCTACTGCACATGCTTTCTCCCATTACTTTCACTTACCTTGACGTTTTACGCAAAAATAATCCACATAAATGATAAAAAATATTACCCTCTCCTAGTTAACTGAAAGATTGAGAAACGCCAAGAGCTCTCAGTATGTTTGATATTGCATGATTACGTATTTAATACGATACATGCATTCATCAAAGGTTTTCATTCACAAAGATTAATGTGTAATGTGTGTTCTTCAAGACATGGATATATATGTTTATATTTGTGTTATTTCCAAATAACATTAGCTTATTACCTTAAAGGTTACGGAAAAGGAGTTTAACAAACAGTAGTTGTGACATTGAAAATTCGATTCTTTGATATACTCACGTTAATCACTACAAAAGTAAAGTTCTGCGTGAGTAGATCAAAACATCGAATAAGATTTTAATTTGAAGTTTTCGTCGTATCAGAATATCCATACCTCCAAATGCATATATAAATAAAAACTTCTAAAACATAATATACACCTCAGCTAACAGTTTTATCATTATTATCGTAACTGGTTCAAACTGGTCTAACTTAGATATTAGTAATGGAAGAAATATGTGCATATTTTTTTTTCTTTTTCTAATTTTTTCCATCCTAAACATTTACTCAATTAAAACAAAAATTGAATTTGTAGTACATATACATAAATAAGAAATACAACCTTATAACATATATATATATATATATATATATATATATATATATATATATATATATATATATATATATATATATATATATATATATATATATATATATATATATATATATATAAGCTATGGGAAAGTACCCATGTTTAAGTTTCATTTTCGTAAATTTTTGTGAACATAATACTGCAACTTTTGCAAATATATGACTGCTATTTTACCACACAGAAAACACAAAATATTCTGTTTACTAAATGCAATCAAATAATTCAAAATACGTAAATGGAATTCTAAAATATTTTTATGTCTATATCATATTGGCAGAGAAAGTGTCAAAATAAATTCATTAACGTTAATTCATTCTGCAAATTTGTTACATAATTATGAAACAAGTAATGCAATGAGCTAAATACCAATTTAAAAATACGCATTTTATCTCTGGAATTGTTTAAAAATAAACACCTCCAGCATAATTCGAAACTTCTACTTCAGGAAAATATGTAATGACAAGTCAATGTTCTTTGTTTACCGTATTTATTTTAAAGACGTCATGATGCTTATATGCAATTTCGAAAATAATATTGTCAAAACCCCGGAATTACTTACTGCACATCTGATAAATATTATGAGGAACATTTACGTTTGAAAAATTTTTACATTACCCTAAAACAAATTTCAAAACTAAAAATTAAATGGGGAAAAATACTCTATTTATTCTCTCGAAAAAATAATAAATTCTGTTATTTTTCTGTTTGCTTAATATTCATGTTTCTAGCATATAAGAAGGGTTAATTTACAAAATTAAACGTCCAGATTTGTGCATTATTAATTCTTTAAGTAGCTTTTGACTATCGCTGTATATGAATGATTATCCTTAACAAAATACTGTTTGTAGTACCAGTACCTTTTTTCTAGAAAAATGAACATTTACGGTAAACTCTTACATTTTACAGAAGTCAAGGAGTTAACAAAGGACCACAGCAAATCGGTGTAATATATTAAACGTTCTCTATTTTTTTTTTCTTGGGGAGAAGAAATGAATAAGTTCCTCACCTGAACTGCTGCTTTCCATATTGTCGATCATGAATTCAATGTTGTGCGTTGATCTGCAAGATAAATTGGTAGTTTATACATGTATGAATGAATACGAGATCGAAAAGATATTTTATCCCATTATATATGGGATAAGCTTTACTTATCTTCAATCACAGTGCAAACGTGCAACCCTACCGTGAATGCATACGAACTTGCAACCCCAAAATTAAATAAACTACAAAAGACCAAGAAAACCTAGTAACAGAGGCAGATATACCTAAACCCCTCTGCGATCTACGGGGCATGTGGCTATTTCCAACTTCAGCTATCCTTTTTAATAATGAGGAATAACGTCAGTGTCCGCGGAGACTGCGCGGTCAAACAACTATGCAAACGACAACGAACAATTGGTGGGGAAGTTCAAGGACGGGTAACTAGAGCACCGAGCGTAAAGCTGGAATCAATTCTCCTGTAGAAGGCCAACAATCCAAATTATTATAAAGCTTAATGTAATTAAACGAAAATCCTGAATATTTTTAATCCCTTTCGTTTTGGAGCATATTAAACTTACACAAGAAACGGGCAATGTCGGATTTCCCCTGTGTTGTCAGTCAAGTAACCCCTTCCTCTTAAATTATATAAATAGACTCACAGCTGATCGCCTTAGCAGACGATCGATTGCCACGTATTTACAGCTGAATTCAGAAGTAGGCTACAGTAACTAACAATAATTTTCCTTTAATCAACTTCCAATAATGAGTTCAAGAATTAGACAGCCTTGAACAAAACACACATCGGATGAGAATTGTAAACGAACTCCTCATGACAATCGTAACACCGTTGAAACGTGTACCAACAAAAGACGAGAACAAAAAGCAAAATCCAAATAGTTTATAAAGGATTCAGATATATTTGTAAAAATTTGAACATAAACCCAGCTACCTTACCTTTTCTCTGTTCACTTTGGCAATACTGAAGAAAAATATTTCTGTTGAACTCCAAACATGCGCACATCCATTGTATTAGGTGTGTTCTACAATACACTTCTAATGGATGTGTTAGGTGTATTGATCCTGTGCAGCTTAAGTGTAAATGGAAACACTGTTCGTTGAAATTACCTTATCGGGTTTGAAGGAAGCTTCAGATTTACCACTTCACACAGAAAAAGCAATCGTGTACAAAGTACAAGAGATATTAATCATAATTAAATGTCAATCACCCCTTTTGGAAAAAATGATCTAGTCCAATGGCAGGTCTTCGACCTTATGATTTGCATATATGCTGAAAAATTCCAGTTTTTTCTGGTTTAAAACCGAATATCGTCATATCATGTTCAGCTTGTATATTTAGTAATTATGATAAAAGTACACAAAGATATACAACTATATATAAATCAAACATCCTGAAAAACATTTCCGTATTGGAAGCAGCTACTACTGGTTCATGGAGTCTGTATGGTTAAATTGTAGGACGAAGTGAAAACACCAGTTTCAGTACACGTATGTCGTCGTAAGACGTTCCCCTTTATGATTTCTTTGAAAGAGTCCCCATAAAAATCCTCTGCGGATTAATATACCTGCAGTCAGATATACATGGATATCTTTGAGCTAAATTGGGGAAATATACCCTACTGCAACTAAGTGGACAGTTTGTCAATTTCTTTATGTTTAAATAAAAATCAAATTGATTAATTGATAGAATTGAAATAAAATAAATTTATTTCAGTTTTGAAAGGTTCTTGCGGCTTTTAACCAATACTTTCACCTAGGCACAATTTTCGTTAAGTGTTTTGATTTTGCGGTTCATCATGTTAAATATGGCGGGATAAAAATACCTTTATGCTCTTTCAAAACTGAAATTACAAATCTTCAAAATATATAGTTTTCTAAATCACAAATGCACACATATAATGTACACTTTGCAAACTTTAAAAGCTTAGTAATTCAGAGAATATTTAATTGGAGAAACAGTAACAGGATTAATTGCATGGAACTTACAAGAAAAGTAAAGGAAGAAATTCTTGTCAAAATTGTATCTAAAAATCTTTGAAAAAATGAATATTAAGTAATTATCGATTGATGTTAAATTAATCATCATAAGGATTAATATATAAATTGTCATCTCAGTATTACTTATAAATCAATAGGATAATAAAAAATAAAATAGTTCATTTTTTAAAGGTGACATTTAATCTGTTGTACATCTTCAGTTATTAAAAAAATCAAATGTGAATCATTAATATAACTTTCACTATAAATAATAATTAAGTTAGTATTTTTGTTGGTGTCTCATCGTCTAATCGTGAATAGATAATTTTGTTCCTCTAAAGCTGAAGAGTTCCAAAACAAATATTGAAGCTCATTGTTCATACTCGGACGTTTAATTAGTTTTTACGGGACAGTTGCGAGTATACATTAGGTCTATACTTGGAAAAATGACTAGTAGATTATTAGAAGCAATTGAATCCAACGATCTTGAAGCTGTCAGGACGCTGTTAAACGACAGAGAGCAGTGTAAACATTACGACGTCAATGAGGGTTTGTGTATGGCGGCCAAGAATGGCCATTATGAAATAATCCAACAGCTGTTCCGAAGCCCAATTAGAAAACCATCTGTGCAATATGTAGATGAAAACCAGAAGAGAGCTTTTGAATATGCTGTTATATCTGGTGACATAAATGTTGTTGACTTTTTATTGAAGGCAGGGGCATTTATAAATTGGTCAGATGATGAAGGTTTTCAGCCGTTACACTTTGCTGCCCAGTACGGAAACGTGGCCATGATTAATTTCTTGATAGAGAAAGGATCTCACATTTACTCAGCCAGAACTAACAGGGAAGGTCTTACTCCATTTCATGTAGCTGTTGATTATGGACACATTGAGGCTGTCCAAGCATTTATTGAATCGAGGACAGTGTCAGTCAATATGAAGACGAAACTTAAACAAGGTGGTCAAACTCCTCTACATAGAGCTGTTCTGAAGTCACATTTAAAAATAGTAGAATTACTGGTTGAAAAAGGTGCAAGTATTGATACAAAAGATTCCGAAGGCAGACAAGCAATTCATTATGCTGCACAAGCAGACGATCCTAATGTTCTTGAATACATACTTAATCAAGGTGCAAATATTGATGTCACAGAAAACTGCGGACGTCGGGCAATTCACTACGCAATTTACAATAATCAAGAAGAAAATGTAAAAACATTGTTAAACCATGGTGCAGATATTCATGCGAAAGACGAAAGTGCGTATTTGCCCCTTTATAGTGGGGTCATGATAGAGAATCCAGATATTGTTAAGTGCTTACTGCTTGCTGGAGCAGATCCAAATGAATGTAATCGGGTTTCCCGCCAAGATTACGCCCTCCTAATGGCGGTATCTCTTGGAAACACCGAAATCGTTAGAATCTTATTAGATGCTGGAGCGGATCCAAACGTCTTAGGTTTCAATAGAGCAACGGCACTCCATAAATGTCAAAAACTGAAAAGTAAGTATATAACTTATCAACATCATATTATCCAAACCTATTACATGTATGTTATATACAGTGTTTTAAATAATAATGAATTTGATGTTGACAGACAAAGATGAGCGCGATACAATATTAACTCTGTTGATAAAGAGGGGGGCCAAATTGAATGCAATGGACAGAGATGGATATACCCCTCTCCATAGCTGTGTTATGCAATCAGTTCTTGGGAACTTTAGCTTAACCACAATGAAGATTCTTATCCAAGCAGGATCATGCCTTTATCCAGAAAGACAGTCACCAAGTGTACCTCAAATAAGGTTGCTAATATTTTAAACTTTATTTATAAATATAGGATAAGACGTATGTAACCAATTAAGTTATTAAATAAGTCAGTTATTGTAATATCAATAAATTGCTAACATGTATGTCTCAAGAAAAAGTCATGTTTTCTCTTTTTCAACCAGAGTGCCTGCATCGCCCAACTCCCCCCTCTGTTTCCTTGTCTGGCGAGGTTTTCTGGAGGCCGCGGAATATCTACTACAATGTGGTTGGGACATATCTCATGAAACCTGGATGTTCCTACCAGGTAAAACAACAGAACAGACGCGATTTCACCAATGGATGATAGAGTTAACCATTTCTGTTAGACCCCTGTCCAATATATGTCGTCAAAGCATACGAAGACATCTTCTAGAATGTACCAAAGGATCTGAAATACTGTCCAGCATTGAAAATCTTCCATTACCAGCCTCTATAAAGAAGTATCTATCATTCCAAGATGAGTAAAACAGTTATAGTATATGCAGTAGTAAGGTGTCCGTCGTCCATCTAGCTGTCTGTCTGTCTGTCAATCTATAAACAATTTTTCAAAACGCTACTCCTCCTACAGTTCAGGTCTGATTTCATTACATCTTGGCACACAAGTAGACTTCACTAAGATACATAATTCTGTGTATCGATTTTTTTATTTTGGTGAACTATGTTGCCATGGTTACGAAAAATAGAAACCTCTGTGAAATACTTTTCAAACACTATTCCTCTTACAGTTTTGGTCTGATTTCAGTATACCTTGGCACACAGGTAGACTACACTAAGCTACATAATTCGATATATCGGTTTTTGATTTCGATGAACAGTATTGCCTTGGTTACTAAAAATAGAAATTTCTGTGAAAAATTTTCAAAACGCTACTTCTCCTGTAGTTTTGGTCTGATTTCAATATAACTTGGTACACGAGTACACTACACTAAGATACATAATTCTACTTATTTTTGATTTCGATGAGCGGTGTTGTCTTGGCTACCAAAAATTAAAACTTCTGTGAGATACTTGTAAAATGCTTGTAAAACGCTACTCCTCCTACAGGTTTCGTCTGATTGCAAAAAATCTTGCCACAAAAAGAAACTAAACCAAGAATCATTATTCTATTCGTATTTATTGTTGTTGCATAGTTTCAAGTCCAAGTGCTACTTTTCTCTTCCTCTGTTTTAAGTACAAAACAATAGAGCTACAGTCTCATCAAAGACTTCTTGTTACTAAAAAAGTGCAATAATGTTTAGGAACATGCAGGTTTTTTTTTTCAGAGTTTTCCTTTCTTATTAAAATAAATGTGATTCTTGAGAACTAATTTAAACTACAAGAGGACTTAGAATTTTGCTTGTGATTTAATTAACAACAATAAAAAAAAACAAAGTTCTACTTCCTCTCCATAATTATGGTGTTAGATAACCTGTACAAACGTCAAAGCATTATTTCGTATTTTTTTAATATCTATCTCAGTATAAGGCTAGTTTTAATATACTCTTACTCATTTTTAATATATCTGTACACAGTTGACTTATGTATTGCAACTTCTTTTAAGGTAAAGAAAACCATGTATTTTAAACTTTTATTATGTATGTACGTGTATTAAACATGTTTGTACAATGTATTCATTAATTAAAATATCAGATATTTAGATCTTTTAAACACAATAGATACACATACAAATATTTTTGATTCGAAAACCAAAGCAATAAAAAAGATATAAAGAAATATATTATTTTACTGACACGTACTGTAATAAAAACCAACACCATAAGTAGCTAATGCTAAAAAGTCTAAAACAGACAAACCAGGAGGAAAAAAATATAATATATATAAATTCATCAGCATCACCATCATAAAAAAGCCGTCTATTTTGAGTTAAAACTTGTTCCATCTTGTATTTAAGAGGTAAACGCCCTGATGACACTTGTTCGGGTTTGTTCTCTGAGTCACAAAGGACATCGCTTTAAGCATTAAACTACACTTGTACTCGGGAAGTATACTAATAGATCTCGAGAAAATATGGGACCGACTGAACTTTTGCTGTGCTGAATCATGGCATTAAACATTTAAAAATAAACTTTTTTCGCAATGTGTGTTTAATGTTTATTTCATTTATATTTTAAGAGGCTGTCTTTTACTTGAACGGAGTTACATTACTGTATGGAGGTTTTAAGTACAGAACTTTATAAATATACAAGCAACCATACACTTGATATGAAGGTTTAATACTAGTAAGGTCGCCCGCGTGGCGCAGTGGTTAGATTGTTTAATTGATTGTATGTTGTTTAAGGTCCCATTCGAGAATTTTTCACTCATGTAGAAACGTTACCGTATGCCGGGGAAGGGCTTCAATTTAGACTTTTACTCGGCAATCAGGGTCATTGAGCATTGAGGGTTCTTTATCCTGCCAACGCCTACCGTGACACTGGACCTCAGTTTTTAAGGTCTCATCCGAAAGACCTTGACTTTCACTTTCAGTGCCGGGCGCTTCGCGAAGGGACAGTTACTACCTATATTTATATCTTAGGTTTGACTCGGCGAACGAGAATCGAATCCGGGCCTCCCGATCACGAAGCGAGCGCCCTACCAATAGACTACAGTGAACGGTATCGCAGTGGTTAGAGCGTATGCTCTAGAGTCGCAGAGTAAGGAGTTGATCCTTATGTCTTGGGTTGGAATCTCGATGCAGGACGTGGAGATGTCCTATCTCGCAATAGTTGCTGGTACGAAAAAGATCTCTCACTGCTCAAAAAGACCATAAGTGCTGAGTACAAGTCTAAATTTGCAGCCCTCCACCTGCATGTGGTGGTGTTTCAATATGAGTGAAAAATTAACGTAGAGACATTAAACAAACAAACATACAATACTAGTTTAGCACGGAAGTACATAAAACACAAACACAATTTTACATTATTAAGCAACTACATAGCTTAAACTTGTGAATAACATCTACAGCTTCCTTCTTTGTTGCAACATTTCAGAGAGAATGACGTTGCATAAATTGTAATGTAAGCAATTTAAAACGAGTAGCGTGGCATTCTGTGAATTTGTAGACATTACATTTCATTAATGGTTTAGTGGGAAAAAATAGAGTTATCAGATAAACTAGTCATACAGCAGTATTTTGTATATAACGTAGTAAGTAAAAGTAAATAAAATCCTTTCAAATGAATGCAGTTTTTGACATATATTGCTGTTTACATGTTTGACTCCCGCTGCCATGGGAATAAACGAAGTATATTTGAATTATAAACGTCCTACTATATAAATTGCCTCAGGTCTTCCAGAACCAAATTTATGAAATATGGAGATAACGAACAGTATTCAAGTTTAAAGTCCATTTAGACAATACAAATCGGGAGCAGAGCAAACACAGACCTCCAAAAACATCAGAGGTGGGATCAGGTGCCATGGAGGAGTGAGCATCCCCTGCCGACCGGACACACCCGCCGTGTGCTCCTTTTCATGATCGGTGAAAAACGGAAAACATCCGTAAACAATTCAGTGTGTAAATAATAGCCGAACAATTAGTATGAAAAACGTCAGTCTGCATTTGATTTAATGATAAGTGGTTTTTGCTGACAAGGACATTGTATCCAAATTTGTATCGTTTCAGTGGACTTTCGAGATTGAATACTGTTCGTTATCTTCATATTTCATCGACCATAAAACTTCGAAATGATGACTTCAAATGAGACTGTTGATATCCTTGTTTGTCAATAGTTTGCCTCGTTTTAGAAATTGTTCATACGTAGAGCATGCTCTTGCGTATCGAATCAACTGGGAGACAAAAACTCTATATGCAGGTGATAAGGGTATATTGCTAATTAAGTAAGGGAAGTTCACGATTGAAAAATTGAAGACATCACGTTTATCATAAAGCTTTGTTGTTAGGTTACCATTAAAGTCTTTTTCTAGTAAAATATCCAAATATGAAGTAGATGTGTCAGACTCTGTGGTATCTTTTATTTCAAGCTCACTGGATATGAATGGATGTTACTATTGTTAATTGATAATACGTCGTCGATATAACTAAATGTCGAAATGAAGGCCACAGCAAGTGTTTTCGTCTTCTCGTGTAGAAGTTTTTGAATAAATTCTGCTTCATATGAATACAAAAATAGGTCTGCTAACAAGGGGGGGGGGGGGGGAGCAAATGGTACATATGAGAATTCCAACAGATTGTTGAAATACCTGATCTCCAAAAACTACATACATCGAAGAGTTTATGAAAACATTATCTGCCATCACTTGACATTACAGACATTTATTTTGTGCCAAACAAAAAATAATGAATATATCGCTCAATATCCATGTGCACTACGAGGTTCTATCAAATATTATATGAATAGGAATATTATATTAAATATCGAAGGAGTTTTTCTCAGTTACTCTCAAGTAGAAAAAAATGTCATGTCGAGGTTGCGTCGCCTGGACATACCTTTGCTTACAGAAACATTAATGATTTATTATAAAAAAATAAAACTTATTATTTATGGTGTATTCTGTAGATAGAAAAGTTAATGATTACTAAATTTGTTAAAATTCACTGATGTGCCTAAAACGGTTTTATTTTTATGGCGCAAGTTCACGAACTTTTTAATAACCCTCGTACATGTTTCCCAGTAAACTCGAAACAAAATACACTACATAGTCTGCCACATCTGTTTCATACTAGTAGCATATTATATGTATTTATTGGGTGTTAGTTGTCATGTTGTAATTTTTGAATTTCTTCCACCCAGTAAATTCAAAAATTACAATATGACACTTGGATGTTCTACTGACTATGGACGTTAATGTCCAACTAACAGCAAAACTTTACGACAAACAGATGACTTCAGCTTTTACATCGTCAACTTACCTATTTTTGTAGTAATATTCCACTATCACCTGCATATGGTGTTTATGTTTCCCAACTGATTCAATGCGCAAGAGCATCTTCTGATGACCTTGGTTGCAAATACAACCAGGTGTTGGGTCGTATTTTGACAGACCTGTTTCCCACCAATTGTAACACCATATTTTTATACCAATTTTACTACGGATTACTCTTTTACCCGATCAATACAGAGCTCATGGCAGTAAACTGTTGTGAACGGTCGACAGGGGATACTTACTCGTCCTAGGCACCTGATCCCACCTCTGGTGTTTCCAGGGATCCGTGTTTTTGCCCTGACCATGAATCGTATTCTTGATCTATGAAATTGATCACTGTTCGTTATTTTCACATTTTACATATGCCAACTTAACTTTTTGATGTAGTGAATGAAATAATTAATGTATATGGACAGCTGGTGTGTAAAATTCACACCTCTTATTGTTCCAAACATTATATTTTGAACTGAGGCACTAAGCCTTCAGTGCTAAAAACTTCCCAAGTCTCTTCTAAAAAAAAACCTTTACGTTCAAGTATTCTTCTCGTTGTATATTGAACAACATTTGTTCAGAAGATGTTATTGAACTTTTTGATCAAACTTGTATCATCTAGGCCTTGTTCAATTATGCCGAGAAAATCCCTGATATCTACTCTCCATTTTAAAGAATGTTATGTACAGTGCAGGGAACTAATTTTGTTACATAAACCAGCATTAGCATTAGTAGCATAAGGATCGAGCTAGCATCAGGATCAGCATTTAAAAAACAGCATTACCAGGATCAGCATCAGCAAGCAAAGGATAAAACCAGCATTGACCTACATAAAATCAGCATTATCAGGATTACTAGCATTAAATCAGCAAGCAAAGGAAGCATTCAAATCGGCATTGATGCTGTAACAAAATTAGTTTCCTGCACTGTATTGTAAAAACACATGACATTTTATTTTAAGCTTATATCGTCTTTAAAATCATTAAAACCCACGTCATCTTGTTGCAAATTTCCTTAAAAATAATTTTAAAAAAA